GTAACATACACCCATCACACGTGTCTAACATTTTATAACTGTGACATACACCCATCACACGTGTCTAACATGTTATAACTGTGACATACACCCATCATACGTGTCTGACATTTATAACTGTGACATACACCCATCATACGAGTCTGACATTTTATAACTGTGTCATGCACCCATCATACGAGTCTGACATTTAATAACAGTGTCATACACCCGTCATACGTGTCTGACATTTTATAACTGTGTCATACACCCATCATACGTGTCAGACATGCTATAACTGTAACATACCCCCTCATACGTGTCTGACATGTTATAACTGTGACATACACCTATCATACGTGACTGGCATGTTATAACTGTATCATACGTGTCTGACATTTTATAACTGTGACATACACCCATCATACATGTCTGACATGTTATAACTTTGACATACACCCATCACACGTGTCTGACACGTTATAACTGTGAAATACACCTATCATACGTGACTGACATGTATAACTGTGACATACACCCATCATACATGTCTGACATGTTATAACTGTGACATACACCCATCACACGTGTCTGACACGTTATAACTGTGAAATACACCCATCACACGTGTCTGACATTTATAACTGTGACATACAACCATCATACGTGTCTGACATTTATAACTGTGACATACACCCATCATACGAGTCTGACACGTTATAACTATGACATACACCTATCATACGTGACTGACATGTATAACTGTGACATACACCCATCATACGAGTCTGACATTTTATAACTGTGTCATACACCCATCATACATGTCTGACATGTTATAACTGTGACATACACCTATCATACGTGTCTGACATTTATAACTGTAACACACACTCATCACACGTGTCTGACATTTATAACTGTGACATACACCCATCATACGAGTCTGACATTTTATAACTGTGTCATGCACCCATCATACGAGTCTGACATTTAATAACAGTGTCATACACCCGTCATACGTGTCTGACATTTTATAACTGTGTCATACACCCATCATACGTGTCAGACATGCTATAACTGTAACATACCCCCTCATACGTGTCTGACATGTTATAACTGTGACATACACCTATCATACGTGACTGACATGTTATAACTGTATCATACACTCATCATACGTGTCTGACACGTTATAACTGTGTCATACACATATCATACGTGTCTGACATTTTATAACTGTGACATACACCCATCATACATGTCTGACATGTTATAACTGTGACATACACCCATCACACGTGTCTGACACGTTATAACTGTGAAATACACCTATCATACGTGACTGACACGTTATAACTGTGACATACACCCATCATACGTGACTGACACGTTATAACTGTGTCATACACCCACCATACATGTCCGACATGTTTCAATTAATACATAGCTTGGTATGTTGTAACGTTATGCTATTGTTATGGTTTAATATGCTTTTAACTGTCGTGTTATACTGATGTGTATCGTACTGTTTGACATGTTTTGTTGCCAAGTTATAATGATATGTAATACTGAGTGATGTATTATATCGACATGTATAACGCTGAGTGACATGTTATATTGACGTGTGTTATACTGAGTGACATGTTATACTGACGTGTTATACTGAGTTACATGTTATACTGACGTGTGTTATACTGATTGACGTGTGTTATACTGATTGACGTGTGTTATACTGAGTGACATGTTATACTGACGTGTGTTATACTGAGTGACATGTTATACTGACGTGTGTTACACTGAGTGACATGTTATACTGACGTGTGTCATACTCAATGACATGTTATACTGACGTGTGTCATACTGAGTGACATGTTATACTGATGTGTTATACTGAGTGACATGTTATACTGACGTGTGTTATACTGAGTGACATGTTATACTGACGTGTGTTATACTAAGTGACGTGTGTTATACTGATGTGTGGTATACTGAGTGACGTGTGTTATACTGACGTGTGGTATACTGAGTGACGTGTGTTATACTGACGTGTGGTATACTGAGTGACATGTTATACTAACGTGTGTTATACTGAGTGACTTGTTATAATGACGTGTGTTATACTAAATGACGTGTTATAATGACGTGTGTTATACTGAGTGACTTGTTATAATGACGTGTTTTACAGCTTTGACCTTTTATACATATCTGCTACCCTTGCATGTCGATTTATATCATTACGATATAATGAGGTATCCTTTTTGTGTTGCTTCAAAAATTGAAAATTTTAACTATGAAAAAGTCAGAAGAATCATGTGCCTGTTATTTAAAATGCGTTATTTCAAACCGCATTCTATGATCCTATACTTAACTTGACCCAAATTTTAAGCGATGAATGCCGAATGTCGGTGACCGTTGGCCCTCGTGATCATCGCTCATTTACTTACACCGACTTATGAACTGGACCATGTAAACATAGTTGTCAACTTTTTATACCTTAATGGCTGTGTAAATCAAAATTTGATTTAATCCTGTGTAGACTCTAGTACAAACATACATCTTGTCGACTGGACGCCGGCATGAAGTGTTCGCAGGAGAGTTTGGAATGGGATGGAGAAACTACACCCTACTCACATACGTTTCCTTGTGGACATCGTTCGTGCCAGTTACAACTTGTCTGTGTAGGTGCTCTTCCTTAAAACGTAATCAGCGGCATTGGTATGAAATATAATTAAACAGTTATTGTGTAATATCTACTTCATAGCCCAATGTTGTCGCTCGTGAATGGTAACATGTTTCGTTGTGTTTGAGAGTCAATAAAGCTAATCGGTGTCCATGTTACATCACTTGGACGACTTTAAGGCCACCAGTAAGTGATCGGATTATATGGCTACTGTTGTTCTGATTGGTCAGAACTAATAAATCGATAAGGGTTTAGAACACTACTGTATTAAAAACGTTAAAGGATGCGACTAAGTTTGGTGTCAGCGATAACCGTAATTATAGCTAGTCTAATTCTGAGTGTACACAATGCGTAGTTATAGCTAGTCTAATTCTGAGTTTACACAATACGTAATTATAGCTAGTCTAATTTTGACTTTACACAATACGTAATTATAGCTAGTCTAATTTTGAGTCTACACAATACGTAATTATAGCTAGTCTAATTTTGAGTTAACACAATACGTAATTATAGCTGGTCTAATTTTGAGTCTACACAATACGTAATTATAGCTAGTCTAATTTTGAGTCTACACAATACGTAATTATAGCTAGTCTAATTTTGAGTTTACACAATACATAATCATAGCTAGTCGAATTTTGAGGTTACACAATACGTAATTATAGCTAGTCTAATGTTGAGTCTACACAATACGCAATTTATTTCATAAGATGCGATCTGTATGTGCACTGATTTGTATGGCAAATCCATGTTAAAGAATAACATGTTTCTTACCATAGCTGATGACCGTGATGAAGCTCATAGTGAGAAATGATTGAATATTGAAACTCATCCTGCTGATATCTGTGGGTTACATGTATGTATGACTGGTTGTCGTGATCACTGTTGTTTGTATGGCTGGTTGTCGTGATCACTGTTGTTGACATGTCTTTAAAACAACTTAGGTTTGCCCGTTGAAACTATTTTTTTGAAGTGAAGTCAAACATTGTGTAGAAAGCTGGGTGGTTGTGAGGTAACTGCAGTATGTTAGACTAGTTGTAATACTCTGATTATGTATACAATGTTGTCTGTAGATTTGATTGTCTGTCTCAGTTTTTCTGTACACAACTTGGCTTCATGAAATGTCATGCTGATAACTTCTGTCGAGATTCCTGCTGTGGTCGACTGCTGTATGCAATACATGGGGTCGTGATAACTTAAAAAAAGGATCTCGATGTCGTGATAACGAGGACTGTAGTATGTAGACGTGGTTGTCGTGATTACTGTGGTAAATATGATGACCGCTGTACGTGCTTGTTGTATGGGTTACCGCACTGATGTATGTCGACATCTTATCAAAAGTTTAGTACAGATGATTACAATATTTATCATAGAAAAACATAACTAAATAAGAACTCTAGTTTGATATATTGCTATGCTGGGTCTATAAACAGTATATTTAATTTGGCCTTGCCGTCACTCCTGGGAACCAACGTGTATATAGTATTCGTGCCGTTCGTGGCTTTACTGTAGCCTCTTTGAGTCTCTAACAATTATTATTGAATTGAGTTAAATGGATTATTGGGTTTAAAGGCCCTATTCCAGATCAATCTACATATCAGTTAATTGGAGCTGTTTGTAACGATGGTATTTAAATGTCTACATATGTAGAGTTATTGTAAGCAAGTATAGCCCTGTTTGATTATGACATTTAAATATAACTATATAATTACCAGAGATCAAAAGCCACAGCCTCGAGGACCAGTAAATTTCAATACATTTCCCCCAAACTTTTTTTAATGTACAATCAACTATCATTACAATTCACGTGTTAAATAACTCGTTCCCGATTATGTGTTTGTATTACATGTGATATTTGTACATTTGACAATCACACAATACCGTTCCAGTCGTTAATCATTAACGACTTTTTTAGATCCCAATCAGAATTACGTAAAACTTGTATCTTTCCTCGATTTTAAGTAACATTTACTCCAAACAAAATTCTTGGTGCTCTGAATTTTCCGTTCGGGTGAAAAAGGGGAAGCGAGGTTTTAGAAATACAAACAGTCTGAAGTTGTTATTTGGTATTAATATAACACTAATGCTGACTGTTCAGTGTGTTACCTATCAATATTGTAAGCGATAATATTTACAGAGTATAATCCCTCAGCTCTTCTAACAGACTATATGATCTAAAGAGTGTTTAAAATACCTACAGAAACATCACATACGTCATGAAAACATTCGGTGTCTAACTTAATCTAGAATGTATATATTTTAATTTCGCGTAAATAACTAAATGTATAATAGCAACAGAGATACTCCAATCACTACCATTGAGAATATCCAAACTCACCTCTCCATTTTCGTTATTATTTCCTTTGCCACCTTTCCTTAGTTTCACTGGCGGGAAAAATCCATTGACTTTTCGTCTGCTCTTTCCACGGGGAACTCCGAATCCATCAAAAGCTACAACGCTGGGTTTGGACACTTGTCTCGGTTTGTTAACATAATCTGTGGAAGAATTGTATACCTGGGTAGTTCTACCCTGCCTGCCCGGCATGTTGGGCTGTTGGACATCCGTGTGAGCCGGAACACTCCGTACGTTCGCTTGTGTGCTACGTCCCGCACCTGGAATTGTCACAGAAACCGGAACTGTCCCCACACCATCCGCACTGAGCCCAGCTGCACCACCAAGCCTGTGTGGCCCTCGAAGTGAACTTTCGTTAATCGGCGGTAATTTGACCCCTTCGCTTGCTTGTTGTGACGACATGAGTCGCTCATGAGCGGTGTAATTATATGTAATGTATCCAGACTAAAACTTAAATCCTCTTTCGTAGATCTTAAACGTTGATTCTTCTTAAAACGTTTTCTTTTGTCTATAGGTAAAGAACGGCAAGTCGCAGGTCATTTAAATTGTATTAGAGTGTAGATATGGGCCGATTCTCAAGCCCCACAAGTCCATCATAGGTCGACGTATGTTAAGAAAACACTTCAACTTAATAGCTCGATCTTTGCTTTAAATTTAAAATATTTGTATGCTTCATAAGCTATTCAGTGGCGTCATGGCCGGCTACCTCCCCCTTTGAGAAAGATCACATCGATTTGCGACGATAGGTCCTTAACGCGGCTTGTGTATATGTACCGCGCAATACTAGAAAAAATGTCATTTCCAAGTCCTCAATCTTTTTAAAAGCTCTCATAACAAAAAATGTGTACTGGGTATAGAAGCAGGGTGAATATTCCGTCACCCGTAGGTCTGATAGGATCAATAGTCCGTATCTACCAATCACAGATCGATAATAGAACAATAGGTTTACATGCGCATTCCGTAAGTCGTGTAATACACAGTGTGGTGTTTACCTGGACAGTACAACACGTAAACCGTGATAAATACCATCTCTATTTATCGCAGAAGTAAATGTTCACTTGTAATTAAATCTTTAAAGTGCGTGGAATTTTCGCAAGCCGAATGAAAATATTGAAAAGTTCATAAATTTAATTAAATTTCACGTTTTTTTAATCAAAGTAGTATTGTTTGCATAAGCTGTACGTATTAGTTACTCACTGGGATTATATCAAATATCCAGCTGTGTGGAGTGCCTTTAGCAATTCAGTGTCTGTAAAGCGAAATGTGACGTTTGCGCTTATACACCGATTCGAACCCGGGACCTGTATTGGCACACGCTCCGACGGATTTGGTCGCAAAGTCAATCCGTTCTGGTAAAAACGACCTAAAGTGAACGACTGTTCGGGGCAAAGGTTGGGTTTGAAGGTTAAACGAAAACCGGGCATTTTACTTCTGTTTTCTCTCTAATACACATACACAATGATCGAAAGTTTCAGTCCGCAGAACACCCACGTAAGAAATGTGCCGAACAAGTGAATATGGTAGTCACTTCGATAACGTCCATGACTAAGAGGTACACCTTGATTGGTATTACCAACCTCTGCAAACCAAACAAAATTCAGGCAGCCCAACACCATACAGGTTTATTAACAGCTATAGACTTTTACCGCACCAATGCTACTACAACGAAATTATCAGAGATATGTCAAATTTATTTAATCATAGGATGCGTGCAACTCCCCATCTAGATTTTGACATATTCCCGGTCAATTTTCGTTTTCCTCGGTCGTTTCCAATGTTTCAAAATATAGTCACTTTAATATAAGCTGCGTCATGCAAATCTTATCCCTTTGAATTAAACGGCGCTATCTGCCTTGGTGTCATTTGTACAATCTTCCAACCCCATTGGTCAAATTGACATTGGATGAGAAGTCAGACTGACCAATCGTTTTGTTTATATCCACCGCACCGACAACTCAGTCTCAGTTGAACTTAAAGGTCCTCCACAACATATCATTGACATTATGTTGAAAACAAGTCGAGACAACTGTTTAAAATACTATAGAAAAGTGCAGCCGGCTTAATGAACTTCCTGAGCGACTTGGTGATTACCAATGACGTCACAGCCGGAGTATGGAAATGGTTACAATGTGAAACAACTAATGGACCGATGAATCCCGTTTTTAAGTAACTAACAGTTATACAAGTTAGCAATAAAATGAGAACTAAGAAGTACCGATGGTGGATCGACAATTCTTTCTAGTAGTTAATGTTTCGTCAATGAAACAACTTTTCAATCTGATCTGGGGCATGGCCCAGATTTTTTGAAGAAATATTAATAAATAATGTCTCATTTCATGTGACCTGAAGTGCATGATGAAATTTCAGTTGATAATTCTTGCAAATGGCCACTTCGAAAATTTTAGAGGGGGCACCCTTCTGCAAACTCCATCTTTCCAGTTAAAAAAAGTGCAATAGTTTGTCAGACCGATGTGTCGCCGACAGCCATGGCTGTACTTTAAATCGTTTTAGTTTACCAACAGAAACTTAAGCTCACTAGTCCCCCAAAATAATTAAACGTTAATAAATCTGTAGGGTTTAATTTGTGGATTCACGGCTTTGCCATACAATTCAGTTTCGATCAGTCTAAAAAAGGTTTCTATGTACATAAAGGGATTAAGGGAAATCTACATAAAATTTGAGAATAATCTGACTTCTCCAAAAATAGCCGATGATCAAGGATTGTCAAAAACCAAGATGTCCACCTGTTAGCCATCTTGTTAATCCGATCAGTCCCAAAATGGACCATGCACAAACAGGGACCAACAGGAAACCTACATACAAAGCTGGAGAAGGATCCATCCGGTGTGCTTCTTTGCAAAAAGGATACTAAGAATGGTTTTGGACAGACAATGGTGGTCGAATATGATGGTGGGCTCAATATTTCCCTAGCATATAATGATCAAATTGCTACACAATCAGCTTTTCTTCTCGAAAATCTTGAAACATGTCGGACAACAACATAAATTCACACACAAAACAGTCATTTTTTCAAATTTATTTTTTGTGTGAAGTTCTACCATGAGAACATCCATGATCAGTGTCCGTGAAAATCTAACAGCTGACCAGCCTGGATTTGTCCTTCACAAATATTCTTATCCCCAGTTGTCGGCAGCAGTGCCTCCCCACTCATCCATGGAAGAAGGAGGAGCAGAGGACTGTGCAACAACACTGCTTGCTGTACCAGTGGTGGGACCACCTGGGGCAGCTGCTGACCAGTCTTGGGCAGGTGAAGCAGACCAATCATCGGTGGCACCAAAGCCAGGAGTAGATGCTGGGGCAGTCACTGGAATAGCCTCAGCAGCCCAATCATTGATGCTTTCTGGCTGGGTAGGCATTGGCACCTGACTCTCGATCCATTGTTCCTGCTCATCCTTGGCAGCTGGGGCCTTCTCTACTGCCTGTTCTTCCTTGTCAGCCTACAAAAGCACAGTAAAGCCTTAATATTTTTTTCACTATCCTGTTATAAATTCTTACTCTAAGGGAACTAACTCTTAATATATTTTTCACAAAACCATCTCACACCTACTACAAATTTTAACATTCCATGCAGAATTCATGAAACACCTGTAACTAAATACATATTTGTTGAACTATGCCCTGGTCAAAAGTATATTAAATATTGTTAAATACACCATCATCTGAAGTACTGAAGTAATCTGTACTAGAAAGCTTACCTCTTCTGGATCCCTATAGAAGTACAAATCAACCATGACCTCCCATGGGTGTTCACGGCTAATGGTGCCTCGCAGCCTCAGAACCTCACGAGCCAACAGCCACCACATAAGACCAATAGACTGGGGTCCCTACAATCAAAACAGATAACTGAATGTGTGAATGAAGTTGTCAGAAATACACCAATAACAGAATCATCGTTCAAGTAAACGCAGGAAATGTAAAAGTTTCACTGTTTTAATTCTGATAAGATATACAGTATAACTATTATTCTTTAATTGAATAGTTTACTACTCATGTTTACAAACCAAACTCAATGTGAAGAGCTAATAATTGTCTCTAACCTCAAATGATCCTTTCATTACACCAGAAACATTTTAAAACCTTATAACAATGAAAGGAGTTTTGAAGCCATATACTACACTCAATGACTATCAGAGAATAATTTGGCTTCCATAGATATCTAAAGGACTACCCTCTCCATCCAAAACAAGCATTTTACATTTTGGTCTAGATCCTTTAATTTTATGAATCTTTCATTTTGCTCAATGGATTTTAGATAGACATAAAAAAAAAAAACAAATGGCAGTGTGAAAGATATAAAATTTAACAACTTTATTTGGTCTTGAATGGGTCATTCAAAACTGCCTGAATCTTATTTTTTCTGCAAATTTGTTCTTTGTCCTGATTTTACGATGAAGTCTCTACCTACTCTCTCTCTTCCTGAATACTTTTTTATTGCTATCTTCATCGAAATCCAGGATTTCATATCTTTTACAAACATTCAAACATGAAAGAAGCATTACCTTGTTGTTGCATGGGATAGCAATGTCCACATGTCTGAGTGGCGAGTCAGTGTTACAAAGGGCAATGACAGGGATGTTGACGTAAGATGCCTCAGTTACTGGCTGGTGATCAGTACGTGGGTCGGTCACTACCAGGAGACGGGGCTCACGGAAGGCAGCCTGAAAAACAAGGAGGCAAGATAATCAATCATATTCATACAGCTCTGAAAAACACCAGGAGGTTATCACTGTGATAAAATGTGCTACTGCTATAGCTCATACTGAATACAACTGAAATCACAGACATTCTCTTCAATATTTTTTAAAATCCTTTTATGAATTATTTGGAGTTCTATGTTCTTGTACAATTTGTTTAAACCAGGATGCAGAAATACAAAAAGTTTAACACTTTCTCACCAGGGTAAAGTTACATAGACATGACCAAAACATCACGCTCACAAGAAAGTGACACCAGAGCCACCTCCGATGTATTCAGGAAATTACTACCAACAGCAACACAAATATACAATTTTGATCCTGGATTTGGCATCACGGTGGACAGTAAAAGGCTTTGATCAATGATATATGCAATATGTATGAATACCTGCAATTTTTCTATTTTGATATAATGTGGTGATACAGCAGGATTTTAAGTACAGATGCAGGGAGGGAAGATTTTTCGTGTGGTTTTCATGTTTCTTCAAATGATTATACAGGGATACCACATGATACACATCATACCACAACATTTATATTTGTGCAATACACAAGCCTATCAATTCTGTTATTAGCCGTGCAAAGGTGGTTACAGCCAAGAATAGAACATCTCTCCCCTCCCCCCCCCACCGACATTAATTTGATTTCAACATCTATATTTACCTGGATCTGATTGGTGAAAGTTCCAGGTGTGAATCTGCCAGCAATAGGTGTAGCACCAGTAGCAGAAGCAAACTTGAGAACAGCCCTCTGGCCATAAGGTCTGGCAGAAATCACACAAACATCTGCTGGGTTCTCAATAGCAGCGATGGCACGAGCTGCCAACAATAGCTTCTCCCAAGTCTTTCTTAAATTGATGATGTGGACACCTGTAGAAAATGAGAGTTTCTGTGTGAATATCTATATTACTACTTGCTTCATCTGAATAAACATTAAAACGATTAACATGTCCAACAATTCTTTCTCCAGCAACAGCAACGAAGCCATCACTATTGGAGTTTGTTGTAATGATGTTGCATTCATCCCTTCCTGATATGACCCACTTGATCTAGGCCAGCCGTACACAAGAATGCTTTACTTAGGTAACATTTTGGCAATCACTGAGAAATCTCTTTAGAGTATCAGACATGGTATCAGAGAAGAGTGATGAAAAGGTTACAAAAAGTCTTTTACTGATTTCCAGTATAACAAACACAGATAACAACAGTAATCGTGGGTAGACAGAATTATTTTTCTTTTCAAAGTGACTCCTGAAATATCTGATTATAGTAATACTTATTTTGGAACATTGTGTAGTCACTGAAATATCGCATTAATTTCTATTGGTTGTGTTTTAGAACTTTCATTCTACTGTAAGGTTAATTTTTGTGTGATTCTTGCTTTCACAATTGTATTTCAACTACATATACAGCTTCAGTGAAAATTTAGACCATAGTAGATAAAGTATTTACCATATCAAAGAATCTATCAATGTACTGATTCGGTTTTTGTGTGAACATCTATATTACTACTTACTTCATCTGAATAAACATTACAACAATAAACATGTCCAACAATTCTTTCTCCAGCAACAGCAACGAAGCCATCACTATTGGAGTTTGTTGTAATGATGTTGCATTCATCCCTTCCTGATATGACCCACTTGATCTAGGCCAGCCGTACACAAGAATGCTTTACTTAGGTAATATTTTGGCAATCACTGAGAAATCTCTTTAGAGCATCAGACACTGATGCCTCACTAACTGAAAGTACTCAGAAACATGAAGACACTGATTTTAACTTCAAGTTAAAAGTGATGTTCCTGATACGAGACCTTGTTTATAGTCTTCATTACAGACACTGGCATTCAATGATGAAATAACAATGGCAGCAAGTCAGACAGCTTACAGGCCTGTATATTACCCATTCCTCCCTATTTCAAGCAGGTTCAGTCAAAATTTAGTCCACAGTAGACAACGTATTTACCATATTGAAGGATTTAAATAACGTACCGATTCTTGGGAACATCCAAGTGAGGTAAGACATAGAAAATTCACCAGTTTAATTAAAAAGTAACATTTGAAAAATATCTTTTTTTGCAAACCTGTACAGGTAGAGGATTTCACCAGGCAGCTACTTCACATTGATAACACAGATATTGATCATGCAAAATTTTAAAATTCACTTGACCCACAAAAAAATTAGTCCAGCAAAAAATCCCATATTCTTTTACAGTATTATCTGAAGGAAACATAAAGTGTCAAAATTGTTTCATTCAACTGCACAGGTTTACATAAATGACATCTAATGTGACCATGAAGTGGTTCCTTTTCCTACAGAAAAATGTAGGTTGATGTTTTCAGCTATTATCCATCTCTAGCTTTCGCTAACTAAAAGCTGTTGGACACCCTTCCAAATGAAAATAACACAGATGAGGCTATTTCAGTATGGACAGATGTCATTTAATGTTGCATTCATCCCTTCCTGATATGACCCACTTGTTCTAGGCCAGCCGTACACAAGAATGCATTTCACCAGTATGCAAGATATGTTTGTTTCTTTTTCAACCAGACCCTGCAGTTAGGCATCAGTTTCAATTTTACAGAAAGTTTTCTGTAAATAGATGTTTCTATCAATTTGTTTAACAGATTAAAGACACAAGAACAAAATGTTAATATGAATGGATAAATACAAACCATCAGCCTTCCGCTTGAAGACATATTGCTCCATTTGGAAGTCAGTATTGTTTGCCCCAAGGTGGGTGCCACAAGCAAGGAATTTGGTAACATCTTCCTCTTTCAGGGTGAGTACATCTAAACCTCCGGACATCGTGGCGTTGATCTGGGAGTTACGGTGATCAACCTGTTAAAAAACTTTATTATTATTTGTTTGGAATACTGGGATGCTATAATTTCATGCTTGAGGATTTTCTAGTGGATTAAACTGATTATGCTACATCACATTCACATTTAGCAATAAGCAACAAAAAGACAAGACAGAGCTGAATATCTTTTTAACAAAAAACAGACTTGCCTAGCATTGCCTACCTTTCCTCTATTGAATGAAATTTTTCCATTAATGAAATGAAAGTACAATGGTGGTTAAAATGACATCTTTCAAGTTAAATTTAAGTTTGGGTTTTTTTTTATGTTTATAAGATGTTTGAAAACTGCTTAGCAACAATATGGAGGCTAAATAGGTGTGCGCAATTATGTTCCCTCTTGTTTCCAAACCAAGTAGTAAGCAATGAAGGTTGATATTTGTACTTATAACCATGTCCGACAATCTTTATCGTTTCATAATAAATATCATAGAAACATATATAAATATGTAATGAAAGCATGTGAAATCACGTTTCCTCACGCTAACATAAGGGAAACAACTCCTGGTAAGTGCAGATGGAGATGGTACCCTGTGCACCGAACCAAAATGCTGCCATAAAGGATGCAAAGCCCGATATCAACATAATCAGTAGTTCTATTGTAATAGAAAGGAGTAATGAAAAACACCTTGGCACCGCTGGGCTTCGAACTAGCGACCCTTCGGTCTCCAGTCCGACACTGAACTTCTCGCCTAAAGAGAAGATCCCACTAGCTGCGCCTAGCAAGATTACCTGTACTCTTAACTTCTACAGTATATATATAATTTTGCCGTTATAATACAGCATCATATTGGTTTTTTTTTAATAATACCACAATGAATTTGGGTTACCCCCAAACTTGGCTCCGTGCTTGCAGAACTTCTGGGATGACTTCCATTACAATTGGTTACTTTAGTCATGGGAAGTTATATAAAATGTTTGAAAATACACGAAATGGGGGCTGAAATAATTCGTCTAGTAAAACAAGCATGAAAATAAAGACCATCTTTAATGAAATATCTTAAGCTTATCAAAACGACGCGGCCTTATAAAGATATTAATTCACTAATATATCGAGATTATGGACACGAAAACATAGTTTTGATTATGTTTAATTGGATATATATTTATTCGCGATCACTTTAATTGAAAATACTGACAAAACTTGTCTAAATATCACTAGAAACACTGAAAACAACACGAGCCTTACGTTATGCGTTTGACGCCAAATGGAGTCGATGTGAAAAAGGAAGTACAACGTGCTAAGATTATTCGGGGTTTACACCTTCCGCTCCATGGTGTCCACCGGAAGTAGATGTCTAGTTTCATTTTCGTTAAGTAACGACAAGAATTTGGTAAACAACAGGTAACAAAGATGCAGTCTCAGTTCTTGAAGAAACCGAGCGCTTATCTATAAATTAAATCGCAACAAAACCGTGATGTCCATTTCTGTACTGTAGGATGGTAATTAAAAGTGGCGACATGGATGTCAAAGCAACATAGTAGTATCTCACGTGAAAAAGTGGTCACTTGCTAAACCTTCTCGACCACGTGGAATGTATTGAGTGCATTTGACCCTGGGGGTGGCACAAATAGTAACCCTTTTCAAAAATTGATATAAACAACCCATAATTAAGAGTAGATTGTAGGTTAACGGGCAGGCTGGAACGGTTTCAGAATTCACTCTTGTGCTAGGGAAAATGATAATAAATTACAATAGATTAGGATCCTTGGAAAAGGGAGTATTGCATATGTTTTTAATGGTTGTTCTATTGGTACCTCTTGTTAAAGTATCACCTAATGTCATGAAAAGGGATAGATCAATAGCCATGTGATTATTGATGGTTTTATTTTTTTCTATAAAATTCTTTTAGCCTGGCTGCCTTTCTTCAATTAAGATGATTTATCTGTGATGTAGTGTGTTTGTCCCAGACTGTTATTCCAAATTAGGACAATCTAGGATTTCATATGCCATGAGTGTATCATACACACCGGGACTCTGAAGGAATTCCCAACTCACAGCTGTTGATTATAGCGACTAGTTCAGATTCCTTGTTGGCTAAGTAGTGTAATAATGCTAGAGACAAGGTTCAATTTCTGTCAAGGCATCCAGCATGAATGTTTTCTCTGTTCTTTCACTTATGTATCCTCAAAAACCAGAATCCCCAAGGCCACTTTGTGTATCATTAGCTACAACAATCTCGACCAGAGTTGTTCCTTCCATTTGACAATATATGTGATGATGGGACATAACCATCAATGTAACACTTTGAGATTGGAGCCTTTAAGCTTTGTTTTAGAAATCAATGTTCAGTTCTCTTCAGTAAGATTTTAACGTGTCCTTTGAAATTTAAAATGGTTAAAACTTATGTCAGTGACCTGCCCAATATGATATAACCAATATAATAAAGTGACTGCACATTCTTAAACTTGTGATTCATTGATAAAATTGTCAATCACATCTGTACTTGCAGGGAGCTCAATTAGCCAGATTGGAAACCAAATTAAGTGTTGTTTGGTGGATGCAGACAATATTGTTTGGTAAGGGAAGCTTTGAGAATGTTGCATTAATGTAATATAGTCTAATTTTATGAAGCATGAAGTGTTATCAACTGCAATGACAAAAAATAAATTAACTATCAGAAGACTCAGAACCCTTCAGACAAGATATCAGGATTCTCATGGCCATTGTGTGGATCCAATCAATTCAAATCTATATAAGTAATTTATAATACAAAGTTATCAAGAAAACAAGTTTCAGTCTTTTATAAATACAATAGGGATGAAGATACACCAGAAGAAACAACACTATGAATTCAATATGTAAAATAATAATTTTGATAAAATAAAATAAAATTTTAATAAAAATAATTAAGTGGAATAATTGAAATAATTGATTTGTTTTCAGTTTCAGCAATATATTAGGGAAGAGCCTGGATTGGAGAGAGAAAAAGGGAGAGCACAACCTAGATTAGTGAGAAAGAGCACAGCCTGGATTAGGGAGAGAGCACAGCCTGGATTAAAAAGAGCACAGCCGACAAAGATGAACAATGAACTCTTTACCAAAATAATTGCTCTGCTGAAAAGAAGAAGTTTTGTACAGCTTGTCAAGGAGGAAGTGTCTGGTACGACCTACAGCTATGGACCAGCTGGCACACTGCTGAGGAGAAACATAGCACAATGTTGGTCAGTATGACTGACTTTGATAATTCAGTCCTTCGAGCATCTGCCCTTGTGATAGGCATTATGAATGAACAAGTCTTTTTAATGATTCAAAGCATGCAACAATTATAACTTTGTGTAAGGATTTAAATATGAACGAGTTCCTTTGGTTTCATATCACATCTCCATAGAAAACAACAATGTACAGTCAAACTTCTATGAATGGAACTTTGATGTTTCTCCATGTATCAGATTTTTATTTCTGTTCCTGAATTTCATTTCTATGCGATGTATATTGTAATTGACAATTTCATATTTCATAATACAGATTTGTGAAAGTATTTTTTGGTATAATAGTTTACTAGTAAATGTTAAGTGCAATACTTTACCAGGAGATGTTGTTTTTTACTGATACTACACAGTTCTAAATGTGCAGTACTGTCTGTATAATACTTCACTTGCAATGTTTTAGTGCATTACTTTACTATTAAGTCACTAATAGGAGTGAGCCCATCACAGAACTGTCCCAATGATGACTCTCCCTTCAGTCAAAACATGTAACTAACAATGTCATTAAATTTGAATAAAAAATCCTTCTATGTTGGACTCATTCCTATTAATGATATTACCTGGATAATCCCAGTGAGGCCTCATGTTTACAGTCGTATCCACAGAAGGTTTGTCAAGACTGCAATGATTGAGACATTGAGGGACGTTGTGCCTCCACCTTCTGCAGTATTGCATGTTTTTTTGTCGTGCTTTATTGATAAATATTTTGTTAAATAGTTTACTGATAGTATTCATTGTACAGCTGAACTGGTAATTTGTTTATTATTGTAGCAGTGAATGGTAAGTGTATAACTGTACTTGTTTATTGTGATCCCTTATTAATGATTAGTTAAGTCTGTTGACACATTTCAGATTCTGATTAAAGTCTTGATTTGTTTGTTACAGGTGGGAATGGATGATGACTTGCCAGGAAAACACCTTTCCTGTGGAGAGTACAAACAGCCAAGGTAAATGATTACACAATAGGATCTACAGATCAAACTAACAGATAGAAAGATTACCTTCAAATATTGAAAATATTTATTGTTTTCCTTCAGATTCCAGCTGGGACCACTTCCTGGACATTTCCAAACAGCTGGAGTGGAACCTTCCTTTCTCGATTACCCAGAGTCGCAGCTACATTCACACACCTGCTAGCAGCCACATTGACAAATTCTTATTTAAGTGAGATTTTACTCCTTCTCCAACTTTACTTTTTTGTAGAATTAGAGATTGATGCTACTGGCAAGATAATCTTTCAATTCCCAAGACACAATGCAAGAGACACTTTTTATGAATCACTATCCTTGAGACACCATGAGATAGACACTGCCCATGAAATATTCTTCGTGTGTTCTATCAATGAGACTCTGTCTGTGAGACACTATCCATGAGACACTAGCCATGAGATTCATGAGACATTATCTATGAAATTCGTAAGACACTAGCCATGAGATTCATGAGACACTATCAATGAGATTCATGAGACACTATCAATGAGATTCATGAGACACTATTCGTGAGACACCATCCATGACACACTTTCTACGAGACACTATCCACGAGACACTTTCCATAAGACGCTTTCTATGAGACACCATCCATGAGACACTTTCCATGAGACACTATCCATGATACACAATCCATGAGACACTATCCATGAGGTACTGTTTAAACCCTGAACACTCTGCATTATTGAGAATGTACAACAAAGTACTAACTACACATACTATCCACTGAATACTTCACACAAAAGATATAGTTTCCTCAAATTGAAATATTGTCTTTAAAACTACTATTATCCATGAATCTTTATATCATTGATAGGATACAATTTTTGAAAATTTGAAGACTGTCTACAAGATATTTCAGAGATACTAAATTCTAAATATTTTCAATAACAAACTGTCTGCAAGAAATGATCCCTCTGCCCCTCAAAGCTGATAAAACCATGATTCTTAGTGTTGTTTAGCTTTATTTAAGGTAGTACTTATGTCTCAGTTCCAGCAGGAAGACAAGCCTTGTGATGCAGAATATCTGTTCAGCTACTTCTGTTAATCCTATGTTGGACTCAGCTATAAGAACACGCCTTAAGTGGTGGAAACAGGTACCTCATTATATACCACCTGAGTATAATGGGATCTATTTTTATATAGATGTATCTGATAGATACTGAATTAATTAGTCAATGTCTTTCTTGACAAAGGCTTAAAATACAGCAACAGAAAATATTTTTTATGTGATGATACACCTTCACAGAAATCTCTATCAAATGGATGTAGACTTTCTTCTAAAGGGAAATAAAAGAGAAAGTAACAATGACCTGTGTTTTTTACCTCCATCGTTTTTCTCGTATTTATTGTGCATGTCATTTTAATGGTAAAATTGTTTAAAATTATACTTTAAAAGCTGTAAAATTGTTGATCACATGTGTGAGGTTAAAGCTGACATTTAAATTGTTGTATTATGTAACTATTGTTTTTGTTGTCTGTTTTCACTCACAGAGAAAATAACAGAACAAATTTGCTTCAGTTTTCAGGAAATCCAGCTAAATTTTCAGTGACTGACCTGCAAAAAACAGAAAGTGGCTATTATGCAAATATTCAGTACACATTTCCTTGGGGTAAGGATGATGTGGAGACAGTAACCAGTCTTGGGGATACACCCTTACAGCCGTTCAGGGAAACATTATTATCAGAACATCAAGTACGTAAAGCTGTTTATGTGCATGTTCCATACTTTGACATTATTAGCATCAAGCACATGCATGATTGATATATCAGTAGATCTCTACCATGTTTGTGTGAGGTTGATATAAGATCTCTACCATGTATGTGTTAGGTTGATATAAGATCTATACCACTCTACCATGTATGTAGGAGGTTGATATAAGATCTGTACCACGCTACCATGTATGTGGTAGGTTGATACAAGATCTGTACCACTCTACCATGTATGTGGGAGGTTGACATAAGATCTATTCCACTCTACAATGTATGTGGAAGGTTGATATAAGATCCCTACCACTATACCATGTATGTGGGAGGTTGATATAAGATCCCTACCACTCTACAATGTATGTGGAAGGTTGATATAAGATCCCTACCACTCTACAATGTATGTGGAAGGTTGATATAAGATCTCTACCACTCTACCATGTATGTGGGAGGTTGATATAAGATCTCTACCACTCTACCATGTATGTGGGAGGTTGATATAAGATCTCTACCACTCTACCATGTATGTGGGAGGTTGATATAAGATCTCTACCACTCTACCATGTATGTGGGAGGTTGATATAAGATCCCTACCACTCTACAATGTATGTGGGAGGTTGATATAAGATCCCTACCACTCTACAATGTATGTGGGAGGTTGATATAAGATCTCTACCACTCTACCATGTATGTGGGAGGTTGATATAAGATCTCTACCACTCTACCATGTATGTGGGAGGTTGATATAAGATCTCTACCACTCTACCATGTATGTGGGAGGTTGATATAAGATCCCTACCACTCTACAATGTATGTGGGAGGTTGATATAAGATCTCTACCACTCTACCATGTATGTGGGAGGTTGATATAAGATCTCTACCACTCTACAATGTATGTGGGAGGTTGATATAAGATCTCTACCACTCTACCATGTATGTGGGAGGTTGATATAAGATCTCTACCACTCTACCATGTATGTGGGAGGTTGATATCTCTACCACTCTACCATGTATGTGGGAGGTTGATATAAGATCCCTACCACTCTACAATGTATGTGGGAGGTTGATGTATGTATAAGATCTCTACCACTCTACAATGTATGTGGGAGGTTGATATAAGATCCTACCACTCTACAATGTATGTGGGAGGTTGATATAAGATCTCTACCACTCTACAATGTATGTGGGAGGTTGATATAAGATCTCTACCACTCTACAATGTATGTGGGAGGTTGATATAAGATCTCTACCACTCTACCATGTATGTGGGAGGTTGATATAAGATCTCTACCACTCTACCATGTATGTGGGAGGTTGACATAAGATCTCTACCACTCTACCATGTATGTGGGAGGTTGACATAAGATCTCTACCACTCTACCATGTATGTGGGAGGTTGACATAAAATCCCTACCACTCTACCATGTATGTGGGAGGTTGATATAAGATCCCTACCACTCTACAATGTATGTGGTAGGTTGATATAAGATCCCTACCACTCTACAATGTATGTGGGAGGTTGATATAAGATCTCTACCACTCTACCATGTATGTGGGAGGTTGATATAAGATCTCTACCACTCTACCATGTATGTGGGAGGTTGATATAAGATCTCTACCACTCTACCATGTATGTGGGAGGTTGATATAAGATCTCTACCACTCTACCATGTATGTGGGAGGTTGATATAAGATCCCTACCACTCTACAATGTATGTGGGAGGTTGATATAAGATCCCTACCACTCTACAATGTATGTGGGAGGTTGATATAAGATCTCTACCACTCTACCATGTATGTGGGAGGTTGATATAAGATCTCTACCACTCTACCATGTATGTGGGAGGTTGATATAAGATCTCTACCACTCTACCATGTATGTGGGAGGTTGATATAAGATCCCTACCACTCTACAATGTATGTGGGAGGTTGATATAAGATCTCTACCACTCTACCATGTATGTGGGAGGTTGATATAAGATCTCTACCACTCTACAATGTATGTGGGAGGTTGATATAAGATCCCTACCACTCTACCATGTATGTGGGAGGTTGATATAAGATCTCTACCACTCTACCATGTATGTGGGAGGTTGATATAAGATCCCTACCACTCTACAATGTATGTGGGAGGTTGATATAAGATCCCTACCACTCTACCATGTATGTGGGAGGTTGATATAAGATCTCTACCACTCTACAATGTATGTGGGAGGTTGATATAAGATCTCTACCACTCTACAATGTATGTGGGAGGTTGATATAAGATCTCTACCACTCTACCATGTATGTGGGAGGTTGATATAAGATCCCTACCACTCTACAATGTATGTGGGAGGTTGATATAAGATCTCTACCACTCTACAATGTATGTGGGAGGTTGATATAAAGATGATAGACACTTGTCAAGATGTATTAAATCTTGATATCTACAGTTTGTCAATGGTAAGAAGAAGAGTCTGCCTTGTGTGATTGAGTGTAATGCAGTTCTGGAGCAAGGGTTCCTGGCATTTTTGTTGGATGCTTATCCGGCTTACCATGGACCGTCAAACAATAACACCAAGGAATATGCGGTGAGTTGGATCCGCAGACATTTCAAGTCATTTCTCATTATTGAAGGTAAGATCAATGTCATGTGGATCAGCATTTTTTTTACATCACCTGAGACAACGTCTCATGGTGACCTATTACAATTGCCTTTTGTCAGGCATCGTGTGTGGTAAACTTGTAGACTTGTAGACTTCTTCTGGACAGACTCCTGAACCGATTTCAATGAAATTTTGCAGAAACTTTCCTTGGCAAATGTTGCACCAAAAGTTTAAATCAAATGGTCCCTACTCCCAAGGAGATATGAGGGGAGGGGTTAAAATGGTAAATTGTTTGAAACTTTAATAATCTTCTTCTCAAAACCCAGGTATAATAGAATCAAAGAACTTAGTGAATGAATGACCTTGACCAGCTTTCAAGGTTATAGGAGTCATATGTGTTGAAATCTTTAAACATAAACAGCTTCTTTTCAATAACCAAAAGGCCCAGGGTGCTGATATTGGGCCTGTAACATGCTGGGATGAAGGGCTATTGGGTTTATTAATGTGATTGACCTTGAACCACTTTCAAGGTATCTTGTTTATACCTGTATAAATTTGATGGACAGCGATTGTTGTTTTGGATTACTTGTACTTTCACAGAAACAGTATTTTTAGCCTACAGATGGCAATCTGGGATTTTCATAGATCATAAATACTGGATGGATGATTCATATTTCATATGTAGGTCCCCGTTTGTCCCTGTGCTTTGTCTATTTTTGGGACAAATCGGAAAATCACATGCCAACAGTAACTGTTAGAGCTATTTCTTAAGAAGTCCAAAAGAATCATTCTGAAATTTCGTATGTGTTCCTTGGTCTCCAATTGTGTACTGGCCATTTTTGAAGTGATTTAAAAAACAAAATAGCAAACAGGCAGCCATCTTGGATTTTGACATTTACAGTTTGTCACTAATTGTGGGAATGTGTTGGAGATATCACTCTCAAACTTCCTATCTAGGTTTCTCTTTGTCTCCAGTTGTGCATTTTGGGACTAATGGTATAAAATGTTTCTTAAGAAATATAACAGGGATCTTGTTTAAATTTCTTATACAGGTTCCCCATGGTCAATTGTATTAGTTGTGTATTGTCAATTTTAGGATTGATGATGAAGACGCCTTTGTGTAGTGATCAATTCACCTGTCACTACAATTAATATTAGTAATAAATAAGAGAAAAGAAGGGAAAAGATCCTACTTACAGAATACCAATAAATATCATACAGTAATGAATGCCCAGATCCCACTGGGAGCTCGTCTGTAACTGGAAACTGAAACTTTGAACAAGCCCCTACTGTGATGACATCTATTTACAGAGTGCTATGTATACTGTTCTTATCATCCATGTCCAACCGTCACAGACATGACAAAGGCAGTTTGATAAAATTGATGTTCTGAGATATCTTACTCATGACTTTCTCCTTCTAGTGTTTGCAACTGAACCCTAGACTCACGCCTTATAAGATGGCCGTCTGTTACCAAGGTGACAAGTCCATGGTACTTCAACAGCTAGCTGCTAACATTGGAAAAAATCTGAGACAGGCTGGAATAATTACACTGAACCAGGTGTCTAACTCTTCACTTGAGAAGAGGATATCACAGTAAGTCGTGGCTAAATATCTATGCTAAAGCAAGCTTTAGGACATAACATCTATCTCATGCCTGGTTGTTTTGTTGTATAACGTTGTTTAAACCCACATGATGTCAGGTGGATAGTAATATACATAATGTAATGTCTAGTAAATTATTAAGTGTCCAGTTCCAACTAAAACCATGTTGTATCTTATTTGGAGTAATATAACAGAAATGATGAGATGAGTGTGTTTTGTTTCAGGAATGATGAGATGGGTATACCTTACACGGCTATACTACATGACAGTGTGTTAGAAGCTGGTGTGGTAGAGGTTCGCAGTCGGGACACTACCATCAAGGTAACATTCACCTGTGTGTTTTATCTTGTTTTTGTTTTGTTCTGTGTTAGAACTAAATAAGGTAATTGCTCACTTCCTGAAATTAGCATGTCTGTTTGTCCCTCTGTGTGCCATCTGACCACTCAATGGATGGACATATAGAATACACACATTTGATGCAAGCTACATGGTTTAAAACTTCCAAGGAATCAAAGGTCACGGATGCATTGCAGTTATGAATGGCAGAGTATGTCAGAAACAGGAGACATATCTTACAGGCCTATATTTTGATTTTGATGAAACTTTGCACACAAGTTATACTGACATGTTCTTGTCTCTCCATACAATCTATTGAAAGTAACGATGAAAGTTTTGTTAACACATGTATTATGTAAATTAGATTATAGGCATTGAAATAAGCTATACCTCTTACAACCTTAAGATTCAAACGTATTGGATGCGTTACAGTGATGAAATGGCAAATAATCTCAGAACTGGAAGGTATTTCATAATAATGCATTAGAGAATTATAGGCATTGATGCCAGGTAACCAAAGGTCAAAGGTTCAGCAAAGTCCTGAAATTGCCATTTATCTCAGAAAAAATTTGTATACAACAATACATAAGAGTATTGTAGGCATTGATCTTAAGTACATAGTGACAAAGTGTAATAAGTGTTGTGTAGTCAAAGGTCAAAGGTCAAAGGTCCTGTATCCATTACAATCCTTCAGTAAAAGCAAATCATTACTCCCAGTACTACTATCTCTGATTTTGTTAGTTTACCTCGTCACATTGCCTGGTGTTATGTGACATCAGTTTCTCCTGACAGTAGTCAAATCTATAGGTAATGTTCAATAATATTAAATGTAATATTAGGTAATGTTCAGTAATATTAAATGTAATATTAGGTAATGTTCAGTAATATTAGGTAATGTTCAGCAATATTAGGTAATGTTCAGTAATATTAGGTAAAGTTCAGTAATATTAGGTAATGTTCAGTAATATTAGGTAAAGTTCAGTAATATTAGGTAACGTTCAGTAATATTAGGTAAAGTTCAGTAATATTTGGTAAAGTTCAGTAATATTAGGTAATGTTTAGTAATATTTTACTCCAAGTAGAACAATACCAGAGAATCTGAGGTTGAATTTAACCTGTTGTTCAAGAGCCAGATTGAGTTAAACCAAAAATACAATGTAAATCAACATGTATCACCTGTTGTGTTACAGTCAATACAGGTTGCACCTCCTGACATGTCTGCTATCAAACCAGTTCCATTTCTGTTCTTTTTTTCCCCATTTTTCCTTAATCTTTATTTCCAGGAACAAATTCATATCTCTCAGTTGGCAGAATTTGTGCAAAAGCGTGTGGCTGCATCAAGCTGATGGAATCTTTGGGTAAACGTTAACATCATGGTAGACACGGATGTTTGTCAGAGATTACTGTGAAAGATGCACCAGAAATTCTCACAAATTTGTACAACATTTACTGAAAGAAGGAGTTTGTGTTTTCCTGCAAGATTTAAGAGATCATCAAAGAAACGATGGAAAACCGTACTAATGATGTACAACAATGTAACAGATGTGTAATCTTACTAGAGGTGTACAACACTGTAACAGATGTGTAATCTTACTAGAGGTGTACAACACTGTAACAGATGTGTAATCTTACTAGAGGTGTACAACACTGTAACAGATGTGTAATCTTGCTTAAAGTGTACAAGGGAACTGGTAGACATGCTGTGTAACAGATGTGAAATCTTGCTTGAGGTGTACAACACTGTAACAGATGTGTAATCTTACTAGAGGTGTACAACACTGTAACAGATGTGAAATATTGCTAGAGGTGTACAACACTGTAACAGATGTGTAATCTTACTAGTAATGTACAACACTGTAACAGATGTGTAATCTTGCTTAAAGTGTACAAGGGAACTGGTAGACATGCTGTGTAACAGATGTGAAATCTTGCTTGAGGTGTACAACACTGTAACAGATGTGTAATCTTACTAGAGGTGTACAACACTGTAACAGATGTGTAATCTTGCTAGAGGTGTACAACACTGTAACAGATGTGTAATCTTGCTTGAGGTGTACAAGGGAACTGGTAGACATGCTGTGTTACAGATGTGTAATCTTACTAGAGGTGTACAACACTGTAACAGATGTGTAATCTTACTAGAGGTGTACAACACTGTAACAGATGTGTAATCTTTCTAGTGGTGTACAACACTGTAACAGATGTGTAATCTTACTGTGTGTAACAGATGTGTAATCTTGCTTGTGGTGTACAAGGGAACTGGTAACATGCTGTGTAACAGATGTGTAATCTTACTTGAGGTGACTGTGATGTGAAATCTTGCTTGAGGTGTACAACACTGTAACAGATGTGTAATCTTACTAGAGGTGTACAACACTGTAACAGATGTGTAATCTTGCTTGAGGTGTACAAGGGAACTGGTAGGCATGCTGTGTTACAGATGTGTAATCTTGCTTGTGGTGTACAAGGGAACTGGTAGGCATGCTGTGTTACAGATGTGTAATGTTACAGATGTGTAATCTTGCTTGAGGTGTACAAGGGAACTGGTAGGCATGCTGTGTTACAGATGTGTAATCTTGCTTGAGGTGTACAAGGGAACTGGTAGGCATGCTGTGTTACAGATGTGTAATCTTGCTTGAGGTGTACAAGGGAACTGGTAGGCATGCTGTGTTACAGATGTGTAATCTTGCTTGAGGTGTACAAGGGAACTGGTAGACATGCTGTGTTACAGATGTGTAATCTTGCTTGAGGTGTACAAGGGAACTGGTAGACATGCTGTGTTACAGATGTGTAATCTTGCTTGAGGTGTACAAGGGAACTGGTAGACATGCTGTGTTACAGATGTGTAATCTTGCTTGAGGTGTACAAGGGAACTGGTAGACATGCTGTGTTACAGATGTGTAATCTTGCTTGAGGTGTACAAGGGAACTGGTAGACATGCTGTGTTACAGATGTGTAATCTTGCTTGAGGTGTACAAGGGAACTGGTAGACATGCTGTGTTACAGATGTGTAATCTTGCTTGAGGTGTACAAGGGAACTGGTAGACATGCTGTGTTACAGATGTGTAATCTTGCTTGAGGTGTACAAGGGAACTGGTAGACATGCTGTGTTACAGATGTGTAATCTTGCTTGAGGTGTACAAGGGAACTGGTAGACATGCTGTGTTACAGATGTGTAATCTTGCTTGAGGTGTACAAGGGAACTGGTAGACATGCTGTGTTACAGATGTGTAATCTTGCTTGAGGTGTACAAGGGAACTGGTAGACATGCTGTGTTACAGATGTGTAATCTTGCTTGAGGTGTACAAGGGAACTGGTAGACATGCTGTGTTACAGATGTGTAATCTTGCTTGAGGTGTACAAGGGAACTGGTAGACATGCTGTGTTACAGATGTGTAATCTTGCTTGAGGTGTACAAGGGAACTGGTAGACATGCTGTGTTACAGATGTGTAATCTTGCTTGAGGTGTACAAGGGAACTGGTAGACATGCTGTGTTACAGATGTGTAATCTTGCTTGAGGTGTACAAGGGAACTGGTAGACATGCTGTGTTACAGATGTGTAATCTTGCTTGAGGTGTACAAGGGAACTGGTAGACATGCTGTGTTACAGATGTGTAATCTTGCTTGAGGTGTACAAGGGAACTGGTAGACATGCTGTGTTACAGATGTGTAATCTTGCTTGAGGTGTACAAGGGAACTGGTAGACATGCTGTGTTACAGATGTGTAATCTTGCTTGAGGTGTACAAGGGAACTGGTAGACATGCTGTGTTACAGTGTATAACCTTAGTGTGTTCAGTTGTACCAAGTGTGTTCAGTTATTACTTTAGTGTGTGTTACAGATGTGTTCAGTTATTACCTTAGTGTAAGTTTACCTTAGTGTGTTCACTGGTAGACATGTGTGTTACAGTAGTGTGTTCAGTTATTACCTTAGCGTGTTCAGTTATTACTTTAGTGTGTTGTATGTGTTCAAGTGTGTTATTATTACTTTAGTGTGTTCAGTTAGTGTGTTCAGTTATTATGTGTTCAGTTATTACTTTAGTGTGTTCAGTTATTACCTATGTGTCCTATGTGTTCAGTTATAACCTTAGTGTGTTCAGTTATTACCTTAGTGTGTTCAGTTATTACTTTAGTGTGTTCAGTTATAACCTTAGTGTGTTCAGTTATTACCTTAGTGTGTTCAGTTATTACCTTAGTGTGTTCAGTTATTACCTATGTGTCAAGTGTGTTCAATTATTACCTTAGTGTGTTCAGTTATTACCTTAGTGTGTTCAGTTATTACTTTAGTGTGTTCAGTTATTACCTTAGTGTGTTCAGTTATTACCTTAGCGTGTTCAGTTATTACTTTAGTGTGTTCAGTTATTACCTTAGCGTGTTCAGTTATTACTTTAGTGTGTTCAGTTATAACCTTGGTGTGTTCAGTTATTACCTTAGTGTGTTCAGTTATTACCTTAGCGTGTTCAGTTATTACTTTAGTGTGTTCAGTTATTACCTTAGCGTGTTCAGTTATTACTTTAGTGTGTTCAGTTATAACCTTGGTGTGTTCAGTTATTACCTATGTGTCAAGTGTGTTCAATTATTACCTTAGTGTGTTCAATTATTACCTTAGTGTGTTCAGTTATTACTTTAGTGTGTTCAGTTATTACCTTAGTGTGTTCAGTTATTACTTTAGTGTGTTCAGTTATAACCTTAGTGTGTTCAGTTATTACCTTAGTGTGTTCAGTTATAACCTTAGTGTGTTCAGTTATTACCTTAGCGTGTTCAGTTATTACTTTAGTGTGTTCAGTTATAACCTTAGTGTGTTCAGTTATAACCTTAGTGTGTTCAGTTATAACCTTAGTGTGTTCAGTTATAACCTTAGTGTGTTCAGTTCAACAGATTTTTCTGCTGCTTCAGAGAGGTAGCTATATGTCCTTATCTTGGTCTTTCTAACATACAATATCACCATACACTGATATTTTAATTTGATGCCTGGCATCACTCTAAAAGTAAAATTAATTTTGTTTTTTTAATTGATTTAAGTCTGAACTGAACTAGTTTATTTCCAGTATTACAAAGGATATGTTATATACAGCAATGACAACCTCAAAGTTAATAAGGCCAGTATCACATTCACATGGAAAGGACTGTATAATCCAGTATATAGAATCTCGACAGGATGACAATGATTATGTAAACTAAAATAAACTAAATCTCAACATGGAGGGAATGTAACCACTAAATTTAGTGTGTGATACACTACATCTCAACATGGAGGGAACGTAACCACTAAATTTAGTGTGTAATACACTACATCTCAACATGGAGGGGATCTTAGTGTGTAACTAGTCTTTAATAATGTATGTTTATGTGTGACATTCTTTCATCATTAAAGAAATTTATGTGCTATTAATGTATATCAGGTAGGATTTACCAGAAGATAGGATACATATTATATATATATATATATATAGTGCAAATATGGTTAATTCTCCATGTCCAGAAAACATATGACGTCACTATTGAACGTCATTGTTCATGAAGTCTCAATTGTATCTATGTACACAATGTAAAACATCTGAAGAAGAAATGAAAGCGCTTATGTTTTACAGCTCATCGAGTTTTCCAGTTTTTCTATTTTTTATATACATACCTATATATATATATATATATGTATTGTTTGTCAAATGAAGATTAAAATTCACCAGATTTACATTATCGTTCTTCACTGAATCATTTAAACAAAGTATTAATCACCATTTTTTTTTATTTATTGACACAATAAACAGATTATATGAAATAATGGAGATACAATGTAAGATGAACTGGTCACTATACACATTAAACCAGAAATTTTAGACATCAGATCTACATTCCAGACACGCTGGTCTCAATACAACAGTACAGGAATGATTTAGGTCCCTCTAGTTTTGTAAGTTGTGGGAGATCATTATAGATCAAATAGCACAAACTAAAGAACAAACATATTAAGGGCCCCACAATGTTGTACTTTCTTATTTAACCAACTACTTGTCTTTACATAAAATATACACCTTGCTTTGTTGAATGTCCTCGAATTGTGGGTAATCCATACACACAATTGTACTACAACACAATCTGATATAAAGATTAACTACACGCAGTCTAGATTACACATTCACCATGTAACCATTTTACAATATACTTGTCTCCCATAATACAACTGTCCCCTCCCACAATCCTCTTGTCTCCCACAATACAAATGTCCCCTTCCACAATCCTCTTGTCGCCCACAATATAACTGTCCCCTCCCACAATCCTCTTGTCTCCCACAATACAACTGTCCCCTCCCACAATCCTCTTGTCTCCCACAATACAACTGTCCCCTCCCACAATCCTCTTGTCTCCCACAATACAACTGTCCCCTCCCACAATCCTCTTGTCTCCCACAATACAACTGTCCCCTCCCACAATCCTCTTGTCTCCCACAATACAACTGTCCCCTCCCACAATCCTCTTGTCTCCCACAATACAACTGTCCCCTCCCACAATCCTCTTGTCTCCCACAATACAACTGTCCCCTCCCACAATCCTCTTGTCTCCCTCAATACAACTGTCCCCTCCTACGATCCTCTTGTCTCCCACAATACAACTGTCCCCTCCCACAATCCTCTTGTCTCCCACAATATAACTGTCCCCTCCTACGATCCTCTGGTCTCCCACAATACAACTGTCCCCTCCCACAATCCTCGTCTCCTTCTACAGTACTTTGGTCAACCACAGTCCTCTTGTTGCCTTCTTTAGTACTTTGGTCAACCACAATCCTTGTCTCCTTCTACAGTACTTTGGTCAACCACAATCCTCGTCTCCTTCTACAGTACTTGGGTCAACCACAATCCTCTTGTTGCCTTCTATAGTACTTGGGTCGTCCACAATCCTCTTGCCACCTTCTACAGTACTTGGGTCATCAACAATCTTTCTGTTTCCTCCTACAGTACTTCGGTAAGACACAATCTTCTTATTTCCTTAAATATACATATGTCTAATAAGACATTACAATCCCACAAAACATGTGTCTACCACAATCCTCTTGTCGCCTTCCTCCACACAGGGTGTGTAACATCAGAACATAATTCTTGTCAGTCTCACCAACAAATATTCCACGACTTCATATCATTGCATCCCTGCTGGTTTCTTCCCACCATGGAATTCTTCAATACACAAATGACAACTCCAATTGCCTGAAAAGAGTAAACCATACACAAATGTAACAACACATTTGCCTGAAAAGAGTAAACCATACACAAATGTAACAACACATTGTTGGACAACAAAATGTGGTTCAGTGAGAGATTGGATGAGGTTAATACATGTAATATTGGAAATACTGGAATCTACTTACACTCTGGAGGTTCAGTGAGAGGTGGATTGAGGCAGTACATGTGGTATTGGGATCTACTCACCCTCTGGGGGTTCAGTGAGAGGTGGGTTGAGGCAGTACATGTGGTATTGGGATCTACTCACCCTCTGGGGGTTCAGTGAGAGGTGGATTGAGGCAGTACATGTGGTATTGGGATCTACTTACCCTCTGGAGGTTCAGTGAGAGGTGGATTGAGGCAGTACATGTGGTATTGGGATCTACTTACCTTCTGGGGGTTCAGTGAGAGGTGGGTTGAGGCAGTACATGTGGTATTGGAAAAACAGGAATCTACTTACCCTCTGGGGGTTAAGTGAGAGGTGGATTGAGGCATTACATGTGGTATTGGGATCTACTCACCCTCTGGAGGTTCAGTGAGGGGTGGGTTGAGGCAGTACATGTGGTATTGGGATCTACTTACCCTCTGGGGGTTCAGTGAGAGGTGGGTTGAGGCAGTACATGTGGTATTGGGATCTACTTACCCTCTGGAGGTTCAGTGAGAGGTGGGTTGAGGCAGTACATGTGGTATTGGGATCTACTTACCCTCTGGGGGTTCAGTGAGAGGTGGGTTGAGGCAGTACATGTGGTATTGAGGAGTACATGTGGTACTTACTTACCCTCTGGGGGTTCAGTGAGAGGTGGGTTGAGGCAGTACATGTGGTGAGATTGGGCAGTACATGTGGTATTGGGATCTTACCCTCTGGGGGTTCAGTGAGAGGTGGGTTGAGGCAGTACATGTGGTATTGGGATCTACTTACCCTCTGGGGGTTCAGTGAGAGGTGGGTTGAGGCAGTACATGTGGTATTGGGATCTACTTACCCTCTGGGGGTTCAGTGAGAGGTGGGTTGAGGCAGTACATGTGGTATCCCCTGTCACAGTCATCACAAAACAGCAGCTGCTCCTGTCGTGTACAAAACAAATATATTAAAACCAATCCCTTACTAAATGTATAAAATGTAAAACGAGAACGTGTGACATTCAACGAATAGGAAAAATACCTGTCAATGAACAATGTAGTGTCAGAAATTCAACTGATATCTGTAATATATGTTAAGGTTAACATTTACACCTGGTACACAAACCAGTGTATACTTAAATCATTGTCAAAGGTGTCACACAGTCCACAGGATTTACACCTGGTACACAAACCAGTGTATACTTATATCATTGTCAAAGGTGTCACACAGTCCACAGGATTTACACCTGGTACACGAACCAGTGTTTACTTACATCATTGTCAAAGGTGTCACACAGTCCACAGGATTTACACCTGGTACATGAACCAGTGTATTCTTACATCATTGTCAGAGGTGTCACAAAGTCCACAGGATTTACACCTGGTACATGAACCAGTGTATTCTTACATCATTGTCAAAGGTGTCACACAGTCCACAGGATTTACACCTGGTACACGAACCAGTGTATTCTTACATCATTGTCAGAGGTGTCACAAAGTCCACAGGATTTACACCTGGTACACAAACCAGTGTATACTTACATCATTGTCAGAGGTGTCACACAGTCCACAGGATTTACACCTGGTACACAAACCAGTGTATACTTACATCATTGTCAGAGGTGTCACACAGTCCACAGGATTTACACCTGGTACACAAACCAGTGTATACTTACATCATTGTCAGAGGTGTCACACAGTCCACAGGATTTACACCTGGTACACAAACCAGTGTATACTTACATCATTGTCAAAGGTGTCACAAAGTCCACAGGATTTACACCTGGTACACGAACCAGTGTATACTTAAGTCAATGTCAGAGGTGTCACACAGTCCACAGGATTTACACCTGGTACACAAACCAGTGTATACTTAAGTCAATGTCAGAGGTGTCACACAGTCCACAGGATTTACACCTGGTACACAAACCAGTGTATACTCAAGTCAATGTCAGAGGTGTCACACAGTCCACAGGATTTACACCTGGTACACAAACCAGTGTATACTTACATCATTGTCAGAGGTGCCACACAGTCCACAGGATTTACACTCAATACACTGCCAAGGATATTTCTTCACAGACACGATCATATTGTTGGTGAACTGCAGACAAGTTGGATGACCTGACAAAGAAGACATATCAATTTGATTCACTGAGTGATAAGACCTTTATAACAAGAGTTGTTTAAGAACAACGTAGCACACTTATTGATGACATATTTCATATCAATACAACCCCTTTTGGACCCCATACATATGAAAAACATTGTTCAACATATTGCTAATGATTCATATTAATGCTTGAACTATTTAATTATCAGCTGTGTATTGACATCTTTGACCCAGTACTGCTTATATATCTTTAACATTTTAAGTTGGGATGCCCTCATTGCTAGAGTGACTAAATAAGTCCACCCTATTCCCTAATAAACAGGCTATAAACCATTAAATAAAGGGCCATAACTCTATGTAAAGCAAGGTACAAAGCCTCATTAGTGTCACACACCAAACAATATTTGATTTAGGTGGGAACAGTGTATAGGCATGTATCCATTGAAAAGCTGCAGTCATAGTCTTAACAGGAATGAACCCAGTGATTACGATATATCAAATTTACTTTCTCAGATTTATTTAAAGTGAAGTACCGCCTGTTTAAAGTACTGACTGTTTAATAGGTTAAATGATGACAGTATTTACCTGATCTTCCACAGTCACTACAGGAAACTAACTCCTCTGGCTGATTACTCTTTTTGTTCTCCAAGGAGTCCCCCAGACAGAAGTCACAATAGTTATTGGCAGAAATCTTGTCATCGAGGTTATTTTTGTTGGCTATAATCGTGATATGATTACAACAAATGAGATACAAAATGTATTTGTTAGAATGATAAACAGCTCAGTAATTCTTATACCTGGTATGGCCAGAAGATTCTGATATCATAAACAATATGTAAGGTTTAAAATTCACATTATTTTTTACAAGTTAGATATTATAGCACTTACCATTCTTATTCTCGTTACCTGTGGCTTCATCCAATACATATAGTTAAATTTTACCTTTAAATTACCTTTATATACAGGTAAGCATTGTAATTTTCTTCACTGATCTACTGGTTAATAAGCAAATTTACATGAGCTACATGTATATATGAACAGTGCACATGCATGCTGACAAATAACAAGCTTAAACATGCAAGCAAACAGTTGGCAGTGTGGAAGTACAATGGTACGATGATACTCAGTAGCACCCCACATAAATTACCCGGTTGTTCATACTGCATCATTTCAGATGTTAGTTTCAGAAATATAAAACAACATTCACCAGATAACTTTTCTGGATGATCTTAATACTAAACATCCCTTAAAACAATGTGATATCCTGTATATCACTGAATAGACATACACTTCTACAGGAAATCACACTAATGAACCATAGATTTATCTTACATGCTTTTTACCAATACATAAGATGGAACTTTTGAAATTTTGCCCTAAAACTATTTGTTTAAACTAGGACATAGCATGAACTGCTTTTCCTGATGCAATTAAAAATATGTGTCAATGTTTAAGTAGTTTGTACTGATGTTTAAATTGACCTTGATGTTGGCATCTTAACATCATTAAAGGTATTTGTTTACCTGAATCATCTTTAATAAAAGTTTATTCAAATGCTATGTTGTCAGTTCCAAAATAATTTAGATTGAGCTATGTTTCCATTTCCCCTCAATGGTCTGGTCTGTGTTTCCATTTCCACCCAATTATCTGGCTTGGGCTGTGTTTCAATTCCCTCCCACTGGTTAGGTTTGGGCTGTGTTTCAATTCCTTTCCAATGGTCTGATTTGGGCTGTGTTTCAATTCCCTCCCAATGGTCAGGTTTGGGTTGTGTTACAATTCCCTCCCAAGGGTCTGTGTTTCAATTCCCTTCCAATGGTGTGGTTTGGGCTGTGTTTCAATTCCCCCCAATTGGTGTTGTTTGGGCTGTGTTTCAATTCCCTCCCAATGGTGTGGTTTGGGCTGTGTTTCAATTCCCTCCCAATGGTGTGGTTTGGGCTGTGTTTCAATTCCCTCCAATTGGTGTGGTTTGGGCTGTGTTTCAATTCCCTCCCAATGGTCAGGTTTGGGTTGTGTTACAATACCTTCCCAAGGGTCTGTGTTTCAATTCCCTCCAAAGGTGTGGTTTGGGCTGTGTTTCAATTCCCTCCAATTGGTGTGGTTTGGGCTGTGTTTCAATTCCCTCCCAATGGTCAGGTTTGGGTTGTGTTACAATACCCTCCCAAGGGTCTGTGTTTCAATTCCCTTCCAAACGTCTCCTCGATATCAGTTTCAGCAGGTACTGATACTTTTGATAGAAATCTGTATCAGGTACCAAAAAAGTAAATAACCAATTGAAATATACTTGATTAAAATAAAATGGTTGAAAGCTGAAAGCGTTTGTTTGTACGTGGGCTCGCTCAAGAGAGAATGAAATCTCAGTGAAAAGGAAATGAAAATTTGTAAACATGGAAAGGACAGCACAGTAACAATAGTTTTCTGTCTGTGGATAGAAAAATGAAGAAAGAAAATGGGAAGAACCACATACAAGGGAAAAAAACACCACAAAATATGGATATCTAAAGGAAACAAACAACAAACACCTTTATCACACAAATGGACATCCTTGTACAAATAACATATGGAAATAGCTGGGTAAGCATGGTCAATTACATATTTATAGGGACAGGTGTGTAAACATTGATGAGTGATATTTACAAGGATAGGTGTGTAAACATTGATGAGTGATATTTACAAGGATAGCTGTGTAAACATTGATGATTAATATTTACAGAGTAATTGTAAACATTGATGAGTAATATTTACAAGGACTGCTGTGTAAACATTGATAAGTAATATTTACAAGGATAGCTGTGTAATATTGATGAGTAATATTTACAAGGATAGCTGTGTAATATTGATGAGTAATATTTACAAGGACTGCTGTGTAATATTGATGAGTAATATTTACAAGGACTGCTGTGTAAACATTGATAAGTAATATTTACAAGGATAGCTGTGTAAAACATTGATGAGTAATATTTACAAGGATAGCTGTGTAAACATTGATGAGAATATTTACAAGGATAGTTGTGTAAACATTGATGAGTGATATTTACAAGGACTGCTGTGTAAACATGGTCAATTACATATTTATAGGGATAGGTGTGTAATATTGATGAGTAATATTTACAAGGATAGCTGTGTAAACATTGATGAGTGATATTTACAAGGACTGCTGTGTAAACATGGTCAATTACATATTTATAGGGATAGGTGTGTAATATTGATGAGTAATATTTACAAGGATAGGTGTGTAAACATTGATGAGTGATGTTTACAAGGATAGCTGTGTAAACATTGATAAGTAATATTTACAAGGATAGCTGTGTAAAACATTGATGAGTAATATTTACAAGGACTGCTGTGTAAAACAGGAAAGAGTAATATTTACAAGGATAGCTGTGTAAACATTGATGAGTAATATTTACAAGGACTGCTGTGTAAACATTGGTGAGTAATATGTACAAGGATAGCTGTGTAAACATTGATAAGTAATATTTACAAGGACTGCTGTGTAAAACAGGAAAGAGTAATATTTACAAGGATAGCTGTGTAAACATTGATGAGTAATATTTACAAGGATAGCTGTGTAAACATTGATAAGTAATATTTACAAGGATAGGTGTGTAAACATTGATGAGTGATATTTACAAGGATAGCTGTGTAAACATTGATAGGTAATATTTACAAGGATAGCTGTGTAAACATTGGTGAGTAATATTTACAAGGATAGCTGTGTAAACATTGATGAGTAATATTTACAAGGATAGCTGTGTAAAACAGGAATGAGTAATATTTACAAGGATAGCTGTGTAAACACTGATAAGTAATATTTACAAGGATAGCTGTGTAAACATTGATGAGTAATATTTACAAGGATAGCTGTGTAAACATTGATAAGTAATATTTACAAGGATAGCTGTGTAATATTGATGAGTAATATTTACAAGGATAGCTGTGTAAACATTGATAAGTAATATTTACAAGGATAGCTGTGTAAACATTGATGAGTAATATTTACAAGGATAGCTGTGTAAACATTGATAAGTAATATTTACAAGGATAGGTGTGTAAACATTGATGAGAATATTTACAAGGATAGCTGTGTAAACATTGATGGGTAATATTTACAAGGACTGCTGTGTAAACATTGATGAGTAATATTTACAATGACTGCTGTGTAAACACTGATGAGTAATAATTACAAGGACTGCTGTGTAAACATTGATGGGTAATATTTACAAGGACTGCTGTGTAAACATTGGTGAGTAATATTTACAAGGACAGCTGTGTAAAACAGGAATTAGTAATACATACAGAGTCAACTGGGTAAATATTGATATGTATATTAATGACACATGAAATGCATTCACAAACAGCAACAGATACAAACTTAAGCAGGACAATACATGAGTTATAATTTTAACAGCAGATAAAATTACAGAGTGAAGGACAAAAATTCTACAACAAGATAAATCTACATTTCAGAGAAAATTACAGTGAAAATTTACAAACTGCAACTGGAATACGCATAAACAAATACAAGTGACACAAAACAACAGCAAGACAAATTACAGAATTTACAGAAAATTAGTGAGACAAATTACAGCACTGACACAATATTTCGAGAAATTTAATTTACAGAAGCAGGGTCAATTTTTGGTACATTTACAATCACAATGAAACAGATTTACACACTTAAGAATCAAAGCAACAGGTAGATAAAGCAAGATAAGAAGTGTTTGACTTCCAAACAGACAAGCCAGCCCACACACAATACAAACCAGTACGGCTGCTGGTCCGTGTGGCGGGCTTGGGAGAAGTGGGGGGAAGCACCTCCTCATCCAGCATGCCGTTATGGAAGTGAGTGTAATGGTAGGCCAGTCCAGGCCGCGTCTTGTAGCGAGCACCACAAGCTGTCGGGAGGAAGGGCACCTCATATCAACATTTCTTTCATATCAACACTGCCATCCATTTCATAGTAACTTAAGTGGTGCACTTTAAGTCAAGGAATCAAATGAAAAGGAACCCAAACAACCATCCATAAGGCCTAGTAACTTATCATACTCCTGGACCTTATCATCACACAGTAGAATACTCAATAAACCATTAACACAATCCCTTTTAAGATAATTCAGGGTTGATACATTAGTTTCTGATGTACATTGTTATGTGGTATGTTTCCTCTGTATGAATATTCTTGGTCTGTTATTATTTTTATGAAGAAACCTTTCATTCATAATTATTTTCACTTCAATTTACTTGAGTTAAAATAATTACATTTGTGTAAACACAAGAAAAGACCAAAGATATTCTGGTAATTCAACCATCTCCCCTTTATAAAGTTCTAACAAAAATACCAAATGTCACAAAAGAAGGAAGGATATTGGGGCAAAACAATTCCCCCAGCATAAACAATATTCTTCACTTTAACTGCCTGTATATTCATGTATATTCAAATGTATCTTAAACCCAGTAGTAATTGATCACCAGTCAGATACTATAATATCATCTGTGTTCCTCTCTTCATGGGTCCATGATTCTGCTCCAGTGGATGCTCCAAATGCACCTCCTATTTGAAGAGTTCCACTGATCACAATATAAACTTTCCATCAAAGGTAAGAAGTGCAGTAAAGGCATATCGTTGTTACATCAATTTGCTTTCGAACAACATTTTATGCAAGCAATCACATAGCTCTAGTACACTGAACTATAAAAAACATGAGATGAGGTTGGTGAACCTTACATTCACCCGTAAATCAAATCCAAATATGGATGTAACAAGTTCCTGTCACAAAGTAACAAAAAGTATGCCATTTTATAAGCCCTGAAGGCATTGATAATCAGGAGAGCAGTGCATTATCATTATCTGGGACAATTTTCTACAGAAACTGAGATCACAGACCATGTTGTGCTGTTGTCATTGGGTATAGGAGACCCCACATCAAAATCAGCCTAGTGATGGAAATGCAAACCTGAGATGTTTTATCTGATACTGACAAACTTTTAATCAGTACAGTGAAGTAATAGACACAGGTAACATTATAAACCATACAGAAATCACTTCTTAATTTATACAAGCTAGACACCAGTGGACTAGCAGCAAGAAAGAGTGTACCTAGGTTCTGTGTAGTAACTAGCCACCAATGGGCTAGCAGCAAGAAAGAGTGTACCTAGGTTCCTGGTAGTAACTAGCCACCAATGGGCTAGCAGCAGGAAAGAGTGTATCTAGGTTCTGTGTATTAACTAGCCACCAATGGGCTAGCAGCAGGAAAGAGTGTATCTAGGTTCTGTGTATTAACTAGCCACCAGTGGGCTAGCAGCAAGAAAGAGTGTACCTAGGTTCCTGGTAGTAACTAGCCACCAATGGGCTAGCAGCAAGAAAGAGTGTACCTAGGTTCCTGGTAGTAACTAGCCACCAGTGGGCTAGCAGCAGGAAAGAGTGTACCTAGGTTCTGTGTAGTAACTAGCCATCAGTGGGCTAGCAGCAAGAAAGAGTGTACCTAGGTTCCTGGTAGTAACTAGCCACCAATGGGCTAGCAGCAAGAAAGAGTGTACCTAGGTTCCTGGTAGTAACTAGCCACCAATGGGCTAGCAGCAAGAAAGAGTGTACCTAGGTTCCTGGTAGAAACCAGGCATCTGTGGGCTAGTAGCAAGAAAGAGTGTACCTAGGTTCTGTGTAGTAACTAGCCACTAGTGGGCTAGCAGCAAGAAAGAGTTACCTAGGTTCTGTGTAGTAACTAGCCATCAGTGGGCCTGCAGCAAGAAAGAGTGTACATAGGTTCCTAGTGGTAACTAGCCACCAGTGGGTTAGCAGCAAGAAAGAGTGTACCTAGGTTCCTGGTAGAAACCAGCCATCTGTGGGCTAGTAGCAAGAAAGTGTGTACCTAGCTTCTGTGTAGAAACTAGCCACCAGTGGGCTAGCAGCAAGAAAGAGTGTACCTAGGTTCTGTGTAGTAACTAGCCACCAGTGGGCTAGCAGCAGGAAAGAGTGTACCTAGGTTCCTGGAAGTAACTAGCTACCAGTGGGCTAGCAGCAAGAAAGAGTGTACCTAGGTTCATGGTAGTAACTAGCCATCAGTGGGCTAGCAGCAAGAAAGAGTGTACCTAGGTTCTGTGTATTATCTAGCCACTAGTGGGCTAACAGCAAGAAAGAGTGTACCTAGGTTCTGTGTAGTAACTAGCCACCAGTGGGCTAGCAGCAAGAAAGAGTGTACCTAGTTTCTGTGTAGTAACTAGCCACCAGTGGGCTAACATAAAAAAATACTGTATCCAGCTTTCTGGTAGAAACTAGCCACCCGTGGACTATATATTAGAAATGATGTACAGGTATTTGCATTAACTAGCTACAAAATTACTAGCAAATACAAGGGCTATATCTGGTAGAAGTTAGTTACCAATGGACTAGCAGTGGGGAGGGTTAAATATTTGATTCAAGCTAGCCACCAGTGGACTATTCAGAAGTGCTATAATTGGTGAAAGCCAACTGTCAGTGGACCAGTTGTAGCAAGGAAGGCTATATTTGGTGGAGGTTAGCCACCAGTGGACCAGCAGTAGTTGGGAAGGCAGTAACTAACTACCAATGGACAAGTATTGGGGTAAGCTTCACCTAGTAGTAGCCAGAACTGTGGCACCGTTGAGCCACTGGAGCTGTAGATATTGGTCTGTCAGAACTGATCAGATGTAAGTAGAGGCTGGGGATGTCACACATGCACCATGCCTATACATACATGCTTACTCCCATATATTCTGAGGGCGACGCCTCAGCTGCTCCTTTAACCTTGTACACACACCCAGAAACTGATCTTAATCCCTGCCTCACCTTCCCTACACCATAATGCATAATCCTACTTCCACTTTTTGACAGTTGTATAATCAAGTTTAATTCTTAAGTGTTTATTTGGTCTTTTGTAGCAACTAATTCTCCCATTTTAATTTTTAATATTCACATGTGTACTACACATTTTAAATACTCTACATGTGAACTACCAGTACATATCTTCAGATTGACCAATTTAGAAATGACATCTCCTCTCAAACATGCTGTCACAAAATAAAATCATCATGAGTACAGCTTACCAGAAATTCTATCAGATTCAAAGGTAAGCTTACCAAATTTCTCTCTATGCAAAATGTGAAAATTAATCCAAAATCACCTCCATCTATTTATAAAGATCAATAAACCTTTTGTGAGTAAACTTGATCTTTTACCTCCACATGCATATGGTTTTTCCTTTTCCTCAGGAGCATTCACATCCTTCTCAGTGTTTTTCTTTCGTCCACGGTTTGACTAAAAGGAAGGAAACAAATGTTGTGAAGGTCTGTAGTACAAATTATACATATTTTAATCTGACAATACTCTATGAATTACATTGATCTAGTGCCATACTATCAATCTGACAGTTTACGGTACATCTGATAGTAAACTGTCATCCGGAAATAAACAGTAAATCTGACAATATACCCCGTGCTGTATATCTCACAAAACACTCTCAATCTGACAATATACCCAGTGCTGTATATCTCACAAAACACTCTCAATCTGACAATATACCCAGTGCTGTATATCTCACAAAACACTCTCAATCTGACAATATACCCAGTGCTGTATATCTCACAAAACACTCTCAATCTGACAATATACCCAGTGCTGTATATCTCACAAAACAATATCCATCTGACAATATACCCAGTGCTGTATATCTCACAAAACAGTATCAATCTGACAATATACCCCGTGCTGTATATCTCACAAAACAATGTCCATCTGACAATATACCCAGTGCTGTATATCTCACAAAACAATATCCATCTGACAATATACCCAGTGCTGTATATCTCACAAAACACTCTCAATCTGACAATATACCCCGTGCTGTATATCTCACAAAACAATATCCATCTGACAATATACCCCGTGCTGTATATCTCACAAAACAATATCCATCTGACAATATACCCAGTGCTGTATATCTCACAAAACACTCTCAATCTGACAATATACCCCGTGCTGTATATCTCACAAAACACTATCAATCTGACAATATACCCAGTGCTGTATATCTCACAAAACACAATCTGACAATATACCTAGTGCTGTATATCTCACAAAACACTCTCAATCTGACAATATACCCAGTGCTGTATATCTCACAAAACGCAATCTGACAATATACCCAGTGCTGTATATCTCACAAAACACTCTCAATCTGACAATATACCCAGTGCTGTATATCTCACAAAACAATATCCATCTGACAATATACCCAGTGCTGTATATCTCACAAAACACTCTCAATCTGACAATATACCCAGTGCTGTATATCTCACAAAACACTATCAATCTGACAATATACCCAGTGCTGTATATCTCACAAAACACTATCAATCTGACATTATACCCCGTGCTGTATATCTCACAAAACACTATCAATCTGACAATATACCCAGTGCTGTATATCTCACAAAACACTATCAATCTGACAATATACCCAGTGCTGTATATCTCACAAAACACTCTCAATCTGACAATATACCCCGTGCTGTATATCTCACAAAACAATATCCATCTGACAATATACCCCGTGCTGTATATCTCACAAAACAATATCCATCTGACAATATACCCAGTGCTGTATATCTCACAAAACACTCTCAATCTGACAATATACCCCGTGCTGTATATCTCACAAAACACTATCAATCTGACAATATACCCAGTGCTGTATATCTCACAAAACACAATCTGACAATATACCTAGTGCTGTATATCTCACAAAACACTCTCAATCTGACAATATACCCAGTGCTGTATATCTCACAAAACGCAATCTGACAATATACCCAGTGCTGTATATCTCACAAAACACTCTCAATCTGACAATATACCCAGTGCTGTATATCTCACAAAACACTCTCAATCTGACAATATACCCAGTGCTGTATATCTCACAAAACACTCTCAATCTGACAATATACCCAGTGCTGTATATCTCACAAAACACTATCAATCTGACAATATACCCAGTGCTGTATATCTCACAAAACACTATCAATCTGACAATACATTGTAAACTTCAACCAATAACAAAATACATGGCACTATGCAAAGCTTTGCTGAAACATTCAAAGTAACATTTGAACAACTTTAAGCCATTTCGGGCCCATATTCATATGATATATGATTAACAACTTTGTTAATTAGACAGTTGCCTTTATCCATGTACAGTGGTACAGCACTATTAACATAAGTGTACACATACTGGTACATTACACCCTAAACCAAGTGTCCACATACTGTGACATTACACCCAAACCAAGTGTCCACATACTGTGACATTACACCTCAATAAAGTGTCCACATACTGGTACATTACACCCTAAACAAAGTGTCCACTTACTGTGACATTACACCCAAACCAAGTGTCCACATACTGTGACATTACACCCAAACCAAGTGTCCTCATACTGTGACATTACACCCTAAACAAAGTGTCCACATACTGTGACATTACACCTCAATAAAGTGTCCACATACTGTGACATTACACCTCAATAAAGTGTCCACAAACTGTGACATTACACCCTAGAAAAGTGTCCACATACTGTGACATTACACCCTAAATAAAGTGTCCACATACTTTGACATTACACCTCAATAAAGTGTCCACAAACTGTGACATTACACCCTAAACCAAGTGTCCACATACTGTGACATTACACCTCAATAAAGTGTCCACATACTGTGACATTACACCTCAATAAAGTGTCCACATACTGGTACATTACATCTATATAAAGTGTCCACATACTAGTACATTACATCTATATAAAGTGTCCACATACTGTGACATTACACCTCAATAAAGTGTCCACATACTGTGACATTACATCTATATAAAGTGTCCACATACTGGTACATTACATCTATATAAAGTGTCCACATACTGGTACATTACATCTATATAAAGTGTCCACATACTGGTACATTACATCTATATAAAGTGTCCACATACTGGTACATTACATCTATATAAAGTGTCCACATACTGGTACATTACACCTAAATCAAGTGTCCACATACTGTGACATTACATCTATATAAAGTGTCCACATACTGGTACATTACATCTATATAAAGTGTCCACATACTGGTACATTACATCTATATAAAGTGTCCACATACTGGTACATTACACCTAAATCAAGTGTCCACATACTGTGACATTACATCTATATAAAGTGTCCACATACTGTGACATTACATCTATATAAAGTGTCCACATACTGTGACATTACACCTAAATCAAGTGTCCACGTACTGTGACATTACATCTATATAAAGTGTCCACATACTGGTACATTACACCTAAATCAAGTGTCACCACATACTGTGACATTACATCTATATAATGTGTCCACATACTGTGACATTACATCTATATAAAGTGTCCACATACTGTGACATTACACCTAAATCAAGTGTCCACGTACTGTGACATTACATCTATATAAAGTGTCCACATACTGGTATTACAGCTAAATCAATCAGATTTCAGATTACAATATGATGTGTATTTACCTTCTTCTTTTTCTTTTTGATGTAAGTTTCCTCATAGTCACTTATATCTGACTGATCATCCACCATTTCTCCGGCATCTGGTGGTTCACTAAGATTGTCGTACTCATCATACCAACGGTCCTTACTTGATTCGCTTTTGTACTCAAGATCTTCTACATGCATCTCTCCTCGGATAGCAGGGTTCTCAACAGTACTGATCTGGTGCATATCTGAAGGAGATAGGTCCATAAGGCATTATTGTGACATTTTTCCTCTGCTTACAAACATACATATATATATAAAGTGAAATATAATTGAGTCAGAGTTTGCTAAAATACATCATCTCCATAGTCTACTCGCATTTATACTTCATTTCTTTTTAGTATCAAACATGTTCATTTACCTGCTTCTCCAGTCTCTATGTCACTGGCCTTTGTAACACTAACATCTGCTGAAGATGTCATAAAGGCCAATCGCTTCTTCTTCTTCCAGCGTTGAGCAGGGTAGGAATACATCTCACCATATCTACTGCCTGTTACAGATTATGTGTATGTTAACATTATTTCCTAGTATTCTAAAACTGATGACATCACACCAATCAAATCAATACCATGGATATTGCAAACATATTCCAATTTTGAAATTTACAATTTATACATTTACAATTCACAAATATTTATTTTGTTTCTAGGGAAAGTCAGTGTAGAATTTGAGAAAAATCTTTCCTTTACTTCTCCAGAAACAGTAATAAATAAAAAGAATTGACAGATGATAAACAACACGAGGATGGTTAGACTTACTAAAGTAGCAGTAATGTAAATGTACCACCTGGAAAGTATGAATTATTAAGACATCATATCAGTTTTTATATTGGTCTAGCATTGTGGTACATCAAAAAGTTGATTAACATCAGGAATAATATGGACTAAAATGGGATGGCTGAATACTGGAGGGTCACAAGTTTGTTGATACCTGACACTCCTCTGATCTGGTTACCTAGCTGCCTACTCATCAAAGATGTTTCTGTGTCACATGATTACCTGGATTTCTACACCTGTAGGGGTGCCACAAGTTAGTGTGGTTCTGTGCAACACCTGTCTGAGAATCTAGGAAGGGCAGCCTCAGCTTTCTTTCAAGTGACAGTCTAGAATTAAAGCTGGCTGTGTGTTCCGTCATATCTTTGAATACAGTTTCCCCTCCCATACTAGAAAAAGAAAAATTGTTTGATAAATGGTTTAAAAGCAGTAAAATGAAGTTAAAAATAAAACAGGTGGTAGCAATCTGCTTTTTCATTGCCTGGTATTCAGATGTGACCAAGAACCCAGCAGAAAACAATACAAAATTTTAAGGCAAGTTCATGATATAGTATTAAAGGAACTAACTGGTTAAGATTTCGTTATTTTTTCACATGCATATGATTTCGGGCAAGCATTGTAATACTTAAAATTTGACTCTTCACAAAATTATAACACTCTCTGATAGAAATTGATAAAGATTATCAGCTTCAAACTAATGCTAGTCGACACTCGCCATTGTGTCTACCATCCATTGCCGTTTTGATTGGAGATAGCAGAGTTCATCACTTGATCTTTTGGAGCCTCGTTTTAACACGCTGCCATTTTGTTATGATTTCTTACTATGTATAATTATGTAATTAGCCAAAACTTCATTTGCCAGGCATGTTTCAATTATTACTTCGTAAAATGACCTTTTGTTTCCTGCTATACACAGAGCATAGACAGTGCAAAATTAATTAATTTGAATTAATCTAAATCTAAAATTGCATGTGCAAAGACATTGTTTATACTCTCCGAACAATAATTTTTTGATGCTGTTAATAAAACGGTTATGCAAACTTAAAATATTATAATTAACAGAGAGTACATAATTTTTAACAGATGTTCAAATATTATAATGCTTTTTATCAGTTATGAAATGAACATCTAACCATTTAGTCTCTGTATTACGAATGAAAATGTTTTTTATATTTCTATTGCTAAGACTTTATAGTATAGAAAGAAAGTTTGAATAGATAAAAGCTCTCGTTTTTGTTTGTTTGTTTGAATATGTTCAAGGGCAAGGTAGCTATAGTGTATGCTTCTGCCAAGAATATTGAGGCTTTGTTGAGTAGCTGGCATCCATAGGCTTCATCTTGTGTAAAAATGGCCATAGCAACCTTATAATAAACTTTTGAACCATCAGTATATAAATGTAGATTCTTTTATATTGTTACTGCAATTTCGAGAAGGATAATAATAATAATAATAACAGACTTTATTTTCATTCGATTACACATTGAGTCAAAGACTCTTCTCACATGTGGACGAAAATATTAAATATACAGTATTTACAGCAAAAGGATGACTGGAAGGTGCTCGCTTTCAGTAAAAGTCAAACTTTGTCACCTCCGTTGATTATCAACTGCTTATAGTGTTGTTAAACATAGAACAAGAGGTAAATTCCTGCTCACCTAACATTTGCACTAAATGCTATTACAGGCTATACTCAGTAGTTAAATCTGAAGTGATATAACGTGTAATTTTAACACTAAAAGATAATGCCTCTTTTTGTTGCAATTCTTAAACGAACTTTATAAGCTTCTATTTTAGAATGACCCGCATTTGAGTAACTAACTGATTACTAAGAGCAGTAACTATCACTCAAATGTAGGACTATTGGGTACTCATACCACGGGTTGTGGCCAACTTGTAAGCCATGGCGATATACACACAATTAATATTCCCTGAGCACAAATCAATGCAGTATTAATATAATGGCAACCAAAACATATAAAATTTCATGAAAATCCTTTGATCGACAAGTATTTCATAACTAGAGCCAATCCTGTTACCATTTTCTCAACAAAGAATAATTCACATTCACAGCGGCGGCCATTTTCATTGTTGGCTTATCTCCCTTCGTGAAATTGGCGCGTTCGATTCATACTCTCATTTTACATTAAGGTTGTCTAAACTTAATTACTGCTATATGAACAAGAATCGAAATGAATTATTTTGTGTGGACTGGCCGCTAGAGACGTCGAATAAAGTTAAATAAGAGCAATCTCTATTGTTGGCCACTTGTTTATTGGTGAAATGGAACAATGCTATCTGAAAAGATAACAGTAAAGCTACAAGGAACTACAGGACTTATCTTATATCTCCACCAAGTCTTTTGTATGTACATCTCATGGCTAGGAACTATTAACGGCTAGAGAAATGTCATATAACAAAGACTGATAAATGGTCAACATCAAGGGAAAACTGTGAAAATAACCATATAAACTGGTATAAAATATAAAGTCTAATATTTCATGGTCTTTGTGCCACACTGGGGTACAGGTAGAACAGTTAGAGTGTCTCAGGGTAACAGGTGTGGACGTCATTGGCAGAGCTGGTGCACAATCTGCAGGATCATGTAGGACTGGTTGGTAGTTCTTATTTGGCGAAGTGTTCAGATGGTAGTCTTCAAGAGAGAAAATTTGCCAGGTCCAGCTACTGGTTGTCATGGTGATGCTGTGTGATGTGGTGACAGACCCTATGACAGGAACTGGTTCCAATATGTATGGTATTTTGACCCAGTTTCATTTCCCCATGTTTCACAATACCATGCTACACCAGCTTTTACGTCTTCCTGACAGTGGAGGGGGACTGACACTGGCGTGTGGTAAGAACCAGGTTTAGCATCAGGAGGGACCATTATGTGTAAAGGTAGACCTTCCATGAGGGGTAGTGGCTGTTGGTCACACTTGTTAAAGCATGGGACTCCTAGTAATCCAAGATATATTGTCTCAGACACATGCGATTTTCCTCAGTTGCCAGAAACGGCAGTTTTGTTAGAAGTGGAGGTGGCTGTTTGTGTTGCGGGTGGTTACAAGGTGCAGTCAAGCTGTCTTCATCAGTGTCACCATGTCTTGCTGCTGCTTGGGTGGAATGTGATACCTTAGTCACTCCGCCTATGATGGGAAAGCTAGCTGGCATCATGCCAAGTGCAACACATGCCTCGCGTCTGATGAATGGAAGTCCAGCAGACAAGAAGCAGACCTTTTGCCAGCCTCTTTGGCTTCAACAATGTGCAATGCATCCTCCAGGCTCATATGATGCCACGAGTGAGCACGTCTCATAGTATGGCTTCTGTGTAGTGGACATCACCATTGCAAGCAGGGCACTTGATAAAGAACTTACAGACACCAGCTTGTCCTCGGAGGCATGCTTCAAATATACACACATGTTCATTCTGGTCCAGCGCGTATTATGAAGAGTAACTCTGGCCACCATGTTTTCTCCATGAACGGCTAGTTTCTTTATAGTGGCAAGAACCTGTTTCTGGCTTGTTGGTCGAGTTTCCTACAGTACAACATGAGAGATCCTTACATAGTTGTTCATCGCAGCATTCAAGCACAACTTTATCACCACCGGTCACATTTGTAGCATCCACATAATCTGCAGCATGATTCAAAGTACGACCATTCCTCACTTGTACCAGCAGGCCAGATGACAAGTTGTTTTATTTTTTTGACTTTTGCGATTGTGGCTAGTCCTTGAGAGTGCATGGTGGTGTGGGCTGTTATGAACCACATTAGCCACATCAAGGTCCTCAGTCTCGTATACACATGCCGGGAGTGGGCACTTTTGGCATCTTCAGAGTCCAACCATGGTCGGAAACAAAGGAAGTCACTCTAGATGTCTAATACCGAGAGAATGAGTGAGGTTACCTGTATTTCTAGATACAGGGAAACTCGGTAGGGCACTCTAGATATCAAATACTGAGACACAGGGAGATGTCATTCTTCTTGTTCTTATATGGCAGTACTGGGAGACTCTCATGCTGTCTGATAGTGGGAGACAATAGGGTTGCATTCTTGTTGCCTCATTCAGAGAGATCGTGGAGGACACAAATTTTGTCTAATATAGAGAGACTGATAGAATAAAGTCTTCATGTCTGGCACACTGAGACTGATAGAATAAAGTCTTCATGTCTGGCACACTGAGACTGATAGAATAAAGTCTTCATGTCTGGCACACTGAGACTGATAATCGGGGTCATAAATAAAAACACTCTCTGCTTGATCACTTATTTATTGGTGAAGTGGAACAATGATCATGGTTATCTCAAAGTAATGCTATAAAGAACTACAGGACAAAATCTAAATATCCTCTTAAAATTATTTTATGAATATGCATTGTAATATATATACAATAGACAAATGCTCTTGACTCTCCAAATATTTTTTTTCTTTTGTACTTGCAATCTTGTGTCTTGAAGTAATTCTGCTTCTTCTGGTCACAGTAGGAGATTCTCTGGAGCTTGTGATCAGAACTCTAAGGATTAAGAATATATGTACCGTCTAGTATGACAGTTGCCTGCTGGCCAAGAAATGCTTGAGAACACAGTGCTGTGCTTCAGAATATTTTCTCTTGTAAGATGTTCACATCGAAGGCACAAAGGAACAATTATTTCTAATACTTTCTAATGTGTTTACTATGACATTAAATGTTTTTGATATACTGGAAATTGACATGTTAAAAAGAGTTGAACACTGTTTCCGTGATATGCATGTCTGTCTCCATTTTTACACAGTCGCACATCCTCGTGGTTTGGAGTGTAAATACCAGTGTCAATAGAGGATGAACAATAAAAAAGTATTTTGATTCAACAATTTAAAAAAAATAGCTCCGCAAACGCGGGCAATACCCCACAGCTTTATATAGTTGGAAATGTGTGGTTGGGGTGAGTGGAAAGTTATCTCAAGAATGGATTGTGTAGGTCCATAGGCCCAACATCCCCAGTGAAAATGGTGATGACCGGTGATGTAGTTTTTTTGAGATAATAAGCGATATGCAATTGTTGACGGACGGACAGACGCCGTGCATGATCGCAATACCCCACACCCTTTCGGGCTGTGGGGTAAAAATGCTATTGGCCTTTTTTCTCGTCTCTTAATTTCTTTGAAGCTTTCAATCATGTTAGGGGCATGGTTTCACAGAAACATGAAAGGAACACAACATGGATTATCATGCCATGATGCATGTTATCAAAGTTTTCACATCATACCGAGAAGTCTTGAGAACAATTCATTTGTATTCCATCTTGTGACATAATGGTCATCACATGACTTGTTGGACCTTGAAATCTTCACAAATAACATACCTAAAAGCCTCTGTGTTTAATTTACACTGTACCAACATCAACACCACAACAATAAATAAAACAAACTATCAAATGATATACAAAAAATTTATTTAAAAAAAGACATGGACACACAGAAGTGAATTTTCTTTGATAAAGGAATGTTGAGTACCACAAGTGACTATGTGTTTCATAGAAGCAAGGATTTCTTGTTTTAAGAAAAGTCTGATTTGTATCACAGCGACACCAATATATGCTACTCCTGTATCAGGTACATCCTATACATATATATACGTTTGTTTACTTCATACATTTAACCATAAAAAATTATGGTTTTAATATCTTGTTTAACAATGTCTTTTGAAAAGCTAGTTTGGATTTGCGAGATCAGGACACAATATCCTTCATATCTCGACGAAATCACATCTCTGATATACATAATCATACAGTCCCTGTAAGGATGACCTTGTACTAGTGTCAGCCGTTGCAGCCAATGATCATTACAGCACATATAAAGGGTGTCACTTAGCATTCCTAATTAAGTAGGACATTTTTTGTATGATGTGTCAGGTGGTGATAGTTACAGCATACTTTCTGTGGTTTGATATTGTTCCAATCCCCTCTTGAAACTTTAATATATAGTCATTAATGTACTTTCTTGATACAGCATTTATTACTGGCAATGTTTTAAATTGGTGTATCTGACACACCCACCTCCAGAATACCAATTAGTCCACTGAATACATTCCCATTTTTTTCAGAATGTTCAGGTCACCAAAATTTTCAAAAGCATTATTTCTATGGTTTTATAACAATCTCAACACATGAAAATACATTACAAAAATGTACATGGCTGGATTCTATATAAGACACTACCACACATTCACACCCACAAGGGTTCCAGCACACACATCTTACACAATATCTCGCGTTCTCAGACGAACAGAGTACAGTATCCCTTACAAGTAAGATCAAGTGATTCCTGCTTTCACATATTTTATTCAGAACTTTAAAGTCTAAAATTTGGAGACAACTACATAATTGTTTTAAATATTGCTAGATTTTAAATATTGAGTCTTAATTGGAATACGACTCTAATGTTTAAGGGATCAAATTTTCTTAATTAAAAAAACTGTATTATTCCTGATGTACGAAAAGATTTTAAGCTTTTAAATTACGTTCTGCACAAATTAAAATTCTACCATACTAAATATAATGACACATATTATTGAATCCAAACATAAAAAAAAGTCAAAAATGCACATTTAAGTTTAGATTAATATGTTCTATCACTACAAAAGTTGTCATTGGATACAGATTTGAGGAGGCTGCGACAAACAACCACTACTTAAGAGATGGTGGTGTACTACTGATGATCTAAACTATACACCTCAATATACTAACAAAATACCACATACAGATCTAGATAAAGAAGTGTTTAAGTCCAATATAGACGTGGATGATGTCGAATAGAAACTTCATATCTTGTTTAAGCCAAATGTCTACTGTAAATGAAGTTGGGTAGACACTTCAGATCTTGTTTAAGCCAAATGTCTACTGTAAATGAAGTTGGGTAGACACTTCAGATCTTGTTTAAGCTAAATGTAAATAATGTAAAATTGCAATTTCAGCTATTGAGATTTAAATGGCCATTTCAGATCTGCGTCAAACACTCAAGTGAGCATTTGCTAAGTTATGTGTTGGATATTTTTACACCAACACATGCCAACACTAGTAATAACACCCTCTGATTAAACTTTATACCATATATAGAATTACCTATAATGTGTTAATATATTAACAAGTATACAGACCAAAGTGAACTGTTACCTTTACCTCCAATATTTCTCTTCTTTGTTCAGGTGGACATAGTGTTTGTTATCTGGGTAATCAACAATGGCCCATTAAATATACTAATCATTCTATGAGATTTTCAGTATTCTTAAATTTTTTTACACAAACAACAGATGTTATGTTCCTGGTATGAAAATTGGCTTGCCTGAATGTGGTGATCATTTGATATGACAGATCACTTTGGTCTGACACGTACGTAAAACAAAATATCAAATATTGAGAAACACAAAATAAACATGAAGATATAATGATGAGTTATTATCTGAAAAAAAATCTTTAAATAATTAAACTTTAAGACTTGATGTTAACTTTATCATTTAACCTGTCCTCTTTCACAATGTTAACTTTATCATTTAACCTGTCCTCTTTCACAATTTTAACTTTTCGGCAAATGAAAATCTCAAAACAATTTAGTGACACTTTTCTCTAAATAAGATTTTTTTTTTTTTTTAATTTCATATGAAGCTAATTTTGTTGACAGGATTAAGGTGACAAAGTCTGTGCTTGTTGTTTCCATCTTTAGTGTCAGTTGACATGACTGTGGTAAAGACTTTGTAAAGCCACTCCTGAATGCCACATCAGGACATCACACCAGGACGTTGATCAGGTTTCTCTTTAAACAATAATTCTCTTTCTGAAAACAAAAGATTAACAAAGTTAGGATTCTTTTCCAAGTATCAAGTACGCAATGATTTCATTTATAAGTTTGAGAGAAAAATGAAACATGCATCAGTTTCATGGACAGAAATATCTGGACCTTTGTGCAAGCCAAGCCAAACTCTTACACTCAGAGGTAGTAACCCTTGTCCACAGACAAGGTTCTATTAATCTTCATCAACCTCTCTTTACCCTCGTCTGAAACTCTCTTAGTTTTTCTCAGACAAATTAATATAGGACTTACCCCACAGATATTGGCTGCAGCTCTTGAAGAACACCAGTATTTCGGTCCCTGATCACACTTTTTCGTAACAATCCTATGCTTCATGAAGTACAGGTTATTGTCTTTTGGACCTGTCGTCTTCACTGCCTTGGGTGTAGCACAAAAGTGAAGTTTCTACAAAACATATTCATTTCATGAGGTCAACAGAGGTCAATAATCAAACAAACCTGTCATCCATCATTGTATAAATTTCTGTCAACTTGCTGTCTATTACTCTTAATTATCTGATGCACTGAAGGAACAAATCTTATGGAAGTGTTTGCAGCTGTTCTTTCAGAATGAGGTCTTCATCCGACATATTAGTTAGAATAGATTGTGAAAATAGAAATTAATTGGAACCTACATAAAAAAGGTTCATCCATCTTCAAAATGCAATATCTACATCTTCTGAGAACCACTGAAACACCATACGTTATACTGGAGATGGATGTTGCAAGTTCTTCAACTCTACATAACTAAGGCTGCCATCTGTGTGTTATGTAAGCATGAAACCAAATGTCAAAATATATATCTGTCAATCACTGAGAAAACACAAGTAAACATTGAGAAAGTACCTCCTTGGTGTCTAATTATTACCACAAATACACTGAACCATCTGTCAATCACTGAGAAAACACAAGTAAACATTGAGAAAGTACCTCCTTGGTGTCTAATTATTACCACAAACACACTGAACCATCTGTCAATCACTGAGAAAACACAAGTAAACATTGAGAAAGTACCTCCTTGGTGTCTAATTATTACCACAAATACACTGAACCATCTGTCAATCACTGAGAAAACACAAGTAAACATTGAGAAAGTACCTCCTTGGTGTCTAATTATTACCACAAATACACTGAACCATCTGTCAATCACTGAGAAAACACAAGTAAACATTGAGAAAGTACCTCCTTGGTGTCTAATTATTACCACAAATACACTGAACCATCTGTCAATCACTGAGAAAACACAAGTAAACATTGAGAAAGTACCTCCTTGGTGTCTAATTATTACCAAAAACACACTGAACCATCTGTCAATCACTGAGAAAACACAAGTAAACATTGAGAAAGTACCTCCTTGGTGTCTAATTATTACCACAAATACACTGAACCAGCTGTCAATCACTGAGAAAACACAAGTAAACATTGAGAAAGTACCTCCTTGGTGTCTAATTATTACCACAAATACACTGAACCAGCTGTCAATCACTGAGAAAACACAAGTAAACATTGAGAAAGTACCTCCTTGGTGTCTAATTATTACCACAAATACAATACACTGAACCAGAAACCAAAGGAGTCTTGCATGGTAAGAACTTCCTGAAGCCTCTGAGTGCAAACAAGACTTTGTCGGAAAGACAGAAGGAACATGAACTATCACTGATATGTACATCTGATGAGCATGAAGGATTTCAAGCAGCTACACGCCATCTTTTTGACGAAGAAGATAATAAAAGAATTTACTTACGGTACAAATCATGTAGGGGTCATCCATAGTCTGCAGCCAATGTACCAATTTATCGGAATACTCGTTTACATAGTCCTCGCACTGAAAACATCAGACGATGGAAATGTTAGAATACATGCCATTTATCAACAGACTAATTAATAAAACATCACAGAGATCTCTTACGCTTCTAAAACTCAATGTTATATAAACTTTAGTAGAGTTTAATATATCAAACATTAATAGGTTAAAAAAATCAACAAAATTTAAAATATTTTGTTCATAAAACAGATAAAATGTGTGAGAAAGTCAGTACAACTTCCATGTTATATGTTGATAAAGAGGCGATTGCATGGCTGTGAAAATCAATATGATAATTATAAAGGATTAACTGTCCTGTTTTTATCTTAGTACAAGAATAACAACAGATGTCGTGACAATAAACATGACAGGTAAAACCTACCATTTGCTGATATTCCTTGGGTATTTTCCCACAAGCCATATCCAGAGCTGCTTTAATATCTTCAGCAGTTGCTTTCTCCTTCAGGGCCTGCTTCACATAGGTCATGACCATCTCACACAAAACACACTTGTTGCTGGACTTGGAATCTGTAAACAAATTATTGTGCATCTGTTCATATATCATTGTTTTAATTTAACATGATATTCCAATCAGATATTCCAATTAGATAGGAATGTGGAGGTCAAACACTAAAAACTTTGCATGCCATGTGAGTAACACTATATATCTCCAGTGGCATTTTATTGAACACTCCATGGAATAAATAAATCTGTCCTTGACACTGATCTGATCCGAATGTTCCGTACCCTTGTCCTCAATTTAACTTGGTACTTACAATACAAACAATCATATTTAGGATTTCATTTTATACATTTTCTGTATCTTTTTATAAGTTTAAGGATTCAACTACTAAAGCAGTGACAAAAGAAGGGAGATAATTCACAGAGAGCTACAATCCCCCACACAAACAACCTGCTGCTGACATGGTTCCCAGACCAGTGTAGTGATCCTTTATCTATACACAGTGGAACAAGAATGCTCCAATCCAATTTTAGAAGGAAAATTGATAGATGTTGTTACATAGTAGCATATATGATACTTACTTTCCACATTGAAGATTTTCGTTGGTAAGGCTTCTTTAAACAGTGGTACAACGTGCAGCCTTGGAGAAGCCTTCGGTGGAACCTTTTTCAGGCTTTTCTTGGAAGAGCAGAGACCAATATAACTGCAGATCTCCTCAGGAGCCACTTTTGCCACCAGCGCAGCATATATTTCATCAAAGAAGAGATTCAAGGCAGTCTCACACTCATCCTTAATGCCTGAGATCTCGTTACACATTTTGTCCAGTACACTTCTGACCTCCTCCTATCAAACAAGTATAAGATAGTTTCCAGGAGATTCGAAAACATGGTGAAAATCAGCTCTTTGTGATACATTATAACAACTGTTTGGGATTCATCAGATATATATAAATAGTACAATCTAACAAGCCAATGAGTTTTTCAAAACCAAGAATATTTTCCTACCTTAGTGCTCTTTTCATTCAGAAACTTTGCTGCTTCCCTCATCGAAAATTCACAAAAGACACAAGTACTATCGGCCTTGATAGTCTTAATGACAGCTGAAAAGACAAAGAATTTTTATTATCCTAGTTTTAATGTAGGCAAAGCTACGTAATGACAGTAAATTTAAAAAAAGAGCAATAACTTTGACGAGGGGTCATGAGTCCCGACTTTACTACACTGCACTTTGCTTTCCTTTGGCTGATGTATACATCACAAAAAACGAGGTTAATTCTCTCCCAAAAATTCTCAAATGCATTACAAACTTTTGACTTTCATTTTTAATGATGTAATACCTTGTGTTTTGGCCTATCTATCACCAGGACAGCTGTGTTATAATGTGCGTCTTGTCCTATCTATCATTAGGACAGCTGTGTTATAATGTTTGTCTTGGTCTATCTATCATTAGGACAGCTGTGTTATAATGTTTGTCTTGGTCTATCTATCATAAGGACAGCTTTGTTATAATGTGTCTTGTCCTATCTATCATTAGGACAGCTGTGTTATAATGTTTGTCTTGGTCTATCTATCATTAGGACAGCTTTGTTATAATGTTTGTCTTGGCCTATCTATCATTAGGACAGCTGTGTTATAATGTGTCTTGTCCTATCTATCATTAGGACAGCTGTGTTATAATGTTTGTCTTGGTCTATCATTAGGACAGCTTTGTTATAATGTTTGTCTTGGTCTATCTATCATTAGGACAGCTTTGTTATAATGTGTCTTGTCCTATCTATCATTAGGACAGCTTTGCTATAATGTTTGTCTTGGTCTATCTATCATAAGGACAGCTTTGTTATAATGTGTCTTGTCCTATCTATCATTAGGACAGCTGTGTTATAATGTTTGTCTTGGTCTATCTATCATTAGGACAGCTTTGTTATAATGTTTGTCTTGGTCTATCTATCATTAGGACTGCTTTGTTATAATGTGTCTTGTCCTATCTATCATTAGGACAGCTGTGTTATAATGTTTGTCTTGGTCTATCTATCATTAGGACAGCTTTGTTATAATGTTTGTCTTGGCCTATCTATCATTAGGACAGCTGTGTTATAATGTGTCTTGTCCTATCTATCATTAGGACAGCTGTGTTATAATGTTTGTCTTGGCCTATCTATCATTAGGACAGCTGTGTTATAATGTATCTTGGTCTATCTATCATTAGGACAGCTGTGTTAAAATGTTTGTATTTGCCTATCTATCATTAGGACAGCTGTGTTATAATGTGTCTTGTCCTATCTATCATTAGGACAGCTGTGTTATAATGTTTGTCTTGGTCTATCTATCATTAGGACAGCTGTGTTATAATGTTTGCCTTGGCCTATCTATCGTCAGGACAGCTGTGTTATAATGTTTGTCTTGGTCTATCTATCATTAGGACAGCTGTGTTATAATGTTTGTCTTGGTCTATCTATCATTAGGACAGCTGTGTTATAATGTTTGTCTTGGCCTATCTATCATTAGGACAGCTATGTTATAATGTGTGTCTTGGTCTATCTATCATTAGGACAGCTGTGTTATAATGTGTGCCTTGGTCTATCTATCATTAGGACAGCTGTGTTATAATGTATCTTGGCCTATCTATCATCAGGACAGCTGTGTTATAATGTTTGTCTTGGTCTATCTATCATCAGGACAGCTGTGTTATAATGTATCTTGGCCTATCTATCATCAGGACAGCTGTGTTATAATGTTTGTCTTGGCCTATCTATCATTAGGACAGCTATGTTATAATGTTTGTCTTGGTCTATCTATCATCAGGACAGCTGTGTTATAATGTATCTTGGCCTATCTATCATTAGGACAGCTGTGTTATAATGTGTCTTGGCCTATCTATCATCAGGACAGCTGTGTTATAATGTTTGTCTTGGTCTATCTATTATTAGGACAGCTGTGTTATAATGTTTGCCTTGGCCTATCTATCATTAGGACAGCTGTGTTATAATGTGTCTTGTCCTATCTATCATTAGGACAGCTGTGTTATAATGTTTGTCTTGGTCTATCTATTATTAGGACAGCTGTGTTATAATGTTTGCCTTGGCCTATCTATCATTAGGACAGCTGTGTTATAATGTGTGTCTTGTCCTATCTATCTTTAGGACATTAGAAGAAGTGAGACACTGGACACTGGTAAAAGTGTGGATTATGGAGTGAAGAGCTTCATTTTTGTAAGGGTCACCTGACACCCCAGTTGTAAAATGTAATGTGCATAGTCACGGTGACTTTCATGTGTTCCTTAATGCTTCTCTTGCCAAAGATGTACCTCTACATCAAATCTGGTAATCCTATATGAAAAAGGTTAAGAGATATGCTAAGAAAAAAAGTTTGCCTTTGAACAATGTCAAAGGTCAAATTACAGGAGGTCACAGTGACCTTGGATAGTTGCACAGTATGCCTTCTGCCTCAGATGTTCCTATGGAAGAAGTTCAGTGATCCAATATTAAAGAGGATAAAAGATATGCTTAAAACATGTCTTTTCTGTGAACAAGCTCCAAGGTCAAAATATAGATCACAGGGGCCTTGTAATGTGATACAAATGACCTTCTGCCCCAGATGTTTCTTTAGAGCAGGACAGGGTCAAAGGTCGAGATGGATGCTGTGGCAGCCATCCTGAAAATCAGACCATGCTGATTATCACTAAGGATGAGCTAAGGACCAAGTGGAACACACCACTAAATTATGAAAGAGAAGCAGATATAACAAGAATTGTTATGGACAGCAGACCACTAACAAAATGTGATTTCATCAGCCAGTCTTGTGTGACAAGGTAGGCTAATATAAAAATGAAAGATATTCTTGATAAATAAAGTTAATAAATATTCATATGATAAATTTTTTTGTAAAAAATCTGATGAATAAAACAACTTCATTTATGTTCCATTATGTTTAACATCTGACAGAATTTAAAATCTGACACAAGTAATAACAAGTTCAACAAGAGATCCCAGAGGGATCTTGGCGCCATCCATTTGAGGATCTGTTTTCAGTTCTTGAAGATTTGTTTATTTTTTTCTTGTTACAGGTGTTGTAAATGTACATGAACTGGTCTTCATTGAATGTACTCAATGATGGCACAAGATATTTTTATTAAGCACCTATTAGCAAATATCATTTGAAAAAGATCCCAAAGTATTATTAGATATCAGCCAGTTACAGGTGGATAATGGACATGGTCTTGAATCAATATGATAGAATATTGAAGAAAATATGCTTGTGCTGTATTACTGTCGACATCCAAGAAGACTGCCTGTGGGCCACCTTGATTTCAAATCAGTCCAAAAAAGGTACAATGCACAACTAGGGACCAAGGGAAACCAATACCTATGAAATATCAGAAGGATCCATCCAGTACTTCCTCAGAAATAGCGGTAACAAGATTTTACTCTCAAAATACAAGATGGCTGCCTGTCAGCCATCTGATTTCGAATCAGTCCAAAAAAGGTACACTGCACAACTAGGGACCAAGGGGAATCGCCCTATGAAATCTGACAAAGATCCATCAAGTACTTTCTCAGAAATAGCGGTACCAAATTTTTCTTTTTAAAATAAAAGAAGGCCGACAAGCGGCCATCTTGAATTCAGATCAGTCCAAAACAGATACAATGCACAACTCGTGACCAAGGGGAAATTGCATATGAAATTTGAGAAAGATCCATCCAGTACTTTCCCAGAAATAGCGGTAACAAACTTTTACTTTCAATCTCCAAGATGGCTGCCTTTCGGCCATCTTGAATTCGAATCTGTCCCAAAAATGTACAATGCACAACTAGGGACCAAGGGAAACCTGCATATAAAATTTGAGAAAGATCCATCCAGAACTTTCCAAGAAATAGCGGTAACAAACTTTAACTTCCAAAATCCAAGATGGCTGCCTGTCAGCCATCTTGAATTCAAATCAGTCCAAAAAATGTACAATGCACAACTAGGGACCAAGGGGAACCTGCATATGAAATTTGAGAAAGATCCATCTAGTGCTTTTCCATAAATAGTGGTAACAAGAATTGTTTACGGATGGACTAACGACGGACGGACGACGGACGCAGGGCAATTTGAATAGCCCATCATCTGATGATGGTGGGCTAAAAATAATTTAAAGTCCAAATGTATAGACAATTACACAATGATAGTTGGAGAGTCAAACACAGTTAAACAGGTTGAACTTGTCTGATCAGCCTACTTGTGGTAAGGAGACAAGGTTGTTATTCAGTTTATATAACAAGGCAGCAGCTGCGAACCCTGTATGACCCTTACCTTTAGATGGTGTAGTTTTGACTGCCTGTTTAGCCGAACAAACACCAAGGTCCTTACAAAAAGTGGCAGGATTCAGCTCCCCAGCTAGCAGGTCGAGTACAAATGGGGTGTACTCATCTACAAAATTCTTGCACTCTGCAATCAGGTTTCCACTCAGCCTGGTACAAATAATACTGTCCAGCTGTGACATAATTTCTGCCTGCATTGGGAAGAAATGTACAACTGTTCAGTTAAAAAATCCAACGATTATCAATATGCTTTAAAGATGCATGTTTTGTATTGGTATAACATAATAGAAGAGTTTTAGGATACATTTCATAGATATGAAGAAAGATATATGATGTATTATGTTGAACACAAACCTGGAATTCTTGATTCTTCAGCAGACTGTCTACCTCTGTAGCTATGGTGTTACAGACATCACAGAGGGCCCCATTGCTAGTCACCATAGGTACAGGGGCTGCACAAAGGTTCATTTTACCACAGAGGTACCCAGCATTCTACAAACAGAAATTACCTCATGTATCAACGTATCAACAAATTTCATTAGACCACCTATAAACATGTATATCCCACGTATCCCACTAGATCTAGAGCTCAGTGATTACCACAACTAATAAGAGGTATAACAGAGCAGCTCTGTAAGGTTTTTCTATATTTCAATAGCTTTAGCTTTTACTTGGAGTCATTATCGCTGTATGGAAGTTCATGATAGCTAACAGATATCATAAAGTGCAAAACTCGCCAGTATCTGTTTCAAAACCCACCAGTATCTGTTTCAAAACTCACCAGCATCTGTTTCAAAACTCACCGATATCCGTTTCAAAACTTACCAGTATCTGTTTCAAAACTCACCAGTATCTGTTTCAAAATTTGGAAGACAGCTGTGCCATACATATCAACATCCATCTTGCACTTCAAAAAAACCCAAAAGATTTCAATAAAACAAATAATGAAGACAAATAGTATATGGTGTGAAGGTGGAACCTTAGATCAGTGCATTTTCTTATCATTGGATTCTCATCCATCTTACAGTATACAAAGCATATATGAACCTGTAATCCAATTAGAAATCAATTTTTAGAACAGGAGATTGCTGAATTTCAGCCATTTTGACCGCATCTGGCTGAATCCAAAAGAAGCTAGAGTTATCTTACTTCAAGCCAAATTATAACTGACACAGTTACTTTCCATTCAGGCATGTTATAAATGTATATTACCTGTGCTGCTGAACTTCCAAGCCTGGGACACACATAATTTTCAAGGAAATTCTTGATTGTATTCTGGAATTGAGAAAACCCTATGTTGCATAACATTTCTGTTTCAGTAAACTTCATCATTCTCATTATTACAAAATAAAAGAATTTTATTGATAATTAAGATGACTTTGATTGGCAGTCAAAGGATTTGGCAACAGAATGCTGCAACGCATGTGTATTTCCATCACATGCATATAGAGCAAGATACTGACATACAAACAAGAATGATCTTTTTTAATGGTTTTAAAGACCGACAACTCTGATAAAAAAATGACAGATTTTGACCAATATCAAATTTATCCAAGATCTCACACAAAAGAATGTACACTTCAAATCTTGCTAACAAATTCAGAAACATTGGACCAATTTTGACCAATATCAAATTAATTGATGAACTCACTGATATAAAGCAATGTAACAAATTTGGTTTCAATCTGATGAAAAATCTAAAGTTAGATTAAGAGAAGTAGGCCTAGGCTCAACGTCATCAAATGATTCATCAGGACTACACCTATCCAAAGTCTTATCATTTACCATTGAGAAGATAGGAGTCAAAGTTGTGTGCAAACAAATGAACCAAAACCAATATGCCCCTTAATCTTCAATCTTATGGGCAATGAAAAAAAAGCCTGAAACAAAACACCCACAAGAGAAAGAGCTTGGGGTATGTTTAATTTATATGGCTTTTGTTATACAAGCTGCATGAACTAGATCGACCAAGACTACGCTGAATGTGCTGCCCCCTACCTGAACTGTGGCAGAACTCTCCAGGAAACTCAGGGCTTTAATAAGTGCTGTACAAGCCTCACATTCAATGGTTCCGAGCTGTGTGCAAAAAGTAGTATGTTATGTATATATATATAGTATGTTCAGCTTTTCACCCACCAAAATCCATTATCTGATTCTTTCCTAAATACTTGGGAGTGAGGATACTACATATACTACTTGACATGGAGAGCAAATTTGTTAATGACATTCATCATTCCACTGACATTTACATTAAACAAATCTTTAACCCACAGAAATTGAATACTGCAAAAATAAAACAACATATTTAACCCCAAATGAAAATTGATCTAATCCAAATTTTAAAGCAGTTTTTTGAATGAAGAGAAAGACTTCAGGTTTTACTTGCTTTTACAACATTGATTGCTTATTGATTCATGCTCCAAAGACCAGAAAAATTACTTATGTTTAATAAGTGTTCAAGTTGTTTCAAAGATTTGATTGCACAATGTTATAGTAAAGTTCTCAAGTACTATGAGTAGTATTGTTCTCGACGAACTGATACATCCCCTAGGTCATTTAGAGACTAATTGATACATACTTTTGGGCAATGACCCAATAGATACAATCATCTGTATTTTCTATTTCTAACTATACAACATCATTAATATCAGCAGTAAAATAGTATCACACTTAGTAAACAACAGCATTTTTATATCATTATTTTCACTACACTGTGCTATATCAGTAAAACAAGACATTTGTCAAACAACGTATTGAGTTAACATGATATTATATCAGGAAAAAAGACATGTTTGCTAACAATCTAAAATAAGATGTTTAAGATTTGACCATTGTGACTCCCAGTACATACCTGTAATTTAGCTGCTCCTAGAGAACTGGGACACATTCCAAGGTTAATACACACCTGGTCATCGATCTGTTGAGGAAACACAAGAGATACTATTGTTAAATTGTCACTTGTATACCACCATCAATGTTAGCAGCACAGATATTCGAATACAAACATTCATCATTGTAATGTAAAATTTGTCATTCTGTTCATATAAAATATTTTGAAAATGATGATAGAGATACTGCATTGTGGGCCCCCCCAATTACAATGTTACTTCCAACCCATTGTGGGCCCCCCAATTACAGTGTTACTTCCAACCCATTGTGGGCCCCCAAATTACAGTGTTACTTCCAACCCATTGTGGGCCCCCAATTACAATGTTACTTCCAACCCATTGTGGGCCCCCCAATTACAGTGTTACTTCCAACCCATTGTGGGCCTCCAATTACAATGTTACTTCAAACCCATTGTGGGCCCCCCAATTACAATGTTACTTCCAACCCATTGTGGCCCCCCCAATTACAGTGTTACTTCCAACCCATTGTGGGCCCCCCAATTACAATGTTACTTCCAACCCATTGTGGGCCCCCAATTACAATGTTACTTCCAACCCATTGTGGGCCCCCCAATTACAGTGTTACTTCCAACCCATTGTGGGCCCCCCAATTACAGTGTTACTTCAAACCCATTGTGGGCCCCCCAATTACAGTGTTACTTCAAACTCATTGTGGGCCCCCCAATTACAATGTTACTTCCAACCCATTGTGGGCCCCCCAATTACAGTGTTACTTCCAACCCATTGTGGGCCCCCCAATTACAATGTGGCTTACAACCAAATGTGGGCCACCAACAACAGTGTTACTACACATGTATTATACCACTGTGGGGCCCCCAATAACAGTGTCACTAATATCCCAAAGAACATATGTTTTCATGTTTTATAAGAGTCGCCAATAGTAGATATGGTGGGATGCAGTTATTCTACCACAGAGTACAAAATGTAGGTCAGAACAGAGGCTTTGTCAAGGTGCTGATCACAAGATTGATACCTTTGGGTAGAATCTCATTATTCCACATATCTACATATGTTTGACTATTTTTCTCTAACCTACTACATGAATATTTGGTAAGCGCAATGTTAATCATGTTATAAAATGTTGTTCACATTCCCACAAACAAAAGTTGTTACATTATCAAAGAACAGATAAAGATATATTAATAATACAACAGCCATATATAATGGGTATACCACAATTTATAGAACATCACAATCTCTTCATGACAAGCTGGTGTAATCATTTCTTTAGTTCATAAGATGGAGTTTGCTGATGATGGAATGATCCTCAAGAGCAAGCAAGCTTTTGACAGGATTTCGATTGTGATACCATGTAACATCATCAAACTGTGATGTCATGACAGTAAAGTCATTTAGTACATCTATGTGTAATAGGAGGTCTCTCTTACCCAGGACATGCTTTTTAACCATAGGGGATTCCCCTGTCAAGACAATGGTTTTACCATGGGGGATTCCCCTGTGAGGACAATGGATTTACCATGGGGGATTCCCCTGTCAGGACAATGGTTTTACCATGTGGGATTCCCCTGTGAGGACAATGGATTTACCATGGGGGATTCCCCTGTCAAGACAATGGTTTTACCATGGGGGATTCCCCTGTCAGGACAATAGATTTACCATGGGGGATTCCCCTGTCAGGACAATAGATTTACCATGGGGGATTCCCCTGACAGGACAATGGTATGACATCACAGTAAGAATTCACTGGTGTCAATACTCCTTTGGCATCTATGATGCATGTTGATAATAAAATCACTTGCTATCATAGAAATACAATCTAGTATTATGTCGTAGTGGAGATTTCACACGGTGTATATTAGATGTAGGACTCTGGACCCTCTTAACATGGAATCATTAGATTCAGTAACTATTTTGGTTGCTAAAATGTACCTTTCTAAAATTTGTCACATTTTGATCACTTACAAAATTTACCAAATCTTTTGAGGAAAATCAAAATTTTCCTGTATACATACCAATGAGCCAGCAATCAACTGGAACACACCAATATAGTTGTCCTCCACAGTCTGTTTACACTACAAACAAGAAAAATATTTATTTAAACATTTCTCAAAAAGGTTTAAAACTAAAATGAACCACTTCATGAATGCATAAATGTTTCCCATTTCATTTTTAAACAAATTTTGTTTTAATAAAATGGTTTTAATATCATAACTGTGTTAACACTCAAAGAAATGGATTTAAGTTAAAGAGATCCCAGAGAGATCCTGGGGCTCACCCTTGTTAGATCTTTATTCCGTAGGTCTTTTCCTTTCTTCTATCCTCTATTTTTGTTCTTAACCACACGAAATTTGAAAATTCCTCATAAGAAATACTCAAAACTGTCCAAGATGGCCACCTGTCACCTATTTTGTTTTTCTGATCGGTCCCAAAACCAAATGGGCACATGAGGACTACTAAGGACCAAGAGGTATCTTCATATGAAATTTTAGAAATCCAGAAATAGCAGTAACAAACTTTAATGGTAAAAAAAGGTGGTTGCCTGTCATTGTTTTTGTTTTTTTTTTCATCAGTCCCTGAATGAAATATACACAACTTGGGACTTAGGGACCTACTAATGAAGTCTAAGAAGAAACCACAAATTACTTACCCAGAAATAGAAATAACACACATGACTTGAACCACAAATTACTTACCCAGAAATAGAAATAACACACATGACTTGAACCACAAATTACTTACCCAGAAATAGAAATAACACACATGACTTGAACCACAAATTACTTACCCAGAAATAGAAATTACTTACCCAAAAATAGAAATAACACACATGACTTGAACCACAAATTACTTATGCAGAAATAGAAATTACTTACCCAGAAATAGAAATAACACTCTATGACCTCAACCACAAATTACTTATGCAGAAATAGAAATAACTATGACAATCAAAAAACAATGATGGCCACCTGTCTGCCATCTTCTTTTCCAGTCTCCCAAAATAGATAATTCATACCTAATGACCAAAGTGGACATATGAAGTTTGAGAATGATTCATCCAGTGCTTCTCAAGAAATAATAATAACAAGAATTGATTAAGGATAGAAATTGGAACAGACAAAGGATAAAGGGCCATTTGAGTTACCCATCTTTTGATGACGGAGGACTAGTAATTTCTCTCACGTGGAGTATGCGATGTTTGATGTCTTGACGAGTGGTTCACAAGATGTCATGACCTTGACATTGAGGTGTTGATCACAGCCTGACATGTCATCTTGTTATGACATGTATAACAACAAAGTTTTAGCACTTTGATAATCTGAAGTTGTTGCTGTAGAAAGACAAACTGACTGCCAGAGTGAAAACTGCAATAATATAAGCTTGTCCTTCATCATACATGGACAAAGAGAGGGGAGATAAATCCAGGAGACTTACCAAGTCAGCTAATTCACCAAGATGGGCACATACATTCTGCTCCACAAAGTCCACCACTTTCCTCTGTAAACAGAACACATCTCTGTTGTAACACAACCTTTAAGTAATTTTACAATTCATCAAACAACAAGTTCAATTCATAATGCTTACCAAATATTGTTTATACATAATTTCAGCAAATACCAGAGTCTAATTAGTATTCGTGTAATTAGATAAGGATTAAGGATCTCTCATTGGCTATTTCATTTACTTCACAGGATATCTAACTAACCTCTATGTTTGGGTCACATACCATCTACCTTATACTTCGATGGTAAGGCATATTTGATATTCCAGGGGTTATGCTCACTAAGGCTCTCTGCATCCCTGGACCATTTCATCACAAAATTGAAGGTTCCATGTGTGACACCTCGGTATAAGATGAGAACACTAGTTTGATCTGTGCAGTACATCCAACGAATCTCGAGTTTGCATAACAGTGCTGGCTTTGGAGTTGAGTGTTGCTCCTTTGTAACCTTCATAAGAGTGTATTTTTTTCCTGAAACCTGCTCGAGACAAATCAAGTCACTCCACTTGTGCTTTCAATTATGCCAGCAAATGATCCAGGAGTGCAGAGAATGAAGGTGTTTATAACACCTGGAATATTAAAGATGATGGTAGGGTTACAGGCTGCCTAACTTACCTGTATGGTTGGGTCACGGGCTGCCTAACTTACCTGTATGGTTGGGTCAAGGGCTGCCTAACTTACCTGTATGGTTGGGTCAAGGGCTGCCTAACTTACCTGTATGGTTGGGTCACAGGCTGCCTAACTTACCTGTATGGTTGGGTCACAGGCTGCCTAACTTACCTGTATGGTTGGGTCACGGGCCATCTTTCTGAGATCTGCGGCGATTGACTTACAGGCATCACATTCCAATGCATTTGTGGTGACATGGATGCCCATCTGCAATCAAGGATATTTTTATAAAACTGCAGGTCATATACCACAGAGACATCTTCTATCTAAGTCTATGTAACACAGTAAATGCTACCGAATGAAAGAGAAACAACAAAGACAATTGACAAGACAAATATTTGTAAGATTTGTCTACTTTTTCACCCCATCAGCAGTTCTTGTAAAATAGCTTACTTTTCTCAGGACTACCATGACAAAAGTTTTCATGTCATTGAACTTAGATCGGAGTTCCAGTGTGGCCTCGCCTGTACAGAAGCCAACTGCACTGCATGTCACTGTGGGATCCTAAGTATAGACAAGAAATTGTTGTTTTAGTGTTCAATACACATATAGGTAAACAAACGTCATAATACACATATAAAGCCGATGTTCAGCCCACCTCTACAAGTTGTCATTTTTGATACAGTTGTACTTCAAAACCAAAGCACAAAAAGAAACACAAGTCTCTGTTAATTTCTTTTTGAAATTGTACCTTTGTCAGATTAGTATACAAATTGTACCTTTGTCAGATTAGTATACAAATTGTACCTTTGTCAGATTAGTATACAAATTGTACCTTTGTCAGATTAGTAATTGTACCTTTGTCAGATTAGTATACAAATTGTACCTTTGTCAGATTAGTATACAAATTGTACCTTTGTCAGATTAGTATACAAATTGTACCTTTGTCAGATTAGTAATTGTACCTTTGTCAGATTAGTATACAAATTGTACCTTTGTCAGATTAGTAATTGTACCTTTGTCAGATTAGTATACAAATTGTACCTTTGTCAGATTAGTATACAAATTGTACCTTTGTCAGATTAGTATACAAATTGTACCTTTGTCAGATTAGTAATTGTACCTTTGTCAGATTAGTATACAAATTGTACCTTTGTCAGATTAGTAATTGTACCTTTGTCAGATTAGTAATTGTACCTTTGTCAGATTAGTATACAAATTGTACCTTTGTCAGATTAGTATACAAATTGTACCTTTGTCAGATTAGTATACAAATTGTACCTTTGTCAGATTAGTATACAAATTGTACCTTTGTCAGATTAGTATATAAATTGTACCTTTGTCAAATTAGTATACAAATTGTACCTTTGTCAGATTAGTATACAAATTGTACCTTTGTCAGATTAGTATACAAATTGTACCTTTGTCAGATTAGTATACAAATTGTACCTTTGTCAGATTAGTAATTGTACCTTTGTCAGATTAGTATACAAATTGTACCTTTGTCAGATTAGTATACAAATTGTACCTTTGTCAGATTAGTATACAAATTGTACCTTTGTCAGATTAGTATACAAATTGTACCTTTGTCAGATTAGTATATAAATTGTACCTTTGTCAGATTAGTATATAAATTGTACCTTTGTCAGATTAGTAATTGTACCTTTGTCAGATTAGTATACAAATTGTACCTTTGTCAGATTAGTATATAAATTGTACCTTTGTCAGATTAGTATACAAATTGTACCTTTGTCAGATTAGTATACAAATTGTACCTTTGTCAGATTAGTATACAAATTGTACCTTTGTCAGATTAGTATATAAATTGTACCTTTGTCAGATTAGTATACAAATTGTACCTTTGTCAGATTAGTATACAAATTGTACCTTTGTCAGATTAGTATACAAATTGTACCTTGTCAGATTAGTATACAAATTGTACCTTTGTCAGATTAGTATACAAATTGTACCTTTGTCAGATTAGTATACAAATTGTACCTTTGTCAGATTAGTATACAAATTGTACCTTTGTCAGTATACAAATTGTACCTTTGTCAGATTAGTAATTGTACCTTTGTCAGATTAGTATACAAATTGTACCTTTGTCAGATTAGTATACAAATTGTACCTTTGTCAGATTAGTATACAAATTGTACCTTTGTCAGATTAGTATATAAATTGTACCTTTGTCAGATTAGTATACAAATTGTACCTTTGTCAGATTAGTATACAAATTGTACCTTTGTCAGATTAGTATACAAATTGTACCTTTGTCAGATTAGTATATAAATTGTACCTTTGTCAGATTAGTAATTGTACCTTTGTCAGATTAGTATACAAATTGTACCTTTGTCAGATTAGTATATAAATTGTACCTTTGTCAGATTAGTATACAAATTGTACCTTTGTCAGATTAGTATACAAATTGTACCTTTGCAGATTAGTATACAAATTGTACCTTTGTCAGATTAGTATATAAATTGTACCTTTGTCAGATTAGTATATTGTACCTTTGTCAGATTAGTAATTGTACCTTTGTCAGAAGTATACAAATTGTACCTTTGTCAGATTAGTATACAAATTGTACCTTTGTCAGATTAGTATACAAATTGTACCTTTGTCAGATTAGTATACAAATTGTACCTTTGTCAGATTAGTATATAAATTGTACCTTTGTCAGATTAGTATACAAATTGTACCTTTGTCAGATTAGTATACAAATTGTACCTTTGTCAGATTAGTATATAAATTGTACCTTTGTCAGATTAGTAATTGTACCTTTGTCAGATTAGTATACAAATTGTACCTTTGTCAGATTAGTATATAAATTGTACCTTTGTCAGATTAGTATACAAATTGTACCTTTGTCAGATTAGTATACAAATTGTACCTTTGTCAGATTAGTATACAAATTGTACCTTTGTCAGATAAGTATACAAATTGTACCTTTGTCAGATTAGTATACAAATTGTACCTTTGTCAGATTAGTATACAAATTGTACCTTTGTCAGGTAAGTATACAAATTGTACCTTTGTCAGATTAGTATACAAATTGTACCTTTGTCAGATTAGTATACAAATTGTACCTTTGTCAGATTAGTATACAAATTGTACCTTTGTCAGATTAGTATACAAATTGTACCTTTGTCAGATTAGTATACAAATTGTACCTTTGTCAGATTAGTATATAAATTGTACCTTTGTCAGATTAGTAATTGTACCTTTGTCAGATTAGTATACAAATCGTACCTTTGTCAGATTAGTATACAAATTGTACCTTTGTCAGATTAGTATACAAATTGTACCTTTGTCAGATTAGTATACAAATTGTACCTTTGTCAGATTAGTATACAAATTGTACCTTTGTCAGATTAGTAATTGTACCTTTGTCAGATAAGTATACAAATTGTACCTTTGTCAGATTAGTATACAAATTGTACCTTTGTCAGATTAGTATACAAACTGTACCTTTGTCAGATTAGTATACAAATTGCTAAATCTAACTACCATTTCCAAGAGATCTGATTCTAACAAAACTTAATTTTACACAAGTATTGAAGAACTTGGAAACTTTAAATAGCCAAACTAGGTCATCATTCTTATCACTGCAACCACAACTTACGATGTAGGAGGCGAGCACTGACAGACCCTGAGGCACATAGGTATCCACCAGATCATTACACTGAAAATATATCAGGTTGTCAATACAGCAATATCATACAAACCCATCAACAAAAATTAATGTGTTCAAAGACTGCTGTAACTAATAACCATAGGATCTTTAACTCAAAATTTAACAAGTTTACAATGTCCCAAAGGTGAGTAACTTGATTATCTCTGATAATTTTTCCACTTTGATTTTCATTTAACACCCTCTTTCCATATATGGATATATCAATATACCCCAATTAAATATCTTCCCCTTATGCATGGTTATCACTGAAGAATACTTACAATAGCCTCCACTGAACCAAGCTGAGAACATACAATCTGTTTCAACATCCCAATCAGCTGGCTCTGTAAATTCAAAATGATTATTCACAATGAAATGATAATCAACAGAATTGTATACCGTTCTCTCTCTACCACTGTTCCCTCCCTACAGCTGTTCCCTCCCTACCACTGTTCCCTTCCTACCACTGTTCCCTTCCTACAGCTGTTCCCTCCCTACAACTGTTCCCTCCCTACTGCTATCCTTGCTACCCTGTATCCTCCCCCTACCCTGTATCCTCTTCCTACCCTGTATCCTCTCTACCCTGTATCCTCTCTCTACTCTGATCCATTTTCCATCTCCTGTTGTTCTCTCTACATCTAATCACATTCTTTACTTACTATATAAACATAAAAAAGGCATATACACTATACACAATACAATAAATCTATGTACAAACACAAATCAAATTTAGTTTGAGGGTGTCATGAATTGAATTCAAAGCTGTCCCATTGTGGTCTATACACAAATCAAATTTAGTTTGAGGGTGTCGTGAATTGAATTCAAAGCTGTCCCATTGTGGTCTATACACAAATCAAATTTAGTTTGAGGGTGTCATGAATTGAATTCAAAGCTGTCCCATTGTGGTCTATACACAAATCAAATTTAGTTTGAGGGTGTCGTGAATTGAATTCAAAGCTGTCCCATTGTGGTCTATACACAAATCAAATTTAGTTTGAGGGTGTCGTGAATTGAATTCAAAGCTGTCCCATTGTGGTCTATACACAAATCAAATTTAGTTTGAGGGTGTCGTGAATTGAATTCAAAGCTGTCCCATTGTGGTCTAAACACAAATCAAATTTAGTTTGAGGGTGTCGTGAATTGAATTCAAAGCTGTCCCATTGTGGTCTATACACAAATCAAATTTAGTTTGAGGGTGTCGTGAATTGAATTCAAAGCTGTCCCATTGTGGTCTATACACAAATCAAATTTAGTTTGAGGGTGTCGTGAATTGAATTCAAAGCTGTCCCATTGTGGTCTATACACAAATCAAATTTAGTTTGAGGGTGTCATGAATTGAATTCAAAGCTGTCCCATTGTGGTCTATACACAAATCAAATTTAGTTTGAGGGTGTCATGAATTGAACTGAACGTGTCCCATTGTGGTCTATAACAGCTGTACACCTGTGTGTATTTGTTTACATTTTCAAAATCAACATTAAAAGACTCTTTTAAAAAAGGATATTGATTGAGCATTATCTTATAGGTAAATATCTTATAACATTTAGGTTCAAAGTGAATTATATTTAATAAAGATAAACACGTACACACTGAGACATTGTAGCTTAAAAGATGTTGTTATATGCAAGTGCCTACCTCAGTATCAGGAGCAGTGAGAAGGTTCTTGATGTCAGTTATGAAGCTGACACAGTCAGTACAGATGTTACCAGCGTTGACTGGTGTGGCTTCCACCAGAGGGACTAAAGAATTAGTCTGAAAGTGTAAATAATTATCATCAGGTATGTCTATCACTCCCTCTAGGGGACTAAAACACCTGGTATGTCTATCACTCCCTCTAGGGGACTAAAACACCAGGTATGTCTATCACTCCCTCTAGGGGACTAAAACACCAGGTATGTCTATCACTCCCTCTAGGGGACTAAAACACCAGGTATGTCTATCACTCCCTCTAGGGGACTAAAACACCAGGTATGTCTATCACTCCCTCTAGGGGACTAAAACACCAGGTATGTCTATCACTCCCTCTAGGGGACTAAAACACCAGGTATGTCTATCACTCCCTCTAGGGGACTAAAACACCAGGTATGTCTATCACTCCCTCTAGGGGACTAAAACACCAGGTATGTCTATCACTCCCTCTAGGGGACTAAAACACCTGGTATGTCTATCACTCCCTCTAGGGGACTAAAACACCAGGTATGTCTATCACTCCCTCTAGGGGACTAAAACACCTGGTATGTCTATCACTCCCTCTAGGGGACTAAAACACCAGGTATGTCTATCACTCCCTCTAGGGGACTAAAACACCAGGTATGTCTATCACTCCCTCTAGGGGACTAAAACACCAGGTATGTCTATCACTCCCTCTAGGGGACTAAAACACCAGGTATGTCTATCACTCCCTCTAGGGGACTAAAACACCAGGTATGTCTATCACTCCCTCTAGGGGACTAAAACACCAGGTATGTCTATCACTCCCTCTAGGGGACTAAAACACCTGGTATGTCTATCACTCCCTCTAGGGGACTAAAACACCAGGTATGTCTATCACTCCCTCTAGGGGACTAAAACACCTGGTATGTCTATCACTCCCTCTAGGGGACTAAAACACCAGGTATTTCTATCACTCCCTCTAGGGGACTAAAACACCTGGTATGTCTATCACTCCCTCTAGGGGACTAAAACACCTGGTATGTCTATCACTCCCTCTAGGGGACTAAAACACCTGGTATGTCTATCACTCCCTCTAGGGGACTAAAACACCAGGTATGTCTATCACTCCCTCTAGGGGACTAAAACACCTGGTATGTCTATCACTCCCTCTAGGGGACTAAAACACCAGGTATGTCTATCACTCCCTCTAGGGGACTAAAACACCAGGTATGTCTATCACTCCCTCTAGGGGACTAAAACACCAGGTATGTCTATCACTCCCTCTAGGGGACTAAAACACCTGGTATGTCTATCACTCCCTCTAGGGGACTAAAACACCAGGTATGTCTATCACTCCCTCTAGGGGACTAAAACACCAGGTATGTCTATCACTCCCTCTAGGGGACTAAAACACCAGGTATGTCTATCACTCCCTCTAGGGGACTAAAACACCTGGTATGTCTATCACTCCCTCTAGGGGACTAAAACACCAGGTATGTCTATCACTCCCTCTAGGGGACTAAAACACCTGGTATGTCTATCACTCCCTCTAGGGGACTAAAACACCAGGTATGTCTATCACTCCCTCTAGGGGACTAAAACACCTGGTATGTCTATCACTCCCTCTAGGGGACTAAAACACCTGGTATGTCCATCACTCCCTCTAGGGGACTAAAACACCAGGTATGTCTATCACTCCCTCTAGGGGACTAAAACACCTGGTATGTCTATCACTCCCTCTAGGGGACTAAAACACCAGGTATGTCTATCACTCCCTCTAGGGGACTAAAACACCTGGTATGTCTATCACTCCCTCTAGGGGACTAAAACACCAGGTATGTCTATCACTCCCTCTAGGGGACTAAAACACCAGGTATGTCTATCACTCCCTCTAGGGGACTAAAACACCAGGTATGTCTATCACTCCCTCTAGGGGACTAAAACACCAGGTATGTCTATCACTCCCACTAGGGGACTAAAACACCAGGTATGTCTATCACTCCCTCTAGGGGACTAAAACACCAGGTATGTCTATCACTCCCTCTAGGGGACTAAAACACCTGGTATGTCTATCACTCCCTCTAGGGGACTCAAACACCAGGTATGTCTCTCACGCCCTCTAGGGGACTAAAACACCAGGTATGTCTATCACTCCCTCTAGGGGACTAAAACACCAGGTATGTCTATCTCTCCCTCTAGGGGACTAAAACACCAGGTATGTCTATCACTCCCTCTAGGGGACTAAAACACCAGGTATGTCTATCACTCCCTCTAGGGGACTAAAACACCAGGTATGTCTATCACTCCCTCTAGGGGACTAAAACACCAGGTATGTCTATCACTCCCTCTAGGGGACTAAAACACCTGGTATGTCTATCACTCCCTCTAGGGGACTAAAACACCAGGTATGTCTATCACTCCCTCTAGGGGACTAAAACACCAGGTATGTCTATCACTCCCTCTAGGGGACTAAAACACCAGGTATGTCTATCACTCCCTCTAGGGGACTAAAACACCAGGTATGTCTATCACTCCCTCTAGGGGACTAAAACACCAGGTATGTCTATCACTCCCTCTAGGGGACTAAAACACCTGGTATGTCTATCACTCCCTCTAGGGGACTAAAACACCAGGTATGTCTATCACTCCCTCTAGGGGACTAAAACACCTGGTATGTCTATCACTCCCTCTAGGGGACTAAAACACCAGGTATGTCTATCACTCCCTCTAGGGGACTAAAACACCAGGTATGTCTATCACTCCCTCTAGGGGACTAAAACACCAGGTATGTCTATCACTCCCTCTAGGGGGCTTAAACATCTGGTATGTCTCCTTTTAGGGGACTTAACCACAAGTTGGGAGCATTGGTAGTTACTTATAATATCATGGAGATTAACCCTGCTAAATATGATGAAATAGACTTGTTGAAAACTATGAGAGGAGATCCCTGGATTGCTGGACAAGAGTTCAATTTCATAAAGGTTGTCAAGTAAAAAACCTGTTCATAAAAACTACAACGCCATGGTGATTAACCTTATCAACTAGGAAAGAAATTGATGGAGAACTGCAGGAGCTCAAGGACATCTTTAGACAACCAGACAAGAAAATGTTCATGGTGGAAAGATGGAAAGGCCCATTCCATAAGATATATGTCCTGTCAAAATTTATATACAGATAAAAGTTGTTAAACAACATTAATTAATTCTACATAAGATAATGCTGTGCTACTGATGACCTTACCTCTGGCTTATTCTGATGGTTTGTATTGTCTTCAAATCCACTGCAGGAGATGAATATTCCACACAGTCCTTTGGCAGTCTAGATAACACAGAGAGGTAAACATATCACACTTAGTTAGTTATAAGCTTACCCATATCCTTCTACCTACTGTAGAATTTCAATCCCATTGCTATTTCACTGTTCTGTACCAAATAAAACAGTACAAAACAATACATAACACATCATCATAAGTTTTTTCTGCAGTCAAATCTTTTCTGACAAGTAAAGTAATATGATCAAATAAAGATCACCATACTGTGACCCAGTTAGACCAGTAGTTATCATCATAAGTACAGGTAGGCATCTAAACTTCATCATCCATCTTAATCCTATCTACACCATTCCTCACCTAAACTTCATCATCCATCTTAATCCTATCTACACCATTCCTCACCTAAACTTCATCATCCATCCTAATTCTATCTACACCATTCCTCACCTAAACTTCTTGTTTTACCTGTATTGGCATTTGCTGTATATACCTTTAACGAGTAATTCTGTGTCCTGTACTTTTATGTAATTTCACACCTGATTATTTTTTATAGAATCTTGTATTACTTACCATGTTGCTCTCTAACAGTTTGATCACCACATCCACATCACTCATTCCGTTGATACACTGAAGAGAAAATAATATATATATTCATCATTCATGTTGTCACTACACATTTAATATATATACATCACTCATGTTGTCACTACACATTTAATATATATACATCACGCATGTTGTCACTACACATTTAATATATATACATCACTCATGTTGTCACTACACATTTAATATATATACATCACTCATGTTGTCACTACACATTTAATATATATACATCACTCATGTTGTCACTACACATTTAATATATATACATCATTCATGTTGTCACTACACATTTAATATATATATATACATCACACATGTTGTCACTACACGTAAAATATATATACATCACGCATGTTGTCACTACACATTTAATATATATACATCACTGATGTTGTCACTACACATTTAATATGTATTGTCACTACACATTTAATATATATACATCACACATGTTGTCACTACACATTTAATATATATACATCACTCATGTTGACACTACACATTTAATATATATATACATCACACATGTTGTCACTACACATTTAATATATATATACGTCATGCATGTTGTCACTACACATTTAATATATATACATCACTGATGTTGTCACTACACATTTAATATGTATTGTCACTACACATTTAATATATATACATCACACATGTTGTCACTACACATTTAATATATATACATCACTCATGTTGTCACTACACATTTAATATATATATACGTCACGCATGTTGTCACTACACATTTAATATATATACATCACGCATGTTGTCACTACACATTTAATATATATTGTCACTACACATTTAATATATATACATCACACATGTTGTCACTACACATTTAATATATATACATCACTCATGTTGTCACTACACATTTAATATATATACATCACTCATGTTGTCACTACACATTTAATATATATACATCACGCATGTTGTCACTACACATTTAATATATATTGTCACTACACATTTAATATATATACATCACACATGTTGTCACTACACATTTAATATATATACATCACTCATGTTGTCACTACACATTTAATATATATACATCACTCATGTTGTCACTACACATTTAATATATGTTGTCACTACACTTTTAATATACATACTTCATGTATGTTGTCACTACACATTTAATATATATACATCACACATGTTGTCACTACACATTTAATATATATACATCACTCATGTCACTACACATTTAATATATATATATATACATCACTCATGTTGTCACTACATATTTAATATATATTTACACATTTAATATATATATACATCACTGATATGTCACTACACATTTAATATATATATATACATCATATATATATATATAATATATATAGACATCACTCATGTTGTCACTACACAATTTACATTTATACATATTTACATATACATATATATATATATATATATATATATATATATATATATATATATATATATATATCTACTTTTTACTAGTTACATGTATATATATTTGCAACTTGTTTTTTCCCTAGACAGAATGTATTTAAATCTAGGGGTAACAAAACCTCTTCACTTTAAATGTCTCTTACCTCAGTTTTGTAGGTCTGGTTGAATGGTAGATGATCACATATTGTCTTGAGATCATCTACAACTTGATCCTACAAACAAGAACAAATAACATCAAGAGAATGCTCCTAATTTGTGATGAACAAGAACAGTGGGGAGTGGAACACTGATGAGAAATATTCATCTTTATAGAAAACTTACTAGTAACAAACATCAAGTCAGGAAACTAAATACATGTCCTGGTGATAATGTTGACTAAGGTACTTAAATGTCTCAAGTAAAAAAAATTATAATATATATTTTCATATTCAGGCCTACAACTGTTAACCTATTTAGTTCTTGCATACAACAGCCTACCCATGTAAGTCTCACCTACAAATGTTAACCCATTAAATTCTCACCTACAAATGTTAACCCATTAAATTCTCACCTACAAATGTTAACCCATTAAATTCTCACCTGCAAATGTCAACCCATTAAATTCTCACCTACAAATGTTAACCCATTAAATTCTCACCAACAAATGTTAACCCATTAAATTCTCACCTACAAATGTTAACCCATTAAATTCTCACCTACAAATGTTAACCCATTAAATTCTCACCTGCAAATGTCAACCCATTAAATTCTCACCTACAAATGTTAACCCATTAAATTCTCACCAACAAATGTTAACCCATTAAATTCTCACCAACAAATGTTAACCCATTAAATTCTCACCAACAAATGTTAACCCATTAAATTTTCCCATACATCTGTTAAAAATAGTTATCATTTACATCTCTTAATCCATAAATTTCCTCCCTTTAAAATTTTCCAGACTTACTTCTTCAACTATTCTTAAGTTGTCAGACTTACCACGGGCAAAGTTTTCAGTTTTTCACGAACCGTGTTAATAACTGATTCACACAGCTCACATTGGGGGTTCTGAAATAAATTTATACAAAAACATTAATCAATTTGCAAAATGGCATAGCATATTTGACCTTTGCCCCACACAATGCCATACCACTACCAATTAAAAAAACCTTCCCACATAATTCCATGTCACTTTCAATTAAAACACTGTCCCACACATTGCCACACCACTACCAATTAATACACCATAACACACTACGAATTCAATCAATTTAAACACCGCCCTACAAACTGTCATGTAACTTCCAATTAAAATACCACCCCACACAATCAAAGTCATTTTTAATAAAAGCACTTTCCCACACACTGAGGAATCCTTCTGTTTTGTCCAGACTGATACTTACACTGCCCTTTGAGGAATCCTTCTGCTTTAACCAGACAGACTGTAGACAATGTTCCACTGCCTGGCACTCCTTTGCTCTTGAAACATGGCTGCACCAGTAGGACGGCCCCCAGGTACACTTGCTTGAACCAAGCAGGGAACTGCTCCCAACACTTACTAAAATGATAATTTATATGCACATCTTTACATAATGATAAACATATAACCATTACCTATAGAGAGTAATTTTATTGTGTATGTGTCATGTTGATAGTTCATCCAAGAAAACATGGCTACAGGCCTGACTATGGAATCTTCTCTCTCAAACATGGTTATATATGTGGGTGAAATTTTATAGGTCATGTCAGAGAAAATTCCAGGTTATGAAAAAATCAGTGAAATTCTGGGTAAAGCTATTTCAGTGAAATTCTAAGTAAAGCTATTTCAGTGATATTCTAGGTAAAGCTATTTCAGTGAAATTCTAGGTAAAGCTATTTTAGTGAAATTCTAGGTAAAGCTATTTCAGTGAAATCCTAGGTTATGATATATTAGTGAAATCCTAGGTTATGATATTTTAGTGAAATCCTAGGTTATGATATTTCAGTGAAATCCTAGGTTATGATATTTCAGTGAAATTCTAGGTTATGATATTTCAGTGAAATCCTAGGTTATGATATTTCAGTGAAATTCTAGGTTATGATATTTCAGTGAAATCCTAGGTTACGATATTTCAGTGAAATTCTAGGTTATGATATTTCAGTGAAATCCTAGGTTATGACATTTCAGTGAAATCCTAGGTTATGATATTTCAGTGAAATCTTAGGTTATGATATTCTAGTGAAATCCTAGGTTATGATATTTTAGTGAAATCCTAGGTTATGATATTATAGTGAAATCCTAGGTTATGATATTTTAGTGAAATCCTAGGTTATGATATTTTAGTGAAATCCTAATGTATGATATTTTAGTGAAATCCTAGGTTATGACATTTCAGTGAAATCCTAGGTTATGATATTTCAGTGAAATTGTTGCTTATTCAATTTCAGCGAAATTCTCCGTTGTGCTATTTCTGTTAAATGCTCAGTTATGATATGTCAATGAAGTTCTAAATTTTGATGCATACAATAATAATCTACAGAACATCTTTGAACCATGTGAACAGTTTTAAAGAGTGGTGCAAAGAATGTTATATCATATCAAACAAGAACTTAAAGGATGTAAGGATATGTAAAGTTCATGTTTGACAGCTGGAAGTACGGCATATTTGTTTATATGCTTTGTTCGTGATAGCTGCACATTTTTCCACAAGTGGAATGCTTTATTTGACAGTCTGTAGATTTTTTACACTGATGACTATATTTTGTGTAGTCATGATTCAACACTTTTCCTTTGCTAGGGAACTTCTCCGAGTATGAATAACTATGTAAGCTTTTGGCAGAACTTAACAAAATTTTCATGAATTTTCACCACAAATCACAGATTAGATTCAAAATATGTGAATGCTTAGTAGTGGATCCCTTTTCTTAAATTCTAGGACCAGAAAATAAATATTTCAATCTGTTTTTGAGTTTTGAAAAAATGACATTTGGTTAAAACGAAAAATTCAGCCCAGCAACCCGTTCTTTTTTAATATGAAAACAATCCTCAAACATGTTTCCCATAAAAGCATTAAGTCTGGAGAAAGTTAAATTTCAGAACATTGTCAAATATTGGATATTAACAATTTTTCAAAATTTACATTGTTTGTTTGCTATGGAGATTAAAAGCTGTCATATCAAAGTGAAAATAAGCATTTTATTTTATCCATTATCATCTTAATGTCATTCTATTGCGTTTTAATGCAAAAAGACATTTAGTGGAAATGAAATTCAATTCAGATATACAGTGTAACACAGTAAACTTGTTATTCACAAAAAAAAAAAAAAAGATAAGTGAAGTGCATATTTTCTTTCACCCGTAATATGATGCATGCAGCAGCAAAGGTAACAGCCTCATCTGTCAATACAGACAGGTCTGGCTGGTACTGTGATAACTACAGACAGGCCTGGCTGGTACTGTGATAACTACAGACAGGCCTGGCTGGTACTGTGATAACTACAGACAGGCCTGGCTGGTACTGTGATAACTACAGACAGGTCTGGCTGGTACTGTGATAACTACAGACAGGCCTGGCTGGTACTGTGATAACTACAGACAGGTCTGGCTGGTACTGTGATAACTACAGACAGGTCTGGCTGGTACTGTGATAACTACAGACAGGCCTGGCTGGTACTGTGATAACTACAGACAGGCCTGGCTGGTACTGTGATAACTACAGACAGGTCTGGCTGGTACTGTGATAACTACAGACAGGCCTGGCTGGTACTGTGATAACTACAGACAGGCCTGGCTGGTACCTGTGATAACTACAGACAGGCTTGGCTGGTACTGTGATAACTACAGACAGGCTTGGATGGTACTGTGATAACTACAGACAGGCCTGGCTGGTACCTGTGATAACTACAGACAGGCCTGGCTGGTACTGTGATAACTACAGACAGGCCTGGCTGGTACTGTGATAACTACAGACAGGCCTGGCTGGTACTGTGATAACTACAGACAGGCCTGGCTGGTACTGTGATAACTACAGACAGGCCTGGCTGGTACTGTGATAACTACAGACAGGCCTGGCTGGTACTGTGATAACTACAGACAGGCCTGGCTGGTACTGTGATAACTACAGACAGACAGACAGGCCTGGCTGGTACTGTGATAACTACAGACAGGCCTGGCTGGTACTGTGATAACTACAGACAGGCCTGGCTGGTACTGTGATAACTACAGACAGGCCTGGCTGGTACTGTGATAACTACAGACAGGCCTGGCTGGTACTGTGATAACTACAGACAGGCCTGGCTGGTACTGTACAGACAGGCCTGGCTGGTACTGTGATAACTACAGACAGGCCTGGCTGGTAACTACAGACAGGCCTGGCCTGTGATAACTACAGACAGGCCTGGCTGGACACTGCTGGATAACTACAGACAGGCCTGGCTGTGATAACTACAGACAGGCCTGGCTGGTACTGTGATAACTACAGACAGGCCTGGCTGGTACTGTGATAACTACAGACAGGCCTGGCTGGTACTACAGACAGGCCTGGCTGGTACTGTGATAACTACAGACAGGCCTGGCTGGTACTGTGATAACTACAGACAGGCCTGGCTGGTACTGTGATAACTACAGACAGGCCTGGCTGGTACTGCGATAACTACAGACAGGCCTGGCTGGTACTGTGATAACTACAGACAGGCCTGGCTGGTACTGTGATAACTACAGACAGGCCTGGCTGGTACTGTGATAACTACAGACAGGCCTGGCTGGTACTGTGATAACTACAGACAGGCCTGGCTGGTTCTGTGATAACTACAGACAGGCCTGGCTGGTACTGCGATAAATACAGACAGGCCTGGCTGGTACTGCGATAACTACAGACAGGCCTGGCTGGTACTGCGATAACTACAGACAGGCCTGGCTGGTACTGTGATAACTACAGACAGGCCTGGCTGGTACTGTGATAACTACAGACAGGCCTGGCTGGTACTGTGATAACTACAGACAGGCCTGGCTGGTACTGTGATAACTACAGACAGGCCTGGCTGGTACTGTGATAACTACAGACAGGCCTGGCTGGTACTGTGATAACTACAGACAGGCCTGGCTGGTACTGTGATAACTACAGACAGGCCTGGCTGGTACTGTGATAACTACAGACAGGCCTGGCTGGTACTGTGATAACTACAGACAGGCCTGGCTGGTACTGTGATAACTACAGACAGGCCTGGCTGGTACTGAGATAACTACAGACAGGCCTGGCTGGTACTGTGATAACTACAGACAGGCCTGGCTGGTACTGTGATAACTACAGACAGGCCTGGCTGGTACTGTGATAACTACAGACAGGCCTGGCTGGTACTGTGATAACTACAGACAGGCCTGGCTGGTACTGTGATAACTACAGACAGGCCTGGCTGGTACTGTGATAACTACAGACAGGCCTGGCTGGTACTGTGATAACTACAGACAGGCCTGGCTGGTACTGTGATAACTACAGACAGGCCTGGCTGGTACTGTGATAACTACAGACAGGCCTGGCTGGTACTGTGATAACTACAGACAGGTCTGGCTGGTACTGTGATAACTACAGACAGGTCTGGCTGGTACTGTGATAACTACAGACAGGCCTGGCTGGTACTGTGATAACTACAGCCAGGCCAGACTGGTACTGTGAAAACTACAGACAGGCCTGGCTGGTTCTGTGATAACTACAGACAGGCCTGGCTGGTACTGTGATAAATACAGACAGGCCTGGCTGGTACTGCGATAACTACAGACAGGCCTGGCTGGTACTGCGATAACTACAGACAGGCCTGGCTGGTACTGCGATAACTACAGACAGGCCTGGCTGGTACTGCGATAACTACAGACAGGCCTGGCTGGTACTGCGATAACTACAGACAGGCCTGGCTGGTACTGTGATAACTACAGACAGGCCTGGCTGGTACTGTGATAACTACAGACAGGTCTGGCTGGTACCTGTGATAACTACAGACAGGCCTGGCTGGTACTGTGATAACTACAGACAGGCCTGGCTGGTACTGTGATAACTACAGACAGGCCTGGCTGGTACTGTGATAACTACAGACAGGCCTGGCTGGTACTGTGATAACTACAGACAGGCCTGGCTGGTACTGTGATAACTACAGACAGGCCTGGCTGGTACTGTGATAACTACAGACAGGCCTGGCTGGTACTGTGATAACTACAGACAGGCCTGGCTGGTACTGTGATAACTACAGACAGGCTGGCTGGTACCTGTGATAACTACAGACAGGTCTGGCTGGTACTGTGATAACTACAGACAGGCCTGGCTGGTACCTGTGATAACTACAGACAGGCTTGGCTGGTACCTGTGATAACTAGACATGCCTGGCAGGTACTTGTAATTATTTTTTTTTTCAATCTGTATTTACATTAAAATGATCAATATGAAGCAGCTGTGAGAACATGCATGACTACCAGTAACTTGACTTTAGTAGTAGGTACGCCACAGCTGATTGCAATCTATCGTGAAATGTGATATGGTAATTGCAGTTAAGCTTGCTCTGGATTCTAACAAACAAACATTAATGTTTGTTAAATTACCATCTGGATCTAGTTTCCTCTTATGTCGCAATATAGTTTTATTTATAGGAAAGTAATTTAGTTTGAAGTGTTGATTTCCTTAAAAATTACCAGCTCATTCTCAAGTACAAGTACTTTTCATCAAATCAGCTGAACTCAAAATGTCAAGTATGCATGAATTTTAAAAACTTGGGACTATTAACCTTTGGAAGGAACAATTTTTTTGTCCTTGCTAATAGGATCTCACAAATGATTCATATCCCTCTGTGTCAATATAACATTCAATTGTTAAGTATCTTCACTGTGTACCAATGGATAATAAAACATGTATGAAAAACTTATGTGTCTAGCCAAAGAATACTGACGTAGAAATCTATACACAATGATGATTAATTGATATCATAGTAAAATGCAACAATGATTAAGGTGTGAAATACACCGAATTGTTAGCCTTATCAAGAGAATCTATTTTAGGAAGTTGCAACTGAAACATGCTGTGATGTTACATATATTTCCATCGATCACAAACAAAACAAAAATAACCATATACATAGATATGAAGCTTGGGTATGACAACAACAGGAAATTCAAATCTGGAACCTTTGGATCAACATTTTTGTGTTACAATGTCCAGTATATATATCACGAAAATATCTCAAATCTACTGTTGGACAGAGAGAAATCTTAAGTTACTGGAGACACCTCATATTTGTCAGTTTTGAGGTTCCCAATGTCAAAAAAGGAGACTTGTTTTTTAGTTTTCCATTGCTTTTTAGTTCATTTTAGGTAATAAATTTAAATCAAATTATTACTGAAAGATGCAACTGCCATGTATGATTGAATGGTGACTCCTATGAGGATACGAAGTTTATTTTTAACCTTTTTTATGTAACTTTGCCTTAACTTCCCTGTATTCACATGACAGATCCTGGGAAGAGGTCATCTGACTTCTATCACTGGGGTGACGTGTACTAGTACAAAGTTTCTTTTACTAAAATCTATATGACTAGCAGATCGCCAGTAAGGTAAAAATAAAAATGCATCATTTATGTGCATTGTGGATTTTACTTAACATTTTTTGTTAATTTACGACACATTAAATTGTTAATTAATTACTACTGAACCAGGCCTTTCATGTTACGTCTTACTTTTTTCTTATGAAATAACATGATATTTTCTAGAAATTTGCAGTATAAAAACATTTGCAAAACAAACAAGTCCTACATATCCAGCATCAATGCTATTTTTGAAGAGACAAAACATAATTTCCGAGTCTGTTGGAATTCCGGGTTATTCTGGCTCACATTTTACTAAAGTTTTACCAAGAAATCCATTCGCGTGTAGCCTCAGGTAAAGCACAGGTATTACGTATCTAACCCGACTGACATAGTTGTGTACGATATCTGACATCCCGTTGATTCCAAACCGATATCTACCCGTTAATATAACAAATAAACTTACCGAGAGCGATCAACGTTAGTGACACGACCAACCTCATCTTCATGACACTTAACAATAACAATCGTGACTTCACTGTTTCACGATCATGTGAGTACTATCATGTGATCTGGCTGTTTGCTTCCGAAGTTTTCATTGGCTATGGAAAAAAGGTGCGTTCGATTAAAACATGCCATAGCAAAATGTCATTAAGGAGCCTCAATCAGCCCTTTATACAGCAGTATGAGAGTCAAACGTATTATTTCGTGGAAATTCTCGTTGTATTGTGCTTCACACATTTCTGTTGCGGTAATAGGTAATGGAAAGTATAATAAACACGAAATATAGATACCTGATAAATCAGAGACTTATATTAGGTTTCACCATATTATATATATCTGTTATAAATTGACCCATTCAATTTTGATTTGCACATTGAACTTAATAAGTAACTCCAATGAAGGAAAGATAACGAACCATTATAATGGATTTTAGATCAACTATCTACTAAATGGGTTTAGTGCTGTCTTATGAAGATAAATGAGTTTTAGAAAATCTTGATTAACATAGTCACTTCTTCATGATGTGGTTTTTGTACACTTTCAAAAGCATCTGTTAATTGAATAAGTAATTTTTGTGTTTGAGAAAATGCCAATTGATTTCTTATTGGCGAGATATAAGCACACTGCATGTAAACCAATGTAAAGGATTAGAGCCCTGCCTACAAGCTATTACACAGAAGGTTTTTTGCCTTGAATAATGTTTGGAAAATTTATAAAAAAAAAAATCAGAATGCAGGAATCTGTTGAAATATATGTAGAATTTTTCAATACACCAATTTTGCGTGTGGTGTTCCTGCAAGTCCAAGCAGAGAACTGTTAGAGGACATGTCCCACACAGAAGTGATTGTGTGGATTGATATAGAATTGCAAATTTTTCACAAGTTCCAGAAGTCTTGCAAATATTGATATATTTCACTGGATAAAGAACCCACACAAGGTCTCATGTATAAGAGACAACACACAAATTCGGTGAAATCTGAAAATAACAATTAAATGTGGTTGTGCAGAATGACATGACTGCTAATTTTTTTTTTTTTTTTTTTTGCTTTCCTTTGAAAAGATAACTGAATTCTACATTGAATGAACAAACACTTTTCTAGAACATATACTTTTTTAATGTGTTTGTATAAACTTAAATATTTCTCTGCTGTTGGTAAATAAAACCAAACTGCTACCTCAGATAGGCATTGACAACATGGAGCTCTGCAGACAACTGTTGACAGCATTGTCTGGTGGATTCCAAGCATCGTTTTGACCCATGTTTTTCACAACATCTTCTGGTTGGGGGGTCAGCAGTGGTGATAAATCAAAGTCCCACTTCCTGGATTATCTGTCATATTGACTGTGCAGGGAGCCCTCTGATGCCAACTTCTACTGGGAACAGCCTGGTGCTCCATCCCTTGTGTCTACACTGCTCCGCAAGTTCTTGATATTTGGCAACTTTCCATTCATTTACTTCGTTACTCCCTTCCTTCCATGGAACCATCAGCTCCACCAGGGTGATCTACTGCACAATATGTTGATGTCTAGTCTCACACTGACATTGTCATGTTGTGCATACCACACTGAGACCAGACATCGTCATGTTGTGCATGCCACACTGAGACCAGACATCGTCATGTTGTGCATACCACACTGAGACCAGACATCGTCATGTTCTGCATGCCACACTGAGACCAGACATCGTCATGTTGTGCATACCACACTGAGACCAGACATTGTCATGTTGTACATGCCACACTGAGACCAGACATTGTCATGTTGTACATGCCACACTGAGACCAGACATCGTCATGTTGTACATGCCACACTGAGACCAGACATCGTCATGTTGTGCATGCCACACTGAGACCAGACATCGTCATGTTGTGCATACCACACTGAGACCAGACATCGTCATGTTGTGCATGCCACACTGATACCAGACATCGTCATGTTGTACATACCACACTGAGACCAGACATCGTCATGTTGTACATGCCACACTGAGACCAGACATCGTCATGTTGTGCATGCAACACTGAGACCAGACATCGTCATGTTGTGCATGCAACACTGAGACCAGACATCGTCATGTTGTGCATGCCACACTGAGACCAGACATCGTCATGTTGTGCATGCCACACTGAGACCAGACATCGTCATGTTGTGCATACCACACTGAGACCAGACATCGTCATGTTGTGCATACCACACTGAGACCAGACATCATCATGTTGTGCATGCAACACTGAGACCAGACATCGTCATGTTGAGCATGCCACACTGAGACCAGACATCATCATGTTGTGCATGCAACACTGAGACCAGACATCGTCATGTTGAGCATGCCACACTGAGACCAGACATCGTCATGTTGTGCATGCCACACTGAGACCAGACATCGTCATGTTGAGCATGCCACACTGAGACCAGACATCGTCATGTTGAGCATGCCACACTGAGACCAGACATCGTCATGTTTTGCATGCCACACTGAGACCAGACATCGTCATGTTATGCATGCCACACTGAGACCAGACATTGTCATGTTCTGCATGCCACACTGAGACCAGACATCGTCATGTTGAGCATGCCACACTGAGACCAGACATCGTCATGTTGTGCATGCCACACTGAGACCAGACATCGTCATGTTGTACATGCCACACTGAGACCAGACATTGTCATGTTATGCATACCACACTGAGACCAGACATCGTCATGTTGTACATGCCACACTGAGACCAGACATTGTCATGTTTTGCATGCCACACTGAGACCAGACATCATCATGTTGTGCATGCAACACTGAGACCAGACATCGTCATGTTGTGCATGCCACACTGAGACCAGACATCGTCATGTTGTGCATACCACACTGAGACCAGACATTGTCATGTTCTGCATGCCACACTGAGACCAGACATCGTCATGTTGAGCATGCCACACTGAGACCAGACATCGTCATGTTGAGCATGCCACACTGAGACCAGACATCGTCATGTTGTGCATGCCACACTGAGACCAGACATCGTCATGTTGTGCATACCACACTGAGACCAGACATCGTCATGTTGTGCATACCACACTGAGACCAGACATTGTCATGTTCTGCATGCCACACTGAGACCAGACATCGTCATGTTGTGCATACCACACTGAGACCAGACATCGTCATGTTCTGCATGCCACACTGAGACCAGACATCGTCATGTTCTGCATGCCACACTGAGACCAGACATCGTCATGTTGTGCATGCCACACTGAGACCAGACATCGTCATGTTGTGCATGCCACACTGAGACCAGACATCGTCATGTTTTGCATGCCACACTGAGACCAGACATCGTCATGTTGTGCATGAAGTGCATGAAGTGGTTACTCAGCATATAATCTGTTAGCCATCTAGCCATCACAGAGAAGATCTTTCAATGAACACTGAGCAAGGAGATGGTGCTTAACTGCACTACAGATGTCAACTTCTTCTCTTCTAGATAAAAAACCCTTCTCTTCTGCCTTCTTCCAACTGTCCATGATTGTTCCTTTCTTCTTCATCTTCTTTAGGAGTATCAACAGTCAAGGGTACTTTTTATACACACAATATGGCACTTCACTAAGACGAGGTGTTGACCTTGACAACTTCCTGCACTTTCTTTCACAAAGATACTTTCAATGTAAATGGGGTAAATAGGGGTGCCTCCTCTATTTCCCTTTGACAGCCTCCCAGGGGTGTTGCCCTATCTTGATCACATGTTTTACAAATGGAGTTCTATATCTATCTTGGAGCTTTCCAACTAATCTGAATGCTCCTTTCCCGAAAGTTTTTTTATCAAATTTAAAATGATCCTGGACAAACTGTGCTCTTCCTGTCCTTGTCTTCCTACCAGTACTTATTCTTTAAGCTTTTCTTACTTCGCTAAGTTTGTGTACTGGTGGTACATTTGTATGTCTCAGTTGCTGGAGTCTGATTTTTTATTCCTGGGCACTGTATCAAATCTACGTTTCATACTGTTTATTTCTCTCTGTATGCTTCTAACTTCTCTTTCCCTTCTAATCTCTGTCTGCTGAGTCTTTCACATTCTCTGCTTCAGTATCCCAAACTTCTGTTTCCCCAAGTAATATGCAGTGTGTGTAAGGATGTTCAGTTTCTTCTCTACACTTCCCTGCATTGTTGTCTCCAATTTATTGTCAAGGTCACCTTCAAATACCTTTCATTTCTTCTCAACTGACATTCTAGACCAGTTGACCCTTTCCATGATGTAATAGTCTCTGTGGCTTCTGTTTGCTGGGCTGCTTCATCCCCATTCAAGAGAGGGCCATCTCTTTGAAATAACAGATCAGTAAAAAGATCTCCAGTACTGTGGTTTGCCTCCTGACAGGTAACCCCTCCGTCTCATCAGAAGAATCTTCTGTGCATTGCTTTTTGATACCTGCAGAGCAACTGTTCATCCTTGCCTGGTGAATCTTGTCCACAAATATTCACCTTAGAATTAAGCCATTTTTTTTCTACCCATTTCCTGGTACTCATCAACTTTGTTGGGGTACATTTCTTTATCATGATCTTAACTATCATAAAATAAGATCAATAGATATAAAGTATTAGATAAAGGTCTCTTTAAAAAGGGAGATAATTTGATAAGTTGTGAAAGACAACCACATTTAAAAAGCATGTGTTTATCCTGTATAATGATTTACCAGGTGTAAAATTTATCTTATAAAACCTGTAAGATGGTTTTATATAAACAGTATTTTATATATCAAGGTATTTTTTAGCCATATAGGATATAATTTTATGGGTGCATCATATGTTTACAAGACACCATTGCTCCATGAATGAATATAAAATTCACTTGCTGGTAAGTAACCTATCTGCTTTCCCTCAAAAACATCATGTTTTATCTCTAACAGCTGAGTGAAAGACAGTTATTAGCATAGTCAACATAATTAGACAGAACATATACCTGGTATAACTATTGTTCTCTATATCTTCTAAAACAAACGTAAAGCTAGTTAGTTCAGTTAATAGCTTGTAAAAAATTACAATATTCTAAATCATGTGATTCTGTTGTTTTTCATTCTAGATGTTTTATAATCAACATGTTGTGATGGAATAAGACTGCTTGACAAGGATAAATGTTGTTACCTGCAGGAAAATCCCGATATCTCCTCCCCAAATTTGTCACAATCAGGCAGCAAATTGAAGTGGGAGGTGCAATAGATTCAGGTGCAAATATCACAACTACTCAAGTCGAACATCATTGTATAGGTTTTAATGGCATGATCAGAGGTCAAGGACACTACCACTAAAAATAAACCTCCTGTCCACTATGTTAGGAACATAATCTGGGCAAACTTTGATATAATGTATGCATGTTTGCTTTATACTGAACAAGTTTGAATGTAGACATAATACGATTTGATGAACCCCTCAAGGAATAAAGCCGCTAGACTGCTGAAAACTTTCATCAATGTAGAGATGAACAGGCAAACAGAGAGGAAAATTACAGTAAACCCTAGTTTCGCATGTTGGGGACTAATAAAAAAAACAAATCTGCAGAATATGTTCATGTGCTTATTCCCCAAGCAAGACTAATAACCATGAGCTTTTCTCACAGTCAGGTTTGTGTGTGTTTGCTGATAACATACACTTGAATTTCACAATAAAAACACAACACACCTTTCAAACATCTAATTTAATTGATTTCCACATAAAAGATCACAAGAAAATCTCCATAGTTACAGCTGAACATACTTTATCACAGATACTTTTTTTAAACGTTCCCATGCTGTTGTGGAACGCCAACTTTTGACGGTGGCTAGGACAAAACAGTGTGTCTCTTACGGTAGAGTCTCTTGTATGAATGAACAATAAATAAACAGTACAGACAGACAACTATTCAGACTAACTGAAGCAGTAAGTTTTTCAGGATCCTAGCTTCATACGTGACAGTATTTTTGCCTGGGTGCATTGGTTCAGCTTCAAGGGGCTGTTCTATCATGGCTTTGACATCTCGGCCATACACTGAAAAAGCAATTAGTAACAGAAATTCAACACAAAGTTTTCAGGAGGCAAGATCCACATTTTCTTCTGACAAACCCATTTCTTTGTCAAGATAACCAAATAATTACACACTTGAAATGATTGAAGACAACAAAAATATTTGAGATGCCTCAAAAAGTCTGAGTATAAAAACTTCAAATCAGAACTTCTGACATATTTACATTATCTTTTCTTAATATTATTAAAGACAATTCATTATTGTATATGTACATTAACCATAAATCCCTGTTCAGAATACTCACTTTCACAACACTCCAGGAAAGCAACACACTCCTGGACCACAGAGTCCCTCATCATAATCATGTGTTTGGACATATTTTCTATCAAAGAAAGGAAGCAGCGTTTGGCATAATACCAAGTGTCTGTACCAAGCTTCTTCTGGTATGGTTCCAGACTCTTGATCACCCGAGAGATTCCAAATTCATAGTTTCCTTTAGCACAGTACAGAGTTCTGTAAGGAGAGGTAACAGTATCAACATCAGGTGAACAAATCAGCCATCTACATTCAATGGAAGATTTACACTAAACAAGAGCATATGTACACCTACTCAAGTTGTGTGGGTGAAAATAAAGGAATCAATCTACAAATATGGATGCCCTCTCCCACCCTTGCATATTTGTATTATTGTTTGATGAATTTTTCAAAGGTGTCACATGTGATCTTTGACGCTTTAATGTTGAGAGTTTCTCAAGATATGACATTAATTTTGAATGTGAAGCGACATGAGAGAATTGATCATGGTTAACGCTAAAAGCCAACCCCCAACCTCCCCTCCTTCCATCCCCAATAAAATGGCAGAAGGGTCTTAGATAGACATTTTCTCCTACATCCTATCTTTTTCATTTCAAAAATGGTCGTCAAGTGTTACCTTTGATCCTATAACCTTTACAAACCTACAAATGACCACTAAAATCTGATCAGTAAAGAACTTGTAATACCATTGTATTAATTAAAATTGTAGAGAAAGGTTCATTAAATGCATTAAGCTGTTGATTTAATAAGTGGTCAAGGGTAACCCTTGACCCTAACCTTGACTGATGACCACCAAAATCAAATTAAGTGTAATACTTCATGGTGTTAATATGAAACAAAACCTGCTGGATGAATCATGAGATAAATTGTACATGAGGGTTGTGTTATAGGCACACACAAACAAATTGAATTATTGTGTTATATACCCTCCTTAAATCAATCAAGGGTATAATATAAAATTTACAGATGTTTTAATTATTCCCTAATTAAATGTCCAACATGTCCGAATTTCTTCAGAAATGCAGCTCATTTTAAAAACTGTGGCTACCCAGTGGTACATACCCTATAACAAGATTTACGATACACAAGAGGAATTTTTCTTTTCTGGATCGTGTGGCTACCCAGTGGTACATACCCTATAACAAGATTTACGATACACAAGAGGAATTTTTCTTTTCTGGATCGTGTGGCTACCCAGTGGTACATACCCTATAACAAGATTTACGATACACAAGTGGAATATTTTCTTTTCTGGATCATCATAGGCCACTTGTTCCTCTTCCTTCTCAATCTTCCTCATCAGTTCTTCTGCCTGGAAAAGTATAGAAACATTTATTAAATTTGATTTACATTTCATGATAAAGCTTGATCAAAAACAATACATAAGAATTAACAAGAGATCCCAGAGGGATCTTGGCGCCCACCATTTGAGGATCTGTTTTCAGTTCTTGAAGATTTGTTTATTTTTTTTGTTTGTTACAGGTGTTGTAAATGTTCATGAACTGGTCTTCATTGAATGTACTCAATGATGGCACAAGATATTTTTATTAAGCACCTATTAGCAAATATCATTTGAAAAAGATCCCAAAGTATTATTAGATAGCAGTCAGTTACAGGTGGATAATGGACAATATGCTTGTGCTGTATTACTGTCGACATCCAAGATGGCTGCCTGTGGGCAACCTTGATTTCAAATCAGTCCAAAAAAGGTACAATGCACAACTAGGGACCAAGGGAAACCAACATCTATGAAATATCAGAAGGATCCACCCAGTACTTCCTCAGGTATAGCAGTAACAATCTTTTACTCTCAAAATCCAAAATGGCTGCCTGTCAGCCATCTTGATTTCGGATCAGTCCAAAAAGGTATAATGCACAACTTGGAACCAAAGGGAACCTGCATATGAAATTTGAGAAAGATCCATCAAGTACTTTCCAAGAAATAGCGGTAACAAACTTTTACTTCCAAAATCCAAGATGGCCACCTGCCGGCCATCTTGAATGCGAATCAGTTCAAAAAAGGTACAATGCACAACTAGGGACCAAGGGGAACCTGCATATGAAATTTGAGAAAGATCCATCCAGTACTTTTCCAGAAATAGCGGTAACAAGAATTGTTTACGGACGGACGGACAGACGACGGACCACGGACGCAGGGCGATTTGAATAACCCACCATCTATTAGATGGCAACAATTAATTTAATTACGAACAATCAGCTTAGTAACACCCAACATTTTTCTGATCTAAAGCATTCCTATCCATTTTAAATTAGTAGTAAAAAGAAGAAAGACATTCCAGTTAACATGAATAGTTGATTGAAAACTTGGGCATGAGAGATTCAATGACTTACCTCCTCATTCTGGCTGGTCATGATGTAGGATACACACAGGTTAGCCAGAACTATAGCGCTCACATTCAGGATCTGTCAAACATAAATCACTACCTATAGACATTGTCAAACACAAATCACTATCTATAGACATTGTCAAACACAAATCACTATCTGTAGACATTGTCAAACACAAATCACTATCTATAGACATTGTCAAACACAAAACACTATCTGTAGACATTGTCAAACACAAATCACTATCTGTAGACCTTGTCAAACACAAAACACTATCTGTAGACATTGTCAAACACAAATCACTACCTATAGACATTGTCAAACACAAATCACTATCTATAGACATTGTCAAACACAAATCACTACCTATAGACATTGTCAAACACAAATCACTACCTATAGACATTGTCAAACACAAATCACTATCTATAGACATTGTCAAACACAAATCACTATCTATAGACATTGTCAAACACAAATCACTATCTGTAGACATTGTCAAACACAAATCACTATCTATAGACATTGTCAAACACAAATCATTATCTATAGACATTGTCAAACACAAATCACTATCTGTAGACATTGTCAAACACAAATCACTATCTGTAGACATTGTCAAACACAAATCACTATCTGTAGACATTGTCAAACACAAATCACTATCTATAGACATTGTCAAACACAAATCACTATCTATAGACATTGTCAAACACAAATCACTATCTGTAGACATTGTCAAACACAAATCACTATCTGTAGACATTGTCAAACACAAATCACTATCTGTAGACATTGTCAAACACAAATCACTATCTATAGACATTGTCAAACACAAATCACTATCTATAGACATTGTCAAACACAAATCACTATCTATAGACATTGTCAAACACAAATCAGTATCTATAGACATTGTCAAACACAAATCACTATCTGTAGACATTGTCAAACACAAATCACTATCTATAGACATTGTCAAACGCAAATCACTATCTATAGACAATGTCAAACACAAATCACTATCTGTAGACATTGTCAAACACAAATCACTATCTGTAGACATTGTCAAACACAAAACACTATCTGTAGACATTGTCAAACACAAATCAGTATCTGTAGACATTGTCAAACACAAATCACTATCTGTAGACATTGTCAAACACAAAACACTATCTGTAGACATTGTCAAACACAAATCACTATCTGTAGACATTGTCAAACACAAATCACTATCTGTAGACATTGTCAAACACAAATCACTATCTGTAGACATTGTCAAACACAAAACACTATCTGTAGACATTGTCAAACACAAAACACTATCTGTAGACATTGTCAAACACAAATCACTATCTATAGACATTGTCAAACACAAAACACTATCTGTAGACATTGTCAAACACAAATCACTATCTGTAGACATTGTCAAACACAAATCACTATCTATAGACATTGTCAAACACAACTCACTATCTGTAGACATTGTCAAACACAAAACACTATCTGTAGACATTGTCAAACACAAATCACTATCTATAGACATTGTCAAACACAAATCACTATCTATAGACATTGTCAAACACAAAACACTATCTGTAGACATTGTCAAACACAAATCACTATCTGTAGACATTGTCAAACACAAATCACTATCTGTAGACATTGTCAAACACAAATCACTATCTGTAGACATTGTCAAACACAAAACACTATCTGTAGACATTGTCAAACACAAAACACTATCTGTAGACATTGTCAAACACAAATCACTATCTATAGACATTGTCAAACACAAAACACTATCTGTAGACATTGTCAAACACAAATCACTATCTATAGACATTGTCAAACACAAATCACTATCTATAGACATTGTCAAACACAAATCACTATCTATAGACATTGTCAAACACAAATCAGTATCTATAGACATTGTCAAACACAAATCACTATCTGTAGACATTGTCAAACACAAATCACTATCTATAGACATTGTCAAACACAAATCACTATCTATAGACATTGTCAAACACAAATCACTATCTGTAGACATTGTCAAACACAAATCACTATCTGTAGACATTGTCAAACACAAAACACTATCTGTAGACATTGTCAAACACAAATCAGTATCTGTAGACATTGTCAAACACAAATCACTATCTGTAGACATTGTCAAACACAAAACACTATCTGTAGACATTGTCAAACACAAATCAGTATCTGTAGACATTGTCAAACACAAATCACTATCTGTAGACATTGTCAAACACAAATCACTATCTGTAGACATTGTCAAACACAAAACACTATCTGTAGACATTGTCAAACACAAAACACTATCTGTAGACATTGTCAAACACAAATCACTATCTATAGACATTGTCAAACACAAAACACTATCTGTAGACATTGTCAAACACAAATCAGTATCTGTAGACATTGTCAAACACAAATCACTATCTATAGACATTGTCAAACACAACTCACTATCTGTAGACATTGTCAAACACAAAACACTATCTGTAGACATTGTCAAACACAAATCACTATCTATAGACATTGTCAAACACAAATCACTATCTATAGACATTGTCAAACACAAAACACTATCTGTAGACATTGTCAAACACAAATCACTATCTGTAGACATTGTCAAACACAAATCACTATCTGTAGACATTGTCAAACACAAATCACTATCTGTAGACATTGTCAAACACAAAACACTATCTGTAGACATTGTCAAACACAAAACACTATCTGTAGACATTGTCAAACACAAATCACTATCTATAGACAATGTCAAACACAAATCATAATCAGGCTTAAGATATTTGCAGTGTTTAGAAAATAAAATATGCCTTAAATATTTGATAACTAATTACTAATATCTTTTCTCATTTATCTTCATTCAAGGACAAAAGAATAATCCAGAGTACCAGAAATCTCTGAAGTAGCCATCGACACTTACATTGTCGTAATTCTTTTTCACAATCGGTTCATAAAAACCAGAGGATTCTTTGTATTTGTTTTCCTGCATAAACAGTACGTGGGCCACATTGAGCTTCCAGATGTCATGTTCATTGCAGAACTCCACAGATTTCCTGAAGATTTTTTCCACCTGTTGATAGTTCTCCATGTCCCAGTAGATCTTTGCCTGCTGCATCAGCACAGGAATGTACCTATAATACGATAATGGAGTCAAATACAGAATATGGAATGAATACAGGCTTGTCTTGTGTCATGTCATGGATCAGTTAACATAAATTGTTGTCTCATGTCAGGTCATGGGTCAGTTAACATAAATTGTTGTCTTGTGTCATGTCATGGGTCAGTCAACATAAATTGTTGTCTCATGTCAGGTCATGGGTCAGTTAACATAAATTGTTGTCTTGTGTCATGTCATGGGTCAGTCAACATAAATTGTTGTCTCATGTCAGGTCATGGGTCAGTTAACATAAATTGTTGTCTTGTGTCATGTCATGGGTCAGTCAACATAAATTGTTGTCTCATGTCAGGTCATGGGTCAGTTAACATAAATTGTTGTCTTGTGTCATGTCATGGGTCAGTTAACATAAATTGTCATGTCAGATTGTGGGTTGGCAAATATATTTGTCTAATGTCAGGTCATGGGTCGGTAAATGTATACTGTTGTCCTGTGTCGATCATGGGTTAGTAAAGACAAACCTTTCCAGTGCCTCATCATAGTCATTGACAGCTCTCTTCACTGCTTCATCATCATGGTTCTGTCTGGCCTCTTGGACCTACAACAAACAATGGTGACAGGTATCAGTGGTCAAAATGAGGTTTAATAATTTAACAGACCATAATGTACAGAGAGGGTACTCACAAACAAGCCCTATCCCTACTTGGTCAATATGTTTTCAGTAGGGAAAGGTTCTTATCTGCAGTAAAATGCAGTATGTTGATGTACTAAAACTCGGGTCAAGGTGAAACACCACAACGTAAATAATAATGTGCTGTCATGTGTGTGACTTTATATTAGTATATATAAACATGTGCTAAAACACAAATCAAAATATGTTTATAAATACTTGTGATGATGAATGTGAACCCTTTTCTACCTTAAGAATGCCTGGGGAATGCTTATCTTAACCAAAACATTGTTATGTAGTAGTTCTTTTGAATTTAATATAATGCTTTTTTTTATTCTGCTGAACACTTCTTACTTCATTAGTGGTATGGACTACAACAGGATGTCAGTGATTTCGTGAAGTTTATTTCTTGAATGAGACAGGATACTGATAATTCTTATAAATCAGAGTGAAAAACAGAATACAATTTAGTTTACAATATCCTTAATAAAGTATGACTGTCTCCAAGACTTCCCCACACTTGCCTTCGACTCGTCCACACTTGCCAATGACTTTTCCAACACTTGCCTAGCTAGTGATAAGAATGGCAGAACTGCCCAAGGCACTAATGCTATCTGATATGCCAACACACAGCAACACTATATTTACCATTTCCCAAGCTATCCCAATCTTTCCTTGAATCTGAATGGTAAAATCAGCACTATTGGGTATATGGGAAGCACAAGCTGGGTTTGATCAAACAATGCTGTCATTCTAAAAGTGTTGGCTACCAAATGCAATTGAGTGGTCTTTAAATGATATGTTTTCACACATAGATCTTTTAATGCATGCTACATACAATAATCAATCTACCTGTTTTGTCAACTTGCGGAGGGTTTCTGTTTGACTTGTAGCCATCTCATCCAGTTTTCTATAGGCTTCCTCTGGTGAGGTCTGCCTAGTTATCACAGCTTCCAGAAAGTCGTACATATACTGCAAGGAAGTTCATATAGTAAATAAGGAAAATCCATACACATTATTCTATAAATTGAATCTAGGTAGAAAATAACAATAGGCAAAAATTAAGTATTTTAAATGGCCATCTTAGATTTCAAGAATCTGCCAATCAAAATCATTCCTAAAAATGTGCATTAAAACCTCTAGTGTGATACTGTCTCCTTTCCATAGTAATCACTTCTTTCACTCCTCCCTACTATACATTAAATGTCCTGGTGTGATACTCTCTCCTTTCCTCGATAATCACTTCTTTCACTCCTCCCTACTGTACATAAAATATCCTGGTGTGATACTGTCTCCTTTCCATAGTAATCACTTCTTTCACTCCTCCCTACTAAACATTAAATGTCCTGGTGTGATACTCTCTCCTTTCCTCGATAATCACTTCTTTCACTCCTCCCTACTGTACATTAAATGTCCTGGTGTGATACTGTCTCCTTTCCATAGTAATCACTTCTTTCACTCCTCCCTACTATACATTAAATGTCCTGGTGTGATACTCTCTCCTTTCCTCGATAATCACTTCTTTCACTCCTCCCTACTATACATTAAATGTCCTGGTGTGATACTGTCTCCTTTCCCTAGTAATCACTTCTTTCACTCCTCCCTACTATACATTAAATGTCCTGGTGTGATACTCTCTCCTTTCCTCAGTAATCACTTCTTTCATTCCTCCCTACTATACATTAAATGTCCTGGTGTAATACTCTCTCATTTCCCCTAGTAATATCACTCCTCCCTACTATACATTAAATGCCCTGGTGTGATACTCTCTCATTTCCCCTAGTAATATCACTCCTCCCTACTATACATTAAATGTCCTGGTGTGATACTCTCTCTTTCCCCTAGTAATATCACTCCTCCCTACTATACATTAAATGTCCTGGTGTGATACTCTCTCTTTCCCCTAGTAATATCACTCCTCCCTACTATACATTAAATGTCCTGGTGTAATACTCTCTCTTTCCCCTAGTAATATCACTCGTCCCTACTATACATTTAATGTCCTGGTGTGATACTCTCTCTTTCCCCTAGTAATATCACTCGTCCCTACTATACATTAAATGTCCTGGTGTGATACTCTCTCTTTCCCCTAGTAATATCACTCGTCCCTACTATACATTAAATGTCCTGGTGTGATACTCTCTCTTTCCCCTAGTAATATCACTCCTCCCTACTATACATTAAATGTCCTGGTGTGATACTCTCTCTTTCCCCTAGTAATATCACTCCTCCCTACTATACATTAAATGTCCTGGTGTGATACTCTCTCTTTCCCCTAGTAATATCACTCCTCCCTACTATACATTAAATGTCCTGGTGTGATACTCTCTCTTTCCCCTAGTAATATCACTCCTCCCTACTATACATTAAATGTCCTGGTGTGATACTCTCTCTTTCCCCTAGTAATATCACTCGTCCCTACTATACATTAAATGTCCTGGTGTGATACTCTCTCTTTCCCCTAGTAATATCACTCCTCCCTACTATACATTAAATGCCCTGGTGTGATACTCTCTCTTTCCCCTAGTAATATCACTCCTCCCTACTATACATTAAATGTCCTGTTTGATACTCTCTCCTTTCCCCAGTACTCACTCCTTTCACTCCTCCCTACTATACATTAAATGTCCTGGTGTGATACTCTCTCTTTCCCCTAGTAATATCACTCCTCCCTACTATACATTAAATGCCCTGGTGTGATACTCTCTCTTTCCCCTAGTAATATCACTCCTCCCTACTATACATTAAATGTCCTGTTTGATACTCTCTCCTTTCCCCAGTACTCACTCCTTTCACTCCTCCCTACTATACATTAAATGTCCTGGTGTGGTACTCTCTCTTTCCCCTAGTAATATCACTCCTCCCTACTATACATTAAATGTCCTGTTTGATACTCTCTCCTTTCCCTAGTACTCACTTCTTTCACTCCTCCCTACTATACATTTAATGTCCTGGTGTGATACTCTCTCTTTCCCCTAGTAATATCACTCCTCCCTACTATACATTAAATGTCCTGGTGTGATACTCTCTCCTTTCCTCGATAATCACTTCTTTCACTCCTCCCTACTGTACATTAAATGTCCTGGTGTGATACTGTCTCCTTTCCATAGTAATCACTTCTTTCACTCCTCCCTACTATACATTAAATGTCCTGGTGTGATACTCTCTCCTTTCCTCGATAATCACTTCTTTCACTCCTCCCTACTATACATTAAATGTCCTGGTGTGATACTGTCTCCTTTCCCTAGTAATCACTTCTTTCACTCCTCCCTACTATACATTAAATGTCCTGGTGTGATACTCTCTCCTTTCCTCAGTAATCACTTCTTTCATTCCTCCCTACTATACATTAAATGTCCTGGTGTAATACTCTCTCATTTCCCCTAGTAATATCACTCCTCCCTACTATACATTAAATGCCCTGGTGTGATACTCTCTCCTTTCCCCAGTACTCACTCCTTTCACTCCTCCCTACTATACATTAAATGTCCTGGTGTGGTACTCTCTCTTTCCCCTAGTAATATCACTCCTCCCTACTATACATTAAATGTCCTGTTTGATACTCTCTCCTTTCCCTAGTACTCACTTCTTTCACTCCTCCCTACTATACATTTAATGTCCTGGTGTGATACTCTCTCTTTCCCCTAGTAATATCACTCCTCCCTACTATACATTAAATGCCCTGGTGTGATACTCTCTCTTTCCCCTAGTAATATCACTCCTCCCTACTATACATTAAATGTCCTGGTGTGATACTCTCTCTTTCCCCTAGTAATATCACTCCTCCCTACTATACATTAAATGTCCTGGTGTGATACTCTCTCTTTCCCCTTGTAATATCACTCGTCCCTACTATACATTAAATGTCCTGGTGTGATACTCTCTCTTTCCCCTGGTAATATCACTCGTCCCTACTATACATTAAGTGTCCTGGTGTGATACTCTCTCTTTCCCCTGGTAATATCACTCGTCCCTACTATACATTAAATGTCCTGGTGTGATACTCTCTCTTTCCCCTAGTAATATCACTCGTCCCTCTACATTAAATGTCCTGGTGTGATACTCTCTCTTTCCCCTAGTAATATCACTCGTCCCTACTATACATTAAATGTCCTGGTGTGATACTCTCTCTTTCCCCTAGTAATATCACTCCTCCCTACTATACATTAAATGTCCTGGTGTGATACTCTCTCTTTCCCCTAGTAATATCACTCCTCCCTACTATACATTAAATGTCCTGGTGTGATACTCTCTCTTTCCCCTAGTAATATCACTCGTCCCTACTATACATTAAATGTCCTGGTGTGGTACTCTCTCTTTCCCCTAGTAATATCACTCCTCCCTACTATACATTAAATGCCCTGGTGTGATACTCTCTCCTTTCCACAGTACTCACTTCTTTCACTCGTCCCTACTATACATTAAATGTCCTGGTGTGATACTCTCTCTTTCCCCTAGTAATGTCACTCCTCCCTACTGGTAGTCACTGTATACTATATATCAAAAGATCTACTTTACTTCCCCGTCCTACACATATTGTCTCTGAATAGGTTTCTTCTTTTCCTTGATCTATCTTTTCATTTAATAAACAACTCATCCCATTGTAGCTGTTTATAAAGTAAGGCGTGTGAACCATTTAAACAATGTGACACTCCTCATCCAAAGATCTTCTTAGTTAGAAAATATGGCATTTAGTAGCAATATACAAAAATATATGATTTATAAAAATGTGATACAATTCAAACACAAATTGAGTTAACACAGGCAAGTATTCCCTCCTGTACAGACAGAAAGATAAAAGAGATACATGTACAGGTAAAATACCTATAGAGTAAAATATTTACAGGGGACAAATTATAACAGGGAGCAAATACTTACAGGGGTCAGATACTTGTAGGTTAAATGAGCATTTTCTGCCAACACATCTGCAGCCAGGTCATAGTACTGAAATAAGTATAAAGTCAGTTATAGTGAATATCATCAACACCAGTATACAGTTATAGTCTATATCATCAACACCAGTATACAGTTATAGTCTATATCATCAACACCAGTATACAGTTATAGTCTATATCATCAACACCAGTATACAGTTATTGTCTATATCATCAACAGTTATAGTCTATATCATCAACAGCAGTATACAGTTATAGTCTATATCATCAACACCAGTATACAGTTATAGTCTATATCATCAACAGTTATAGTCTATATCATCAACACCAGTATACAGTTATAGTCTATATCATCAACACCAGTATACAGTTATAGTCTATATCATCAACACCAGTATACAGTCTGTTATAGTCAATATCATCAACACCAGTATACAGTTATAGTCTATATCATCAACACCAGTATACAGTTATAGTCTATATCATCAACACCAGTATACAGTTATAGTCTATATCATCAACACCAGTATACAGTTATAGTCTATATCATCAACACCAGTATACAGTTATAGTCTATATCATCAACACCAGTATACAGTTATAGTCTATATCATCAACACCAGTATACAGTTATAGTCAATATCATCAACACCAGTATACAGTTATAGTCTATATCATCAACACCAGTATACAGTTATAGTCTATATCATCAACACCAGTATACAGTCTGTTATAGTCTATTCCATCAACACCAGTATACAGTCTGTTATAGTCTATATCATCAACACCAGTATACAGTTATAGTCTATATCATCAACACCAGTATACAGTTATAGTCTATATCATCAACACCAGTATACAGTTATAGTCTATATCATCAACACCAGTATACAGTTATAGTATACAGTTATAGTCTATATCATCAACACCAGTATACAGTTATAGTCAATATCATCAACACCAGTATACAGTTATAGTCTATATCATCAACACCAGTATACAGTTATAGTCTATATCATCAACACCAGTATACAGTTATAGTCTATATCATCAACACCAGTATACAGTTATAGTCTATATCATCAACACCAGTATACAGTTATAGTCTATATCATCAACACCAGTATACAGTTATAGTCTATATCATCAACACCAGTATACAGTTATAGTCTATATCATCAACACCAGTATACAGTTATAGTCTATATCATCAACACCAGTATACAGTTATAGTCTATATCATCAACACCAGTATACAGTTATAGTCTATATCATCAACACCAGTATACAGTTATAGTCTATATCATCAACACCAGTATACAGTTATAGTCTATATCATCAACACCAGTATACAGTTATAGTCTATATCATCAACACCAGTATACAGTTATAGTCTATATCATCAACACCAGTATACAGTTATAGTCTATATCATCAACACCAGTATACAGTTATAGTCTATATCACCAACACCAGTATACAGTTATAGTCTATATCATCAACACCAGTATACAGTTATAGTCAGTTATAGTCTATATCATCAACACCAGTATACAGTTATAGTCTATATCATCAACACCAGTATACAGTTATAGTCTATATCATCAACACCAGTATACAGTTATAGTCTATATCATCAACACCAGTATACAGTTATAGTCTATATCATCAACACCAGTATACAGTTATAGTCTATATCATCAACACCAGTATACAGTTATAGTCTATATCATCAACACCAGTATACAGTTATAGTCTATATCATCAACACCAGTATACAGTTATAGTCTATATCATCAACACCAGTATACAGTTATAGTCTATATCATCAACACCAGTATACAGTTATAGTCTATATCATCAACACCAGTATACAGTTATAGTCTATATCATCAACACCAGTATACAGTTATAGTCTATAACATCAACACCAGTATACAGTTATAGTCTACATCATCAACACCAGTATACAGTTATAGTCTATATCATCAACACCAGTATACAGTTATAGTCTATATCATCAACACCAGTATACAGTTATAGTCTATATCATCAACACCAGTATACAGTCAGTAATAGTCTATATCATCAACACCAGTATACAGTTATAGTCTATATCATCAACACCAGTATACAGTTATAGTCTATATCACCAACACCAGTATACAGTCAGTAATAGTCTATATCAGAAACACCAGTATACAGTCAGTAATAGTCTATATCAGAAACACCAGTATACAGTCAGTAATAGTCTATATCAGAAACACCAGTATACAGTCAGTAATAGTCTATATCATCAACACCAGTATACAGTTATAGTCTATATCATCAACACCAGTATACAGTAATAGTCTATATCACCAACACCAGTATACAGTCAGTAATAGTCTATATCAGAAACACTAGTAGAGAGTCAATTATATTCTATTTCATCATAATCTTGTTCTGATTAAACACTTACTTCATATTTCACATATAGCAGCAACAGATTTCCAAATGTTTCTGGTGGAAAAGGATTCTGCTGTAAAAGAAATTGCATCTTCTCAAATCCCTTTGTTGGCGTCTGTTCCATGTTCATCAACGCCTGGTTGTGGAGTGTGACAGCATCCAGTTCCTCCTCAGACCGTGGGGGCATGTCTGTCAATGCCTCACAAGCTGCCTCAACTGTGTAATAAATTAATGAAATAATGACAGAATAGATACATATACAGGAAAATTGGTAAATATTAAATGACTTAACAGTTAAAATTACAGGCACAAAAGTAATATACAGCACACTGCCAGTTCATCCAACTTGTATAGCTTTCATTGACCTACTTTCTGGGTCCGTTCAAAGACTTGACAATGGTATATAGCAAACTGTGATGTCAGCCTATATATAATTCATGAAAGTTCAATCAAGTACCTTCACTGAGTAAGTAGTTATGGCCATGCCAATGACCTTTACAACAAGAACTTCACTTTGATCCTGTGTGTACATGGATGGACGGCCATTTCAGTGTAGGAGGGATCACATAAAAAATCCACCCATCACAAAATAAGTCAAGTGTGACAAATGGCCCTTTAACCTTAACTGATGACCACCTAAGATTACAGTACAGATCTTGATGTCAATGTATGTGTTATGTTGTAAACTGTAAATTGTGGTATATAGTGTAAATTACTTGCTTACTTATTGTAGTTTGAACTATGACTAACTAAACTTGCTTCCCCACATCAGAAGATGCTGGAATAAAATAATTTGCAAATTAGTATTTATGATAATTTGATGGAAAACCGAGAGACACTTACAGTTTTTCAGCTGGTACTCTATAGCAGCTTTGAGGTTGAAGGCTTCAATGAGGGCAGTTTCATGAAGTATCAGTGTATTTCCAACACTACGGACATCAATTCCCTCTGTTGTCATCCCCACACTCAGTTCTGAAAAATCATTCAAGACAGTAAGTGGTTTTAATTATATATCTTATTCAAACTTTGAAAAGAGATGCAATTTTCAGAACAATAATGATCTTGGAAAGAACAATACCATTCACTTCAGTTTGTTAAAATGTGTAGAACTTAAATTTTGGAACACCAAATGAAGAACAGAGATAAATTGGAAGTGACCATGTGAGAGATTTACCTGGATGTTCTCTGATGCCCTTCTCTATGATATCAGCGATGTGTTTGAGGGCAGGTGCATACTGTTTCAGCTGGTAGTGACACAGTGCTATGTTATAGGAGAGATCTGGACGATACCCTAGGATCTGCATGGCAGTAGTGAACTTCTGACAGGCTTCCTCAAATCTGTTGTCCTAAGGGTTCACAAGGATATAATTTATCAATTAAAAGTATCTCCTATTTCTGTCAGAACCACTAGATTACACCATGAAAGATTTCCTATTTCTGTCAGAACCATGAGATTACATCATGAAAGATCTATTTCTGTCAGAACAACTAGATTACACCATCAAAGATCTCCTATTTCTGTCAGAGCCATTAGAACTACGAAAGAAAGTTTTCAATACTTTCTTATTGGTTTGACATCCTTAGTAAACCACATTTTCACTACCTATTCCTATTTTGTGAACTTCTGTAATCAGATGCAGAACTTTGCTATAACTTGTTTTTAATATTTCAAAATGTCAAGAGATTCATGTATAATAAAACTGCGCTATCCCCTTCACAAGGTGAGCAGAATGAAAAATCTCTGATCATTTCTCTGAAAAAGTCTCTAGAATCTACAGTCAGATGTCTTACTGCATCACTTGTCTAAGATTAAGTCATTCTTCATAACAAATCTGAACTTCAGTTAAACCTCTAGTTACACATCTCACAGAAAATGTGGAGTCTAGTCAAACCTCTTAGGTCTGAAGATTTGAAACAAATGTAAGGGGTTGAGATATAAGTACGGGCAGCAGGGAGTTTATTTTCTGTGATCAGTAACAATCCTGGTCTTGTGTGGAAGTGACAACCAATACCCTTGATGTAAGTAAGACATACCTTGAAGAGAAGACATCCCAGATTTATCTCTGTGTCTGGATCATCAGCAGGACACTGCTCCACCAGACTCTGAAATCACACCACACAAAAATATCATCCAGGCTTCCTTTAATTACCTATCTTATTGAGAATGCCTAGTTACATACTGTTAAATCCAAAGTTATAAAAAAATTTTTGAATTTAATTAAGAGATTAACCAAAAGTTGAATTCCTATACAAAGTCAGGTAAGAATTATACTTTTAATAACAAGGGATATTAAACTTGAAATTCATACATTTGTTATACACCACATTTTCCGGATTATATACCACACATTTTTCCCTTGTGAGTCGGGTGTGCGGCTATGTGTAGAGTTCTTAATGACGACCTGGCCATCACATGCATTGATCGATAGGTCATTGGGTTATAGGTCAAATTTTAGAATGACCACCATGCTTGTTTTTTTATATGAATAGCTTCATGTATTTTGCAAGAAGAAATAATATGGGACTATAAGAATTTTGTCAGCATGCAAGGGCCTTCCTTCATATTTAACAGTACAGATACTGATGGAGAGATGTTTAGTAAACCATACTTAACATCTGGCCCTATATCTGTACGTAGACAATCTGTGAAGGCACCAAAGCCAAACAAGTTTGATATTTGTTATTTTACATTTTTTTAATTACAACAATAAAATAAAGGATTATCTGTGTATAAATCATTTGCAAACTTTAGTAAATGTTTCACTGACAATCTTGACAAACTGCCCTTCGGTGTATGTTACATCAAAGAACTTTGGTCAATGCAACAGTTACCACTTCATAAGAAAGGGTGTTGATCAAATAAAAAAAATCACCAAAAACTGGCTCTGTGGCTTATATACCAGTGTATAACCCAGAAATATGGAATGTTACTTACCTTAGAGCCAGGGAGATCCTCCTCTCCATACTTGATTGCTGCCTGGAGTTTTGTTATCTGTGAAAATAAAACAGGTTATCAGTATAATTGTTAATATATATACCAAATACATGAAACATATATCAAGTACAGAACATATGACTTCATCAAGGAACATTACATAGAAATCAGTATTCATCACATCTCCTGACACAGGAAATTTACGCAAAGAATTTGTACAAACTAATGCACATGCATGAAAAATAACATCTAAGAAAAACAACAGAACCACAGCATGAATATTCTTAATAGATAAACTATCTTGTACTTGTCTAGATAGAATTAATTTGTTAACAAGTTATTATATGCAAATATCCACATTTGACTGTTCACTCCATTAGTATGCTTCAAGATTTAATTATAAGTGATGGCTTTGGTGGGATGTTGGGACATCCAGCCTGAATCTAACACACCTGATTGGAAAGCAAGAGGAGATAATGGACGTTTGTACCAGAAACTTTAATGATATTGGATTTAAGACGGGATACAAGTTCAACATCTTAATAACAGCTTATATAATTTGAATTTCAAATAAATAACCACAAAACCAACTTAGATATACTGTAAATTTTATAGAGGTTATTACCTCCCTTTAATCAATCACAGGTATCATTTTAAGATGTGCCATCTCATTATAATATACATGCTTTATATGATTATTTACAACTTGAAAAGATTTATAAAGGATTATCCTGTTAACCTGTCCATTTGTACATTTCTGTACAACAAAATTCTGCTGAAATGAAAAGCACACTCTTAATAATGATCTTTGTGGGTGACAAGATTTTGTCCAAATACTCTCCTTACCAAAGTTTAAGTAGGGAGATATGAAATTTTGTTCAGGACAACTTTTCTCCTTACCAATGTTTGTGGAGCTTTGAGACATCTTCTCTCCTCTCTCTCTCTCATAGCCAATGTTGAGGTTGGGAGATATGGAGCTTTGTCCAGTATTAACCTTCCACCTTACCAATGTTAAGGTATGGAACTTTGTTCAGGACAAACCTCTCTTTTACTCATGATGTTTTGGAGGATATGAAGTATTTCTGAAATTGCCTCTCTTTCTCACTATAAACGTTTTATTTGAAATTTTTTCCTCATTTATGAAAAAGCCTGGTACATAATACCATCCCTGTCTAAATGACAAATGTAGGAACTAATGTGGTTTGGCATTGAACAAAGATCTCAAACTCTTTGTATAAACAATATATTCAGTAACTATGAATTTAAATTCTGAGTGTTAGTTTTTAACAAAATGGAAAACAAACACAAAAAGCAATGAAATACTGGTAGATGTAATTAAAATATATCAACACAAGTACCCAGTTAGGCACATTTTGAGGTTTTGTATATCAATAAAACAGTATTACAAGCCTCCCTGAAGCAAATAATTAGCTAACATCTGTTACAAAAGAAAAGTAATAATAATACAAAGGTACAGAAGTGTGGTCTCCCTTTCAAATTGTAATATTGGCATTCCTTTAGAAATCTCTGAATAATTATTTGCTGACAATGTTTTTTCCCTTCAGATTTTAAGAAACAAATTTTAACAACAATATCAATAGTAACAAAAACAAACTTGCCATATACTTAAATCCAAATTTTTGGTGCTGTAAAAGTAAGGAATGTAGTTTTATATCATAAAGTGTGTAAACACATTATTATCACAGAGAGTCAATACATTGTGTAAAGTATGGTAACACATACAGCTGCTTCACATAAAAGGACACCATACGTTTTGCTATACTCACACATTTCAATTAACCAAACACAGGTAGAAGTTACCCACAGGATGTTTCTACTTTCTAAGGTGAAAAACAGATTAGATTTATGCTTCAAGCAAACAAAAATAATCAACAAATGTAGAGTACTAGGCACTTCTAATGAGATATAATATGATAGTATACAGTGCCTACCTGTCCTTGATACTGAGGGTTGTCTATCTGGCAGGCAACCTTCATGGCCTCGGTGAAGAGACAGGCTTTGTACAGTGACTGAGCATAGTACAGTTTGTACTCTTCCACCTCTGGGTGCATGTAGCTAAGCTGTTCATAACAATCAGAAGCATTTACAAAATCCTGCATCTGGAAGTGGCAGTACCCAAGTAATGAGAGGGCGGCTCGAGACTGTGGATAAATAGTAACAGTATTAATATTCTTCATGTGCATCAGACATATCTCAAGTTTTGCTTCTATTGTTGGTAGAAATCCTATCCTGTATAAATGGTATAATTAGAACCTGGTATGTCTCTATTGGTGAGAATCTATTGTCTTACCTCCATGTCCTCTTATCATTGGCTTCACAATCTGGTCAACAATCTACTTATGAATTTAACGAGCTTTTACAGACCTTCAAAGCAATCATAAACTGTTCCCATCTCTGAGAAAAATTAGCCAAAAATGAGACCCAATGGGCCTGCATCACTCATATGGTATTCAATGCTTTCCACAAATACATCAACAATCCATCAATGAGAAGAAATATTTTGAAGGTTTTGACAATTCCACTGCTGCACCACATGTGGCTATTTCTTTGTGACCTTGAATATGAGTCCTGGAGCCCAGCTTCTAACCAAATATACTTCTTGACCTTTTAGTTATGTATATGAAGTTATTAGAAGGATCTAATCGATTTGACACCTGGTTCCTTGAATATGGGGTCCAGGCCATTTCTTTCAATAAACATGGTTGGGCTTTGTCTAAGGTACCTTCCAATCAAATCATGATTATAGGATTTTTGGTTATTGGGAAGAAGTTATTTGAGGGTTTCAATGGGCCAGATAAGCTCACAGAACTGTGTTTTTTTAATGAACATATATCAGGGTGGATTCACAGAGACTGAACTAGGATTGTTTTCCAAGTTACAAGTTTACTCTTTCTGGAGAACTCACCTTCTGATGGCTTTGTAATTGATTGTTAAGGATTTGCACTGCTTCATTGTAACGTTGTTCCCTGATCTAATTAAAAAACAAACAGCAATAGTGACATTCATAATATATAAATGATTACATGTCTAGTGTTTGATATTGCAACCAACATGAATTAGATACTTTCAAAGCTTGTGCATAAAATTTAGGGAAATGTCAAAATCTCAAAATCTCTTCATATCATATTTTATGTATATAGTGTTATATGTTGTATGTATGTGGGTGTTTTAAGAATAAAATAGATATGAATTGACATAATTTACAACAGTTTTAGAGCTGTGATTGGAACCCTGTAAAGGCCTTTATTTTGGTACTCTATATATCGAGGGCAATATTGTCTAGGTCAGTACTGCAAGTTAGTCAATTACACATTGGTGTGCTATGGTCACCTTAAGGGTATAAAATGTCTGATTCCTGCATTCCAAGTTAAACTAGAAACAGTTTTTCTATGAAGAAAGCAGGAAATACACTTTAACCACAATAACAAACAGAGGTTTGACTTAGATACATCTCTATCATCCAAAATTATATGATGAAGTTTTCAAATAAATATTGGTAGAGAAAGAAGATTTCACAGGTTACATATTTGAGTAAACATGTTTTTTTTTTATTTCATTCCTCAGAGAGGAAGAGGTTATTAACCCTTATATGAAACCTCTGTGAGTACTAAGCTACATGATGAATAAACTATTAATCATATCCTGTCGCTGTTGTCTTGACCGACACAACAAATACAAATGAATCATGTAATGACAGCAGGAAACGTCTCTCATTTTAGATATGTAATCATTTGTATCTATGGTATTTTGTCTTTTGTTGATATATACTGCTGGGATTGCACTTGTACTTAACTGGTTGATGTATTTCTTAATAATTTAATTTCTCTTTTTATTGTTGGTTTTCTGGGTAATAGTGGTTTTATGGGCAATATATTATCTAAAAGTTTTTATTTCTTAGTGCCATGGTTATCTTATTCCTTTACAAACGTGTAATAATTATTTCTTTTAATCAAACAGAAATTTGGTTGCTTTTGATCTTACCTAAGTGTGATATATATTTTAAATTGCAAGTAGTATCATTGGGATAAGACATTCTGGGTGAAATGTAGTTATTATACGACGAAAGATTTAGGAATTCTACATAAATGACTCCTGCTATTTTAGTAGTATAATGCTATATTTCACATACTGAACGTATGATTCCTGTAACAATATACAGTACATTTAATTTGTATATGCTAAATACTGTGTATACCTACAAAAACGTAGTCGGACAAACATGCATTACGTGCTAAATTCTGTTCATTCTGAGATTATGAATAAGTCTACTTTTTCATCGAATGGAATTATCATCATTATTATTATCATCTCTGAAATACAAAAATGTCGCTTGAAATAGTATACTTGTACAAGAGTCAAGACCTAGTAAACAGGGATATATAATTTACTGTTGTCATGATAATTTTAAAACCGAGCCAGAGCATTCACTACGCAATGCACGTTACCATTCCATATATAGTTGATGTGAACTCCCCTTCTTTCACCTGGAGATGCGCCATTATGTCTTAAGAATTTTTTGTGAACGAAAAGAAAGATGAATTACAGAGATACAAATATATAAACCTGTTGGAAGTTATCATTAGCAACTGCTTCTGGAATGCAGATCTGTGTTAAAATGGAATATCAGCTTTAGTACATTCCACTGTGAGACTCAAGCGTCCTATCGACCTGTATGATGAACATTCGGAGGGTCTCATGAACTTTCTATCATTTCATATGTAAAACATGAGACGTTCCTACCGCTAAAATCAACGTGAGTCTTTCTCGTGGCAATGAGAAAAATTTGTCAATTTGTGGTACGTGAAATATTGAAAGAGTGAAGGAATGTAAATATATACATGTTACCATATCATAGTGAATATCTGTAATATTTATATGATATGTATGTTATTGTGAGTGGGAGGGTGTATGATAAGATAGTTTGATCATCTTATAGTCGGGTGAAGTTCCACTATTTCCCACTCTTTGATCACCTGGACCTTGTCGTAGATGTCCAACATTTTGTTGACGTGTTTTCACATTGCACATGCCATGTATGATGGAAATAAGATATGTCTGCGTGACAAAATTATCTCTGCTATGACTGGCAGTTTATTTGGCAATGAAAAAAACATTTATGCATACATAAACTGTATGCGTAGTAAACCTACCAAATGCTATTCAGTGTGACATGTAAGGGGTTTGTTTTAAGTCACTTCTTGGGATTTGAGATATTGAATCCGTTACAAAGTCAAATATATCTTATACCAAGATTGAAATAAAACATTTTTGATATGTTAATCACCATCTTCCATACAACAACTTTGGAAACTTCAGATGTGTTTTTATCCCTGATAAAGGGACTTTGGCGTCCATCGACTGAAATGATTTTCGAGACACCAAAATTTACTCTACTGCTCGCGATTTTACTTTATAAATTTGTGTTTGTTTTTTGTTCTCTGTATGTATGTGATGTGATTTTTGTGACTAGATAAAGGGACAGGTTGCTTCGAAAATTTGACAATTCTCTTTATTAGGATTTATTAGTATAAATTATGGATGTAGGCTTTCTAAAAAAAACACCTCAATATCCATATCTCTTGTTTGTAGAGGTATTATTACTTCATTGATCATATAGCTAACATTTCCTCTCTGTCTTGACTCGGCAATAACCACTGGTCAATAATTACATTGCTACTGTTATACTATCAACAATGCTGTTCCCTATTGCTGTCTTATTCTGTTCAAATGTCATGTGTACCTGCCCCATGACTTTTGATAAGAATTCATGAATTGGTCTTGCTCTCTGAGCTTAAAACAGGATATTCAGTAAAAATAAGTTCTCCTTCATGCCTGAATGTGGGCTTTTCAATCAATTTTGATCATGTATTAAAGCAAATCATGATCCTGAAATGTTTGGTAACCGCAGGTTCATCTATTAAATAATTTGCCATTGACATCTTTGATGGGTTTAAGTTATACCTGGTCTTATGCTTAAGGGATAATGTTAAGCAATACAGTACATGCATATTTAAAGGCTCTTTAATCTGTATAGATGTAAATAAGATAATTTATTTTGCAGCAATCATGTTCTATGAGTCCGATCAGCACAGCTACTATGACAGCAATGAGTACAATGATGATGAAAACTCAGAAAGTGATAGAGAAGAAATAGAATCTGCATTGTATGCCCAAATCCACTTCCACCATGAGGAGGAGGATAGAAACTGTTCCTTTAGAGGCTACGCCACATCTATCCAGACTCGGTGTCCTGAGTTAACCCCAGTCAATGATGATCTGCAGGACACACTCCCTGAGTCTACAATTACAAAGTCCGGATCATCTTCAACACCCATATGTATACAGTCATCACCATCTACGAGTGCCGACAATATAGTGTTGTCTGAAGAAGAGAGTTTGCGTAATTCATCTGATTGGTCTGACTCAGACAGTGATTGTATGATCTTAGACGACCCTGTGTCTAACACTGGAGATATAAAGGTGCATGTTAAGGAAAACCAACAGCCCATTCTGCAAGCAATGTCAGGTATAGTAAGAGTTTATATTGTTTAGTTAACATCATAATTTGTCCCATGGTTTGGCTTGAGTCAATTATAATCAAAGTTAGATAAATTCACAATGTGGGATGATTGTTGGTTGATAGAGTAGAGCAAATCCCAAAAATATTGCTATTCCTTCACAAAAAATTGTCTTCAATGTTAATATTTCAGTTCTTTGTAGCATTTTTAGGTCATCTGACCGAAGGGTCTGATGACCTATTGCGATCGCCTTTTTCCAGCATCATATGTCGTCCGTTGTAAACATTTTCAACTTCTTCTCAAGTTCTACATGTCTCATTGAGCTGAAACTTACCTGAAATGATCGTGACATGATCCTAACCAAAGTTTGTTCATTTCGGGTTGGTCCGAAATCCAACATGGCTGCCATCTTGAAAACACATTTTCGACTTCTTCTCAAGTTCAAAATTTGAAATCTTGTATTTTATGTCAGATGACCGTTAAGGCCCATGGGCCTCTTGTTAGAATAAGCCTCATAAGAAGTATGTGTTGATGTAGTTCTACTATCTCCCCTTCTTTACTGAACCTTATCTAGATTCATATACTTAAAATGCTTATAATTGTTTTCATATATTTCTTTTAAACTGGATGTTTTCAGATAATGTTGCATGGAAGATCTCAGAAATGGATGAGACATCATACAACCACAAGTCTAACCCCACACCAAATCGTTACTACAACCCCATAACTGTACGATGTCACAATTGTAAGGAGATGGGACACATATCAAATGTTTGTCCCAAACCTAAGGTATGGAAACAGGATTCTCACATATAATTTATAGGACGATCCTAAACCTAAGGTATGGAAACACGATTCTCACATATAATTTATAGGACGATCCCAAACCTAAGGTATGGAAACACGATTCTCACATATAATTTATAGGACGATCCCAAACCTAAGGTATGGAAACACGATTCTCACATATAATTTATAGGACGATCCCAAACCTAAGGTATGGAAACACGATTCTCACATATAATTTATAGGACGATCCCAAACCTAAGATATTGAAACATGATTCTCACATATAATTTATAGGATGATCCCAAACCTAAGGTATGGAAACATGATTCTCACATATAATTTATAGGATGATCACATGTTTTCTAGGGGAAAAATAAAAATTAAAATGGAATTGGAACAATATAGCCATGGTTGCATTAATGTCAGCATCCGATTAGCTGGTTAGATAACACCACCATATAGCTACACTAAGGGTAGGGAGGGGCACCAATTAGCTGGTTAGATAACACCACCATATAGCTACACTAAGGGTAGGGAGGGGCACCAATTAGCTGGTTAGATAACACCACCATACAGCTACACTAAGGGTTGGGAGGGGCACCAATTAGCTGGTTAGATAACACCACCATATGGCTATACTAACGGTATGGAGGGGCACCAATTAGCTGGTTAGATAACACCACCATATGGCTACACTAACAGTATGGAGGGGCACCAATTAGCTGGTTAGATAAAATCACTATCACATATCAATCGATCAGTGAACACAGTCGATAATGTGAAGCTTTTATTTACCAAACTTTAATTTTGAAGAATGGTTCATTTTAGTGATTAAGTAACTATTTGATGACCTGATATTTAAAGTATTTTTTCTTTCACTCCAGAAAGCAGAGATTTGTCATCTGTGTGGAATGACTGGTCATTTCTTCCGTAAGTGTCCTGAAGGAATATGTTATAACTGTGAATCACCAGGGCACATCTCCCGTGACTGTCCTCAACCATGCAAGCAGCGTGGGCAGATCTGCTTTCGTTGCCTCATGCCTGGCCACTCCAAAAATGTACGTTTCACCACCATAACCACCAGTATCATCAAATCTTAATGCATATGTTTTTATGAATTGTTGTATATGTTTTTATGAATTTCACTGTATTTAACACACAAGATGTTTACCAGACCGTGTCCACCAACATGTCAGACATATATTGTTGAATTTCTACAGTAGGACAGTTATAGATCTGGTATAGATCTTTAATGAGAAACATTCGGGAGGCTATGAGATAAAGATTTACTCTCCTTCATGATAAGAATATTATATTTCTGGGTTTTTTTAAACATTGAAAAACTCCAATATGGGTTCATCCATCTATCTCAGGATATAGGTAATTAATGGTGTCATCAGAAAATTACTGTGCACAATGGTCTGAAATTAATGTTTGTCATATAACTTACTATTTTTGTAGTGTTATAGGCTTATTTCAAATATTATAAAATGTATGTAGTAACACTATTTTGACACCTTAACTACAAGCATGACACTACATTATTGTATCCACAGTAAAAAAAAACATCCTGCTGAGCACAAAATTCACCTTTTCTTTCAAATTGTATTTTTTTCTCTTATTTTCAAAGTATGAGCTACATGACAAAGCTTTTCCTAGAATTAGATATGACACTCACCTTGGCGTGGAATCTGTCCTATGACTTATTTCAGTAATAATTTAGGTTTATTCGTGTCCTGGCTACAACTCTTTGTGTATTTACTATTTAAAGAAAAGCCATTGTTTTAAAGCATATGACAGGAATCTTCTCCACCATTACATATAGATGTTGGATCTGTAAGATTTTATATTAAGTACATCTCTATAAATTATATTGGCTTTGTGTAGATTAGGACTTTCTTACCATAAATTGGCTTATCCTAATGTTCCTTGTTGGTAATATATGTATGGGATACAGACTGAAGTTTAAGAAATATTCAGAAGTTTGCTAATGATCATTGTCTTGGCTATTTATAATTTATGAGTATTTTGTAAATATTTATATTTGTATATGAGAAGAGCTCAAATTGTTTTTTATTTCAGGTATGTCCAGACATTTGGAGACAGTTCCATGTGACAGTAAGTCATGTTATTTCCTGTTTGGTTGTCGTGATATTCAAATGTTCTATCCTGTTTATCATAGTAACCACTGAGGTAGGAAAATTTGATACAGTCACATGGTGCTCATCAATAGGTTTATATATTTCTGTCCTATAAACATGTATAGTATATAAACTCTGATAACCTCTACTATCTTCAGTGAAATATTACTTTCAAAACAAAATGCAAGAGAATCATGATAGTTATTATGTATATTATTGAGGGAAATACATTTTGCTTATCAACAACTTTTCTACCTCATATTTTCAGACAAGTGGTGGACCAGTGCAGAAAATTAACATGAAACCAAATCCAAAAAGATTTTGCAGTAACTGTGCCTCCAGAAAACACTTTGGTTTTGTATGTATTTCATATGGTTAATTTGCATGTATTACACAGGTTAATTTGTTATTACACAGGTTAATTTGTATATATTGTACAGGTTAATTTGTATATATTGTACAGGTTAATTTGTATATATTACACAGGTTAATTTGTATATATTGTACAGGTTAATTTGTTATTGTACAGTTAATTTGTATATATTACACAGGTTAATTTGTATATATTGTACAGGTTAATTTGTATATATTGTACAGGTTAATTTGTTATTGTACAGTTAATTTGTATATATTGTACATGTTAATTTGTATATATTACACAGGTTAATTTGTATATATTGTACAGGTTAATTTGTATATATTGTACAGTTAATTTGTATATATTGTACAGGTTAATTTGTTATTGTACAGTTAATTTGTATATATTACACAGGTTAATTTGTATATATTACACAGGTTAATTTGTATATATTACACAGGTTAATTTGTTTATACAGTTAATTTGTATATATTGTACAGGTTAATTTGTTATTGTACAGGTTAATTTGTATATATTGTACAGGTTAATTTGTATATATTGTACAGGTTAATTTGTATATATTACACAGGTTAATTTGTATATATTGTACAGGTTAATTTGTATATTGTTAATTTGTATATATTACACAGGTTAATTTGTTATTGTACAGTTAATTTGTATATATATAATTTGTATATATTACACAGGTTAATTTGTATATATTGTACAGGTTAATTTGTATATATTACACAGGTTAATTTGTATATATTGTACAGGTTAATTTGTATATATTACACAGGTTAATTTGTATATATTGTACAGGTTAATTTGTATATATTGTATAGGTCAATTTGTATATATTACACAGGTTAATTTGTATATATTGTACAGGTTAATTTGTATATATTACACAGGTTAATTTGTATATATTGTACAGGTTAATTTGTATATATTACAGGTTAATTTGTATGTATTGTACAGGTTAATTTGTATGTATTGTACAGGTTAATTTGTATATATTACACAGGTTAATTTGTATATATTGTACAGGTTAATTTGTATATATTACACAGGTTAATTTGTATATATTGTACAGGTTAATTTGTATATATTGTACAGTTAATTTGTATATATTGTACAGGTTAATTTGTTATTGTACAGTTAATTTGTATATATTGTACAGGTTAATTTGTATATATTACACATAATTTGTATATATTGTACAGGTTAATTTGTATATATTGTACAGGTTAATTTGTATTATTACACAGGTTAATTTGTATATATTGTACAGGTTAATTTGTATATATATATTTGTATATATTACACAGGTTAATTTGTATATATTGTACAGGTTAATTTGTATATATTGTACAGGTTAATTTGTATATATTGTACAGGTTAATTTGTATATATTACACAGGTTAATTTGTATATATTGTACAGGTTAATTTGTATATATTACACAGGTTAATTTGTATATATTGTATATATTACACAGGTTAATTTGTATATATTGTACAGGTTAATTTGTATATATTACACAGGTTAATTTGTATATATTGTACAGGTTAATTTGTATATATTACACAGGTTAATTTGTATATATTGTACAGGTTAATTTGTATATATTGTACAGGTCAATTTGTATATATTACACAGGTTAATTTGTATATATTGTACAGGTTAATTTGTATATATTACACAGGTTAATTTGTATATATTGTACAGGTTAATTTGTATGTATTGTACAGGTTAATTTGTATGTATTGTACAGGTTAATTTGTATGTATTGTACAGGTTAATTTGTATGTATTACACAGGTTAATTTGTATATATTGTACAGGTTAATTTGTATATATTACACAGGTTAATTTGTATATATTGTACAGGTTAATTTGTATATATTGTACAGGTTAATTTGTATATATTGTACAGGTTAATTTGTATATATTGTACAGGTTAATTTGTATATATTACACAGGTTAATTTGTATATATTGTACAGGTTAATTTGTATATATTGTACAGGTTAATTTGTTATTACACAGGTTAATTTGTATATATTGTACAGGTTAATTTGTTATTGTACAGTTAATTTGTATATATTACACAGGTTAATTTGTTATTGTACAGTTAATTTGTATATATTGTACAGGTTAATTTGTATATATTACACAGGTTAATTTGTATATATTGTACAGGTTAATTTGTATATATTACACAGGTTAATTTGTATATATTGTACAGGTTAATTTGTATATATTACACAGGTTAATTTGTATATATTGTACAGGTTAATTTGTATATAGCTACACAATTTGTATATATTACACAGGTTAATTTGTATATATTGTACAGGTTAATTTGTATATATTACACAGGTTAATTTGTATATATTGTACAGGTTAATTTGTATGTATTGTACAGGTTAATTTGTATGTATTGTACAGGTTAATTTGTATGTATTGTACAGGTTAATTTGTATGTATTACACAGGTTAATTTGTATATATTGTACAGGTTAATTTGTATATATTACACAGGTTAATTTGTATAATTTGTATATATTGCACAGGTTAATTTGTATATATTGTACAGGTTAATTTGTATATATTACACAGGTTAATTTGTATATATTGTACAGGTTAATTTGTATATATTACACAGGTTAATTTGTATATATTGTACAGGTTAATTTGTATGTATTACACAGGTTAATTTGTATATATTGTACAGGTTAATTTGTATATATTACACAGGTTAATTTGTATATATTGTACAGGTTAATTTGTATATATTGTACAGGTTAATTTGTATATATTGTACAGGTTAATTTGTATATATTACACAGGTTAATTTGTATATATTGTACAGGTTAATTTGTATATATTGTACAGGTTAATTTGTATATATTGTACAGGTTAATTTGTATATATTACACAGGTTAATTTGTATATATTGTACAGGTTAATTTGTATGTATTGTACAGGTTAATTTGTATGTATTGTACAGGTTAATTTGTATGTATTGTACAGGTTAATTTGTATGTATTGTACAGGTTAATTTGTATGTATTACACAGGTTAATTTGTATATATTGTACAGGTTAATTTGTATATATTACACAGGTTAATTTGTATATATTACACAGGTTAATTTGTATATATTGTACAGGTTAATTTGTATATAATACTCAGGTTAATTTGTATATATTGTACAGGTTAATTTGTATATATTGTACAGGTTAATTTGTATATATTGTACAGGTTAATTTGTATATATTGTACAGGTTAATTTGTATATATTACACAGGTTAATTTGTATATATTGTACAGGTTAATTTGTATATATTGTACAGGTTAATTTGTATATATTGTACAGGTTAATTTGTATATATTACACAGGTTAATTTGTATATATTGTACAGGTTAATTTGTATGTATTGTACAGGTTAATTTGTATGTATTGTACAGGTTAATTTGTATGTATTGTACAGGTTAATTTGTATGTATTACACAGGTTAATTTGTATATATTGTACAGGTTAATTTGTATATATTACACAGGTTAATTTGTATATATTACACAGGTTAATTTGTATATATTGTACAGGTTAATTTGTATATAATACTCAGGTTAATTTGTATATATTGTACAGGTTAATTTGTATATATTGTACAGGTTAATTTGTATATATTGTACAGGTTAATTTGTATATATTACACAGGTTAATTTGTATATATTACACAGGTTAATTTGTATGTATTGTACAGGTTAATTTGTATATATTGTACAGGTTAATTTGTATGTATTGTACAGGTTAATTTGTATATATTGTACAGGTTAATTTGTATATATTGTACAGGTTAATTTGTATATATTGTACAGGTTAATTTGTATATATTGTACAGGTTAATTTGTATATATTGTACAGGTTAATTTGTATATATTGTACAGGTTAATTTGTATATATTACACAGGTTAATTTGTATATATTGTACAGGTTAATTTGTATATATTACACAGGTTAATTTGTATATATTGTACAGGTTAATTTGTATATATTACACAGGTTAATTTGTATATATTGTACAGGTTAATTTGTATATATTGTACAGGTTAATTTGTATATATTACACAGGTTAATTTGTATATATTGTACAGGTTAATTTGTATATATTGTACAGGTTAATTTGTATTAATAGTACAGGCTATTTGTATGTAGTGTACTTTATACTACATCTATATCCTGTCAATGTGTTCTTTATACCTACAGGAATGTGTAGAGAACCGGATGGAGAGGCATGAACATGGGAATTACCCATTTATATCGACTTACACACATATAGATGAAAGATTCCCGAAAGGTAAACATGCAGTTTTATAGCCACTTTTCCAAAGGCTTTACAAGGGGTAACCAGTTTCACCAGAGGTAGACATGTATATAGCTTTACAAGGGGTAACCAGTTTCACCAGAGGTAGACATGTATATAGCTTTACATGGGGTAACCAGTTTCACCAGAGGTAGACATGTATATAGCTTTACAAGGGGTAACCAGTTTCACCAGAGGTAGACATGTATACAGCTTTACAAGGGGTAACCAGTTTCACCAGAGGTAGACATGTATACAGCTTTACAAGGGGTAACCAGTTTCACCAGAGGTAGACATGTATATAGCTTTACAAGGGGTAACCAGTTTCACCAGAGATAAACATGTATATGAACACATAAAAACAATTTGCTGATTACTCTATATGCTTTGTTTATTATAGGTAAACCTTCAAGGATACATCTAAAAAAACCAAACAAGGAAAGGATATCTGTGAACCAGGAAAAATCAAATTGGGAAGTTATGAAAGCCAATGGTACATATAAAGGGAAAAAAAGGAAGCGCACAGAGGAGTCCGGACAAAAAAAAGAAACAGTGCAACGAAAACATAGGAAACGAGAAAGGAAACGAAACAGAGGTAGGGAACTTTTTCTGAACATTTTCTTTAGGTTGGTAATGTCAATAGAATAAAAGTTCTTATAACACAACCAGTATAAGAGTGTAAATCTTCAGTAATGGTTGTGTAATAAGAACTTTTATCCTAGAGGTAGAGAACACATGTTGGTAACTCATCCTGATTAATCTGGTGTCCAACTACAGACATCTGAAGTATTGTTTTCACAGTCCTCAGTGAGATTTGTTATGATTTGTGTTGATTTGAGAAAGTGATATCAAGAATGGCGAAGCTTAAATATGGTGTTTTTATTTTACGTTTTGTAGTGGAAGATGCACAGCAGGAGCCAAAAACACAAAAGAAAAAGAAAAATAAGCAAAATCGTAGAAATCAGGATGCAAAGACCAGCATTGTAGAAGGTGAGACAGAAAACCACACACAGACAAGCCAAGTGAAACAGAAGAACATACTAAACCGATTTAGCAAAGGTAGGATTTTATAGACATACTACTTCAAACCCAACATCCACATCATAAAATCTCCCCCACAACTGTAGCTTTACCTTAATATACTTCACATCCACTCTTACACCACCAAATCTCTCTGACATCTTAACTGACAGTTTACCTAAATACACTTCAAACCCAACTTCCACATCACAAAACCTTCCCCACTACTGTATCTTTACCTTAATATACTTCACATCCACTCTTACACCACCAAATCACTCCAACATTTTAACTGATATTTTACTTAATCCTACTTCACAGCAAATAACCTCCACCTCATCATAACTGATAACTTGACATTAGCTTTACATTAATACATTCATACATCAAATCTTATCTAGTCTTTACCAACAGCTTTACCTAAATCTGCTCCAGACCCACATCCATATCAAATCTTACCTAGTCTTTACTGACAGCTTTACCTAAATCTGCTCCAGACCCACCTCCATATCAAATCTTACCTAGTCTTTACTGAAAGCTTTACCTAAATCTGCTCCAGACCCACCCTCCACATCAAATCTTACCTAGTCTTTACTGACAGCTTTACCTAAATCTGCTCCAGACCCACCTCCACATCAAATCTTACCTAGTCTTTACTGACAGCTTTACCTAAATCTGCTCCAGACCCACCCTCCACATCAATTCTTACCTAGTCTTTACTGACAGCTTTACCTAAATCTGCTCCAGGCCCACCTCCACATCAAATCTTAACTAGTCTTTACTGATACCTCCACATCAAATCTTACCTAGTCTTTACTGACAGCTTTACCTAAATCTGCTCCAGACCCACCTCCACATCAAATCTTACCTAGTCTTTACTGACAGCTTTACCTAAATCTGCTCCAGACCCACCTCCACATCAAATCTTACCTAGTCTTTACTGACAGCTTTACCTAAATCTGCTCCAGTCCCACCTCCACATCAAATCTTACCTAGTCTTTACTGAAAGCTTTACCTAAATCTGCTCCAGACCCACCTCCACATCAAATCTTACCTAGTCTTTACTGACAGCTTTACCTAAATCTGCTCCAGGCCCACCTCCACATCAAATCTTACCTAGTCTTTACTGACAGCTTTACCTAAATCTGCTCCAGACCCACCTCCACATCAAATCTTACCTAGTCTTTACTGACAGCTTTACCTAAATCTGCTCCAGACCCACCTCCACATCAAATCTTACCTAGTCTTTACTGACAGCTTTACCTAAATCTGCTCCAGACCCACCTCCACATCAAATCTTACCTAGTCTTTACTGACAGCTTTACCTAAATCTGCTCCAGACCCACCTCCACATCAAATCTTACCTAGTCTTTACTGACAGCTTTACCTAAATCTGCTCCAGACCCACCTCCACATCAAATCTTACCTAGTCTTTACTGACAGCTTTACCTAAATCTGCTCCAGACCCACCTCCACATCAAATCTTACCTAGTCTTTACTGACAGCTTTACCTAAATCTGCTCCAGACCCACCTCCACATCAAATCTTACCTAGTCTTTACTGACAGCTTTACCTAAATCTGCTCCAGACCCACCTCCACATCAAATCTTACCTAGTCTTTACTGACAGCTTTACCTAAATCTGCTCCAGACCCACCTCCACATCAAATCTTACCTAGTCTTTACTGACAGCTTTACCTAAATCTGCTCCAGACCCACCTCCACATCAAATCTTACCTAGTCTTTACTGACAGCTTTACCTAAATCTGCCCCTGATCCGCCTTCCACATCAAATCTTATCTAGTCTTTACTGACAGCTTTACCTAAATTTGCTCCAGACCCACCTCCACATCAAATCTTACCTCGTCTTTACTGACAGCTTTACCTAGACCCACCTCCACATCAAATCTTACCTAGTCTTTACTGACAGCTTTACCTAAATCTGCTCCAGACCCACCTCCACATCAAATCTTACCTAGTCTTTACTGACAGCTTTACCTAAATCTGCTCCAGACCCACCTCCACATCAAAAAATCTTACCTAGTCTTTACTGACAGCTTTACCTAAATCTGCTCCAGACCCACCTCCACATCACATCAAATCTTACCTAGTCTTTACTGACAGCTTTACCTAAATCTGCCCCTGATCCGCCCTCCACATCAAATCTTACCTCGTCTTTACTGACAGCTTTACCTAAATCTGCTCCAGACCCGCCCTCCACATCAAAAAATCGAACAAATGATTTAAACACACACTTACCTAAATCTGCTCCAGACCCACCTCCACATCAAAAAATCTTACCTAGTCTTTACTGACAGCTTTACCTAAATCTGCCCCTGATCCGCCCTCCACATCAAATCTTACCTAGTCTTTACTGACAGCTTTACCTAAATCTGCTCCAGACCCACCCTCCACATCAAATCTTACCTAGTCTTTACTGACAGCTTTTCCTAAATCTGCTCTGACAGACCCACCTCCACATCAAATCTTACCTAGTCTTTACTGACAGCTTTACCTAAATCTGCTCCAGACCCACCTCCACATCAAATCAGTCTTTGACACCTAAATCTGCTCCAGACCCACCTCCACATCAAATCTTACCTAGTCTTTACTGACAGCTTTACCTAAATCTGCTCCAGACCCACCTCCACATCAAATCTTACCTAGTCTTTTTAGTCTTTACTGACAGCTTTACCTAAATCTGCTCCAGACCCACCTCCACATCAAATCTTACCTAGTCTTTACTGACAGCTTTACCTAAATCTGCTAGTCTTTACTGACAGCTTTACCTAAATCTGACCCACCTCCACATCAAATCTTACCTAGTCTTTACTGACAGCTTTACCTAAATCTGCTCCAGACCCACCTCCACATCAAATCTTACCTAGTCTTTACAGACAGCTTTACCTAAATCTGCTCCAGGCCCACCTCCACATCAAATCTTACCTAGTCTTTACTTACAGCTTTACCTAAATCTGCTCCAGGCCCACCTCCACATCAAATCTTACCTAGTCTTTACTGATACCTCCACATCAAATCTTACCTAGTCTTTACTGACAGCTTTACCTAAATCTGCTCCAGACCCACCTCCACATCAAATCTTACCTAGTCTTTACTGACAGCTTTACCTAAATCTGCTCCAGACCCACCTCCACATCAAATCTTACCTAGTCTTTACTGACAGCTTTACCTAAATCTGCTCCAGACCCACCTCCACATCAAATCTTACCTAGTCTTTACTGACAGCTTTACCTAAATCTGCTCCAGACCCACCTCCACATCAAATCTTACCTAGTCTTTACTGACACCTCCACATCAAATCTTACCTAGTCTTTACTGACAGCTTTACCTAAATCTGCTCCAGACCCACCTCCACATCAAATCTTACCTAGTCTTTACTGACAGCTTTACCTAAATCTGCTCCAGACCCACCTCCACATCAAATCTTACCTAGTCTTTACTGACAGCTTTACCTAAATCTGCTCCAGACCCACCTCCACATCAAATCTTACCTAGTCTTTACTGACAGCTTTACCTAAATCTGCTCCAGACCCACCTCCACATCAAAAAGTCTTTCTGACACCTCCACATCAAATCTTACCTAGTCTTTACTGACAGCTTTACCTAAATCTGCTCCAGACCCACCCTCCACATCAAATCTTACCTAGTCTTTACTGACAGCTTTACCTAAATCTGCTCCAGACCCACCTCCACATCAAATCTTACCTAGTCTTTACTGACAGCTTTACCTAAATCTGCTCCAGACCCACCTCCACATCAAATCTTACCTAGTCTTTACTGACAGCTTTACCTAAATCTGCTCCAGACCCACCTCCACATCAAATCTTACCTAGTCTTTACTGACAGCTTTACCTAAATCTGCTCCAGACCCACCTCCACATCAAATCTTACCTAGTCTTTACTGACAGCTTTACCTAAATCTGCTCCAGGCCCACCTCCACATCAAATCTTACCTAGTCTTTACTGACAGCTTTACCTAAATCTGCTCCAGACCCACCTCCACATCAAAAAATCTTACCTAGTCTTTACTGACAGCTTTACCTAAATCTGCTCCAGACCCACCTCCACATCAAATCTTACCTAGTCTTTACTGACACATCAAATCTTACCTAAATCTGCTCCAGGCCCACCTCCACATCAAATCTTACCTAGTCTTTACTGACAGCTTTACCTAAATCTGCTCCAGACCCACCTCCACATCAAATCTTACCTAGTCTTTACTGACAGCTTTACCTAAATCTGCTCCAGACCCACCCTCCACATCAAATCTTACCTAGTCTTTACTGAAAGCTTTACCTAAATCTGCTCCAGACCCACCTCCACATCACAAAATCTTACCTAGTCTTTACTGACAGCTTTACCTAAATCTGCTCCAGACCCACCCTCCACATCAAATCTTACCTAGTCTTTACTGACAGCTTTACCTAAATCTGCTCCAGACCCACCTCCACATCAAATCTTACCTAGTCTTTACTGACACCTCCACATCAAATCTTACCTAGTCTTTACTGACAGCTTTACCTAAATCTGCTCCAGACCCACCCTCCACATCAAATCTTACCTAGTCTTTACTGACAGCTTTACCTAAATCTGCTCCAGACCCACCTCCACATCAAATCTTACCTAGTCTTTACTGACAGCTTTACCTAAATCTGCTCCAGACCCACCTCCATATCAAATCTTACCTAGTCTTTACTGACAGCTTTACCTAAATCTGCTCCAGACCCACCTCCACATCAAATCTTACCTAGTCTTTACTGACACCTCCACATCAAATCTTACCTAGTCTTTACTGACAGCTTTACCTAAATCTGCTCCAGACCCACCCTCCACATCAAATCTTACCTAGTCTTTACTGACAGCTTTACCTAAATCTGCTCCAGACCCACCTCCACATCAAATCTTACCTAGTCTTTACTGACAGCTTTACCTAAATCTGCTCTAGACCCACCTCCACATCACAAAATCTGTCCTTTCAGCTTTCATTTCGCATTGCAGAATTGTCTAAATATATCTGATGTGTGATCATGTGATGTTGATAAATTTGGTTTTATTTAAAAACGTTAGAGGCCCTAGTACAAAATCAATTATATCATTATAATACGTGTCTCCATTTCCATAATCCTAAAATTATATTTCATTCAATTTTTCAGGAAAGAAGAACTATGTTTCCAAAGATAGTTGGCAGGCCTGTAACCCTCAGTATGAAAAGGACAGGACATGTTACAGTGATCAGGGTTTTAAAGCATCTTACAACAGAAAAAATAACTTTAACAGGGGTTTCAAGACATCATTCAACCAAAACATAATACCTCATCAGTAGGACTAGTCACAGTGTACGACTTGAGATTGAAAACAGGATTTCTTCAGGAAGGATTCAGGTTGTCCAAACTACAACATCAGACATTATCTTAAATATTTTAATATGTATGAGTCACACAACCTACTACATGTGTATAAGTCACACATCCTACTTCATGTGTACAAGTCACACAACCTACTACATGTGTACAAGTCACACATCCTACTTCATGTGTACAAGTCACACATCCTACTACATGTGTTCCATTCACATAACCTACTACATGTGTAGAAGTCAAACAACCTGCTGCATGTGTACAAGTCACACATCCTGCTACATGTGTACCAGTCATACAACCTACTTCATGTGTAAAAGTCACACAACCTACTTCATGTGTACCAGTCACACATCCTACTTCATGTGTACAAGTCACACATCCTGCTACATGTGTACCAGTCATACAACCTACTTCATGTGTACCAGTCACACAACCACCTACATGTGTACCAGTCACACAACTTACTACAACAGGTCTGATTGTTGAAGCAGACGACAGGTCTGATTGTCGAAGCATTACTTTTAAAGACTTTAAAAATGTGAAAAAAATTCTATCCTAAGGACTTAGCAAAGTGAGTTACAACTTTATTTTGATGGTTTTATACAAAATTAAAGATTGTATTAGCAGTCATGGGACATTTTGTTTAATAAGAGATGCAGAAAGTGTATCCTTTATAAGAAATACATGTGATTTTGTATTAAGTTATTTATTACTAAACCTTCCTCATTTGTCTAGCTACATGCAATGTAGAGTTTAACTCTGTGATCAGGTATTGTCTGGTGATAATATTTATTGTATGTCTGCACACTGAATCTGGATATAGAGGGTAGTCACTTACAGGGTATGTAAAATGGCTACATTCTGGGGCTCCACCTTCATTTTATATGTAGGTATCACAGGATCATGATTGAATAACATGAGTGACACTATGATGGTATTAAGTGTTAAATAGAAATATCTAACTTAATATGGTGTTTATTTGAATAAAAGTAAGAAGTTTATATTTCCACGTGTTTGTATTACATTCTGATAACTACTTATATCACTTGTTGTTGATTTTGTTGAAAAATCAATTTCTTCAGTTAAAATTGATAGCATAAATTTCTGACTTATAATCATCACACTTTATGTTAGAATGTTTGGAGAGATTTCGTTTTCTTTGTGAAGATCAAAGCTGGTCAAACCAACTTGTTACCCTGTTACTACACCAAAAAGATTTTTAGAAGACCCTTTTACTTCATTGACCCTTGTTTAAGACAAAATTCATCATGCTCTCTTGAAAAACTGTCTGGCTCATTATGTTAGCAGCATATTGATATTTATTAGCTAGTGTCCTTCCCTGACTGGGGTGCTGATGTGTCCTTCCCTGACTGGGGTGCTGATGGTTACACTAGTGTCCTTCCCTGACTGGGGTGCTGATGTGTCCTTCCCTGATTGGGGTGCTGATGGTTACACTAGTGTCCTTCACTGACTGGGGTGCTGATGTGTCCTTCCCTGACTGGGGTGCTGATGGTTACACTAGTGTCCTTCACTGACTGGGGTGCTGATGTGTCCTTCACTGACTGGGGTGCTGATGTGTCCTTCACTGACTGGGGTGCTGATGGTTACACTAGTGTCCTTCACTGACTGGGGTGCTGATGGTTACACTAGTGTCCTTCACTGACTGGGGTGCTGATGTGTCCTTCACTGACTGGGGTGCTGATGTGTCCTTCCCTGACTGGGGTGCTGATGGTTACACTAGTGTCCTTCCCTGACTGGGGTGCTGATGTTTATACTTAGACTTAACAAAGCTCTAATCTCTATGAAATAAATTCAGTTGTTTATTGATTGGCTAGAAAATTATACCTCATGTTATTAGAAACCATTCATAACCATGGTCTGAGACTGGTGCTTGTAGCCTTCAAAACCACCAAATGTTTCTGTGTAGAGGCTAGTGAACAAAGTATATAATCCTAGTAATTAAGTATAAGTCTAAAAAAATCATGCAGAGGATGATTCATGACATGTCAAAAAATCACTTTTTATCAGTTTCTTTGTAAAGATAATACCTGGTATGTATGTATTGAATTAATGAGTATATATAAAAATAATTCTTTGCAATACACTAATCTGGTTTTGAAATCCTTAAAGCCAAGCTTATTAACTTGTATAAAATACAAATGATAAAATTTTGTTTCAACATACACTAAAGTGCATTCCATCATATGGTATAAACATTTTCTGTCTCTCAGAAAACAACCAAATTAACATTGACACAATCGATCATCATGTTTCACCTCATGAAATAATCAAATCTTACACCAGCTCTTAAACCCTTTGGTTCATCTTTCTCAAAACTGCTGTCAAAATATAATGACTTTCTGTTGGTCTGCTCTGATGGTTTAAGAAACGATGTTAAGGTAACTGCTGCCTTGGTTGTGGTAAATACAATTTTTTGGATGCTGGCTACCAAACTACTGATGTCGGCTGTAGAAACAGCATCTGCTATATACTGCACACTTGAGATGTGAAAGCTTATAAGGTACCAAGTGCAATGATCTTCTCTGACTCTCTACAAAGTCTTAGCGTTAGAAAATGGGGGACTACGTCTTTGTTAAACAAGACATTAATACTACATCATAGTCATACCTCAAACTGTCATATAATATTTTGCTGAGTTTCTGGGTATAAGGGAATACCATGTAATTAAGAGCCAGATAATACCAGAAAGTTGCTTTAGTGCTATTATCTGTCAATTTTAAACTTTATTTCACAGAGTTTTAACGGTATGTGAACACAACATGGAAGTGTCAAAATGATTGGAATCAATATGTAGAAACATTTCATTTTATTTGATAAAACCAACTATCAGTTAATGATCTCCACTTTCATTTAGAGACGGGCACTGAGACATGATATTCCTTACCTGTCTGTGGATTATGTAATAGGAAGGAGTAATGAAAACCGTCTTGCCATGATTGACCCATCAATCTCTTAACCTTACACTCTACCACTTGAGATAAATGGAAATTCCCACAAGCTGGGCTACTAAGGCCACTGTACTTTCAACATTACTCCCCCTTTGAAAAGTCATCAACCCAAATGACAAAAACAACCCATGATTGATATCGCCAAGGAAGCATCTCAATCTCCCACAGCTTCTATTGGTCAATATCACCCAATCTGTAATGGGAAGGAATAATGAAAAACTTCCTGCCATCACCAGGGTTTAACCTTTGACCTTTCGGTTTATAGATGGACACTCTACCATTCTGGTTGTGGCAGGACGTTTTTCTTTACTTCTTCCTTATACATATTTGGTTGTGTTGACCAATCCAAGGGTAGAAGCTGTTAAACACATCCATATATCATTATTATTATCATTACATTCTTAACGCCAGTCAACACATAAAAGGTCATTAGGGTCATGAACCAGTTAGAGATGCAGATATCCAGAAGGAAATAACATCAAACGAACTAAATGGTAAAAGACAAATGCAGAAAATCTTGGATGGTTATATTATCACAAAAGATTGAATTAGTAAGTCATATCCTATAATACAAACCAACATCTTTCAGGTAACCTCGAATTTTATAAATCTCAACAGTTTCAAAAAGGGTCTTAAGACTTGTAATGTTAGGATAAAACATTTCTCCAGTAGACAGAAGGTCAATGCAGTCCAATAAAAAATGTTTAACGATGAATGGCTCATCACATGCTATATACACCAAGGATTATCTTTGCCTTTCAACATACATGTATATAAATGTGTAAGTTAAGCATGGCCCATCCGAAGACAGGCAAGGACAACTCAGTTTCGGTGCTTGTCTCTATAGCATGGAGACCATTCACTGTTGATTGGTTTTACGGAAAACAATTTATTATCGGTATATTGATTCCATTCCTCCTGCCACTGAGCTGTTACAAAATGTTTGATAAATGGTTTAAAATCAGTAAAATGAAGTTTAAAAACAACAGGTGGTAGTGATAAAGTTTCCTTTGCGGCACGATCTGCCTTTTCATTGTCTGGTATTCCCATGTACCCAGGAACCTAGCAAAAAAAATACCATCGTTTGAGGTAAGTTCATGATATGAAAACATTGTTGATATTTCTGTTGCTAAGACTTTGCAGTGTCTGAATAGATAACAGCTCTCATTGCTTTGTTAATTTGAACATATTTAAGGGTGAGGCAGATGGTTTGGGCTTCTTCAGAGAATATTGAGGCGTTATTGGGTAGCTGGCGTCCATAAGCTTCATCTTGTGTAACCATGGCTGTGGCAACCTTATTATTTTTTTAACCATCAGTATGTAATTGTAGAAAATTTTTATATTCTAACTGCAATTTTGAGAAGGATGAACGGAAGGTGTAACTGTCAGTGTCTGATTTAACCCAAAAAGTTAACTTCAGTTGAATTCAAGAGCCATGGTGGAATTTCTATCGTTCCAAATGATTGAATTAAGTTAATATCAATATTTGTGTTTGTAAAAGAGCAGAAATCCAAATACCGAATGGTAGAATGGTTTTTAGTTTGTTTAGAAACAACGCCTTGCTCCATCCAATAAGACAGGCTAGAGTCAACTGGCAGAACAAGGCAATCACCATCTATGCTGCTGACAGGATAAGGCACTATTTGGCCCAGGAGTCATCTTATGAAACTACCAAACATTTATAACAACCTGATAGATGGCTCCATCCCATGATGGGGATGTAGGTTGCCTCCTTACATTTCCAGACGTTTGTTGGCGAGATAATTTCTGCATAGAAATAGGAAGAGTTTGAAAACCGTAACTAACCAACCAATAACTGCACAGAAGAGCAGGTTACCAGAAGTATGTAGGTGTGGCTTATAGGCCTATAATGTTGAACATAAAATATTCACCTGATAAACCAAACAAAAACCGTTTAAGGGCTATGTAAAACTTGCCACATGCATAAATGATTTAATGACAAACAACACATAGAAAATCTACTTTTCCCTTTATTTAATCAATAGAAAATCAGTCCTAAAGATGGCAATGTTTTATAAAAGTCTGGTTTTGACACACTTTTATTTTATAATAAATATTATATATCACAGATTAGGAGTATACAAAATTAAGGTACACATTTTTTGGGTAAAATTATTTAGATATAATTTTCTTTTTCAAGTAGTAAAAAATGTTGCAGAAAATAGAGATTTGTCTGCAGATAAAATTAAACTCCATCCCAGAATTATAAAGGATATAAAAATTCTACAAAATATAAAATACAATATGTAAACAGTGATTGCTCTGACTGAAGATTGATATATAACAAGGTCTAGGTGGTAAGATGGTCAAATACACCAATACTACAATAGACTAGCTGTTAGATAAATGTAATATCAATTTTCTCTCATACTCGGAGATATTTAAAACATGAAATTTATCTAAAGTTACGGTGTTAACAAATCCCATGTTATTGTAAATGAGGACATGTAAATATACATGATGAAATATTATGCTAATTTTAACACATATATTTACTTCAATCAATTCTCAGCTCTGAACTTACAAATACAAAATCAGTACACATGAATATAATGTCGAGCTAGCTATAAGATGTAATAATATCTGCACCAAAATTAGATAATATACCCTGTACGTGATAGTAAATAAATTTTACCAATTTTCTATTGCTTAATAAAGTATAATATCACAGCAAATACGCATTATGCACATGAAATTAGTTATTGCTATGAAACTAGAATACTGACATGTTAAAAAAGACCCCACAATGTGTCCGGTTCTAAACCTGGACTTAACAGAAAGGTTAAAATGGTTTAGGAATACTGCTAACATGACTAATGGCACTGAATCTGTGTGTTTTGTGATGGACTCTACCTTGTTATTCCTATCATCTTTTATATCCTCCTGCTGCGGAGCAGTTCTTCATTCAATACAAATCAGCTTTGATAGAATGTTGACATTGACATCGGAGTATTCATACACTTTTTGTTCATTTTGATCTCTCTGGGTTAGATGTCATAAAGTATTATCATATTAAACATGTATATTGACCTTCGACCCAGTGACTTTGTCTTTTTGTAAACTTATTTGTCAACTTTGTTTCACAATGTCATAACAAAATATTTAACAGTAAAATATCATAAAAATTGATCTTGACCTTTGACTATGAGACCTTGAATTCCGGGCCCTAATAGGGAGCAGATCAAGCCATTACAGGTGTACAATGAACTATGACATTTGACATAAAAGTAAACCTACTTGTAGTACAAAAATATCTATATAGTGTTTCAGTAACTTACAACATCTGCCTGATCAAAAGGAAGTTGATCATACCAGATTCAACAGGTTCTGTGAGTTCAAACTGCTGAATCTCAATGTTAGAATTATCCAGACACAATCAAGTTTGTACTTCAATTCATAATACTATTGTATTAAATTTTTCTAAAGAAATTTTCAGTCCGACAATGGATAGTGAAAATAATACCCCGTATACCATCGTAACATAATATCTAACAAAAACTCTCACAAAATAATGTTGTAAATGCTTAGGATTTCAATTAAATGTATTAGATTTACATTCTATGTAAAACATCCACTATATATATAAATGGCTTTGTTCAACGAATAAAAATCTCATGGTCAGTTGAATTGCTCTGCTCTTGGCAAATACTTGCTTTTATTTTTGTTTCAACAATCAAGGTAGTTAAATACTATTGAGTCCACAGTATAACACATTTATACTGACAGTATAAGGCTTGACAATTTACAGCAGTATCTAGGTAAACGTGGACGGCATCACAGAAGCTGCCAGTAGTTACAGGTGAGAACTGTAGGTGGACTCACGATCAATGCCTACTTCCATGTTTTTACAGAAGTTTGTAGTAAATGGAATACAGTTGAAATACTGACAGCCAGGACAGTTATACAGGGGAAGCACATAAAACAGTACAATCAGAGTAATAAACAAGGCAATGGCGCCCCCTAGTGACAAAATTATCCCAATGATCTTCCTCCTCCTGTCCCACTGACCAAACGACACGTATGGTATGAGTGCAAAGGCTAGCAGGAAGCCAAAAAGAAAGCCGCTGACATGAGCCCAGTTGTCTATCCACGGCAACAATCCAAGTAGGAAGAGGAAGAGGATAAAACCACCAATCTTTAAGATGGCAACTATAGGTCGCTTCAGCATCTGTATATTTTGTAGGACCTCCACCAGGAGACAGGCCAAAATACCAAACTGGGCCCCAGCTGGTCCCACCTGTTGTGATGAAGAGTGGACATTAATACGTTAATAAAAAGTTGTCATTCTAACAAAGGACTGATGACAAATTTCAACTGTCAGTATAAGAGGGCAATCTAACAGACAAAATCTTTTTTGCAATCTATCTCCTAATTTAATGAAGAACCAAAAAATGAAACTGTAACCAAAATCTGATTCAACCTACCTCTACATGATAAGGTAAGAATATTGAGCTGGCAATGTTACCAGCGATTCCACTGCCAACATATATTATTGCCATCCTTATACAGCCAGTTAATTTCTCTATGTCTCTCATGATGAGGAACTGGAATCCTATGGTAATCACCAGATGGAAGACTCTGTAAAAACCAAATTAAGTACAATTTTATTACGGCCAAATCTTTGCTTGCAAAATTGTCATCTTGTGTTACATCACAAGAGAGTTTGATATTTCTAGGGATTAATCAAGACAGAAAAGGTCTTCCAGAAAATCTGTTGATAAATAACCCTTATTCTACAATCACTTGATAAATTACCCTTATTCTACAATCACTTGATAAATTACCCTTATTCTACAATCACTTGATAAATTACCCTTATTCTACAATCTCTTGATAAATTACCCTTATTCTACAATCTCTTGATAAATTACCCTTATTCTACAATCACTTGATAAATTACCCTTATTCTACAATCTCTTGATAAATTACCCTTATTCTACAATCTGTTGATAAATTACCCTTATTCTACAATCTCTTGATAAATTACCCTTATTCTACAATCTCTTGATAAATTACCCTTATTCTACAATCTCTTGATAAATTACCCTTATTCTACAATCACTTGATAAATTACCCTTATTCTACAATCACTTGATAAATTACCCTTATTCTACAATCTGTTGATAAATTACCCTTATTCTACAATCTCTTGATAAATTACCCTTATTCTACAATCACTTGATAAATTACCCTTATTCTACAATCTCTTGATAAATTACCCTTATTCTACAATCACTTGATAAATTACCCTTATTCTACAATCACTTGATAAATTACCCTTATTCTATAATCTGTTGATAAATTACCCTTATTCTATAATCTGTTGATAAATTACCCTTATTCTATAATCTGTTGATAAATGAATGTTACTCTAGGATCTGTTTATAACTGACTCTTATGCTATATGCAAACTGCTGATAAATGAACCTTAAAGTTGGGAGTCATTAGGACTGTCATATTTGTTCCCCAGGTATGCAAGTTTAACTTACCCTCCGTGTAAAAACATGGATGTCCATAGCCTATAGAACTGATCTGGTGCTGTGTCATCAGCGAAAGGAATCATTCCGCAGATTTGTGTTAAACAACTCACCTGGACAAATGACCAAAACCAAAAATGGCTGATTATAGACAAAAGTGACAAAGTGTTGGTGTAAAGTGGTGAAAGTATGATCATAAACTAGAAATAATGGCTGATTATAGACAATAGTGACAAAGTGTTGGTGTAAAGTGGTGAAAGTATGATCATAAACTAGAAATAATGGCTGATTATAGACAATAGTGACAAAGTGTTGGTGTAAAGTGGTGACAGTATGATCATAAACTAGAAATAATGGCTGATTATAGACAATAGTGACAAAGTGTTGGTGTAAAGTGGTGACAGTATGATCATAAACTAGAAATAATGGCTGATTATAGACAATAGTGACATAGTGTTGGTGTAAAGTGGTGACAGTATGATCATAAACTAGAAATAATGGCTGATTATAGACAATAGTGACAAAGTGTTGGTGTAAAGTGGTGACAGTATGATCATAAACTAGAAATAATGGCTGATTATAGACAATAGTGACAAAGTGTTGGTGTAAAGTGGTGAAAGTATGATCATAAACTAGAAATAATGGCTGATTATAGACAATAGTGACAAAGTGTTGGTGTAAAGTGGTGACAGTATGATCATAAACTAGAAATAATGGCTGATTATAGACAATAGTGACATAGTGTTGGTGTAAAGTGGTGACAGTATGATCATAAACTAAAAATCTTTTTATTACCATAAGTTGTCATACCATCACTGGTAAGGAAAATCACCACCTCACAAGGCTTTAACAAGTAGGTTTTCAAAAAATTGTTTATTATCCCCTCTCAAAAAACATTCATGCTTTGCTTTGGTTGACACAAAAGTAGTAAACTTCCCTACGATTTAAAATTATATTAAATTTCATTACACCACTTTTGTTAACACATCTTTTCATATATTTTAGTAATATTTGTTCTTAAGCTGTGTCACTTTAACACATTACCTGTGCACACAAGTATTTATCCTCATGATAATAGCCTTTGATAAAGTCACAGTGTTCTCTTGTCGTCATCATACACTCTCCCTGTATCCCATGGCAACAGGGTCGGCCGCTAATCTCACAGGTCATGTGACGTCCCTCACTCACAACTGTGGTGTCAGAGGATGGTCTACTTGTTTCCTCACAATACTAGAAAATATCAAACCAATCAATTAACAATGGTTTTCATGTCTTTGATAAATATAAAACAAAGCCTTCAGACAATCAGGGGAATGGACAAGATCAGGGGAATGGACAAGATCAGGGGAATGGACAAGATCAGGGGAATGGACAAGATCAGAGGACAAGATCAGGGGAATGGATAAGATCAAGGGACAAGATCAGGGGAATGGACAAGATCAAAGGAATGGACAAGATCAGGGGAATGGACAAGATCAGGGGAATGGACAAGATCAGGAGAATGGACAAGATCAGGGGAATGGAAAAGATCAGGGGAATGGACAAGATCAGGGGAATGGAAAAGATCAGGGGAATGGACAAGATCAGGGGAATGGAAAAGATCAGGGGAATGGAAAAGATCAGAGGACTGGACAAGATCAGTGGAATGGACAAGATCAGGACAAGATCAGTGGACAAGATCAGGGGAATGGACAAGATCAGAGGACAAGATCAGGGGACAAGATCAGGGGAATGGACAAGATCAGGGGACAAGATCAGGGGAATGGACAAGATCAGGGGACAAGATCAGTGGAATGGACAAGACCAGGGGAATGGACAAGATCAGAGGACAAGATCGGGGGAATGGACAAGATCAGGGGACAAGATCAGGGGAATGGACAAGATCAGGGGAATGGACAAGATCAGAGGAATGGACAAGATCAGGGGACAAGATCAGGGGAATGGACAAGATCAGGGGACAAGATAAGGGGAATGGACAAGAATGGACAAGATCAGGGGAATGGACAAGATCAGAGGAATGGACAAGATCAGGGGACAAGATCAGGGGAATGGACAAGATCAGAGGACAAGATCAGGGGACAAGATCAGGGGAATGGACAAGATCAGAGGGATCAGGGGACAAGATCAGGGGGGACAAGATCAGGGGAATGGACAAGATCAGGGGACAAGATCAGAGGAATGGACAAGATCAGGGGACAAGATCAGGGGAATGGACAAGAGGACAAGATCAGGGGACAAGATCAGGGGAATGGACAAGATCAGGGGAATGGACAAGATCAGGGGAATGGACAAGATCAGAGGGATCAGGGGACAAGATCAGGGGAATGGACAAGATCAGGGGAATGGACAAGATCAGAGGACAAGATCAGGGGAAGATCAGGGGAATGGACAAGATGGACAAGATCAGGGGACAAGATCAGGGGAATGGACAAGATCAGGGGACAAGATCAGGGGAATGGACAAGACCAGGGGAATGGACAGATGGACAAGATCAGGGGAATGGAGAAGATCCGGGAATGGACAAGATCAGGAATGGACAAGATCAGGGGACAAGATCAGGGGAATGGACAAGATCAGGGGACAAGATCAGGGGAATGGACAAGATCAGAGGACAAGATCAGGGGAATGGATAAGATCAAGGGACAAGATCAGGGGAATGGACAAGATCAGGGGACAAGATCAGAGGAATGGACAAGATCAAAGGAATGGACAAGATCAGGGGAATGGACAAGATCAGGGGAATGGACAAGATCAGGAGAATGGACAAGATCAGGGGAATGGAAAAGATCAGGGGAATGGAAAAGATCAGGGGAATGGACAAGATCAGGGGAATGGACAAGATCAGGGGAATGGACAAGATCAGGGGAATGGACAAGATCAGGGGACAAGATCAGTGGAATGGACAAGACACGGGGAATGGACAAGATCAGAGGACAAGATCAGGGGAATGGACAAGATCAGGGGACAAGATCAGGGGAATGGACAAGATCAGGGGACAAGATCATGGGAATGGACAAGATCAGGGGACAAGATCAGGGGAATGGACAAGATCAGGGGACAAGATCAGTGGAATGGACAAGACCAGGGGAATGGACAAGATCAGAGGACAAGATCAGGGGAATGGACAAGATCAGGGGACAAGATCCGGGGAATGGAAAAGATCAGGGGACAAGATCAGGGGAATGGACAAGATCAGGGGACAAGATCAGGGGACAAGATCAGGGGAATGGACAAGATCAGAGGACAAAGGGGACAAGATCAGGGGAATGGACAAGATCAGGGACAAGATCAGGGGAATGGACAAGATCAGGGGACAAGATCAGAGGAATGGACAAGATCAGGGGACAAGATCAGGGGAATGGACAAGATCAGAGGACAAGATCAGGGGACAAGATCAGGGGAATGGACAAGATCAGAGGACAAGATCAGGGGACAAGATCAGGGGAATGGACAAGATCAGAGGACAAGATCAGGGGACAAGATCAGGGGAATGGACAAGATCAGGGGAATGGACAAGATCAGAGGACAAGATCAGGGGACAAGATCAGGGGAATGGACAAGATCAGGGGACAAGATCAGGGGAATGGACAAGACCAGGGGAATGGACAAGATCAGAGGACAAGATCAGGGGAATGGACAAGATCAGGGGACAAGATCCGGGGAATGGACAAGATCAGGGGACAAGATCAGGGGAATGGATAAGATCAAGGGGCAAGATCAGAGGAATGGACAAGATCAGAGGACAAGATCAGGGGACAAGATCAGGGGAATGGACAAGATCAGGGGACAAGATCAGGGGAATGGACAAGATCAGGGGACAAGATCAGAGGACAAGATCAGGGGAATGGACAAGATCAGAGGAATGGACAAGATCAGGGGACAAGATCAGGGGAATGGACAAGATCAGAGGACAAGATCAGGGGACAAGATCAGGGGAATGGACAAGATTAGGGGACAAGATCAGGGGAATGGACAAGATCAGGGGACAAGATCAGGGGAATGGACAAGATCAGGGGACAAGATCAGAGGAATGGACAAGATCAGGGGACAAGATCAGGGGAATGGACAAGATCAGAGGACAAGATCAGGGGACAAGATCAGGGGAATGGACAAGATCAGAGGACAAGATCAGGGGAATGGACAAGATCAGGGGACAAGATCAGGGGACAAGATCAGGGGAATGGACAAGATCTGGGGACAAGATCAGGGGAATGGACAAGATCAGGGGACAAGATCAGGGGAATGGACAAGATCAGGGGACAAGATCAGGGGAATGGACAAGATCAGAGGACAAGATCAGGGGACAAGATCAGGGGAATGGACAAGATCAGGGGACAAGATCAGGGGAATGGACAAGATCAGGGGACAAGATCAGGGGAATGGACAAGATCAGGGGACAAGATCAGGGGAATGGACAAGATCAGGGGACAAGATCAGAGGAATGGACAAGATCAGGGGACAAGATCAGGGGAATGGATAAGATCAAGGGACAAGATCAGAGGAATGGACAAGATCAGGGGACAGGATCAGGGGACAAGATCAGGGGAATGGATAAGATCAGGGGACAAGATCAGAGGACAAGAACAGGGGAAGGGACAAGATAAGGGGACAAGATCAGGGGAATGGACAAGATCAGAGGACAAGATCAGGGGACAAGATCAGGGGAATGGACAAGATCAGAGGACAAGATCAGGGGACAAGATCAGGGGAATGGACAAGATCAGGGGACAAGATCAGGGGAATGGACAAGATCAGGGGACAAGATCAGAGGAATGGACAAGATCAGGGGACAAGATCAAGGGAATGGACAAGATCAGAGGACAAGATCAGGGGACAAGATCAGGGGAATGGACAAGATCAGAGGACAAGATCAGGGGACAAGATCAGGGGAATGGACAAGATCAGGGGACAAGATCAGGGGAATGGACAAGATCAGGGGACAAGATCAGGGGACAAGATCAGGGGAATGGACAAGATCAGGGGACAAGATCAGGGGAATGGACAAGATCAGGGGACAAGATCAGGGGAATGGACAAGATCAGGGGACAAGATCAGGGGAATGGACAAGATCAGAGGACAAGATCAGGGGACAAGATCAGGGGAATGGACAAGATCAGGGGACAAGATCAGGGGAATGGACAAGATCAGGGGACAAGATCAGGGGAATGGACAAGATCAGGGGACAAGATCAGGGGAATGGACAAGATCAGGGGACAAGATCAGAGGAATGGACAAGATCAGGGGACAAGATCAGGGGAATGGATAAGATCAAGGGACAAGATCAGAGGAATGGACAAGATCAGGGGACAGGATCAGGGGACAAGATCAGGGGAATGGACAAGATCAGAGGACAAGATCAGGGGACAAGATCAGGGGAATGGACAAGATCAGAGGACAAGATCAGGGGACAAGATCAGGGGAATGGACAAGATCAGGGGACAAGATCAGGGGAATGGACAAGATCAGGGGACAAGATCAGGGGAATGGACAAGATCAGGGGAATGGATAAGATCAAGGGACAAGATCAGGGGAATGGATAAGATCAAGGGACAAGATCAGAGGAATGGACAAGATCAGAGGACAAGATCAGGGGACAAGATCAGGGGAATGGACAAGATCAGGGGACAAGATCAGGGGAATGGACAAGATCAGGGGACAAGATCAGGGGAATGGACAAGATCAGGGGACAAGATCAGAGGAATGGACAAGATCAGAGGACAAGATCAGGGGACAAGATCAGGGGAATGGACAAGATCGGGGGAATGGACAAGATCAGGGGACAAGATCAGGGGAATGGACAAGATCAGAGGACAAGATCAGGGGACAAGATCAGGGGAATGGACAAGATCAGGGGAATGGACAAGATCAGGGGACAAGATCTGGGGACAAGATCATGGGAATGGAACAGATCAGAGGAATGGACAAGATCAGGGGAATGGACAAGATCAGGGGAATGGACAAGATCAGAGGAATGGACAAGATCAGGGGAATGGACAAGATCAGGGGAATGGACAAGATCAGAGGACAAGATCAGAGGAATGGACAAGATCAAAGGAATGGACAAGATCAGGGGAATGGACAAGATCAGGGGAATGGACAAGATCAGGGGAATGGAAAAGATCAGGGGAATGGACAAGATCAGGGGAATGGAAAAGATCAGGGGAATGGATAAGATCAGGGGACAAGATCAGTGGAATGGACAAGACCAGGGGAATGGACAAGATCAGAGGACAAGATCAGGGGAATGGACAAGATCAGGGGACAAGATCCGGGGAATGGACAAGATCAGGGGACAAGATCAGGGGAATGGACAAGATCAGGGGAATGGACAAGATCAGGGGACAAGATCAGGGGAATGGACAAGATCAGGGGACAAGATCAGGGGAATGGATAAGATCAAGGGACAAGATCAGAGGAATGGACAAGATCAGAGGACAAGATCAGGGGACAAGATCAGGGGAATGGACAAGATCAGGGGACAAGATCAGGGGAATGGACAAGATCAGGGGACAAGATCAGAGGACAAGATCAGGGGAATGGACAAGATCAGAGGAATGGACAAGATCAGGGGACAAGATCAGGGGAATGGACAAGATCAGAGGACAAGATCAGGGGACAAGATCAGGGGAATGGACAAGATCAGGGGACAAGATCAGGGGAATGGACAAGATCAGGGGACAAGATCAGGGGAATGGACAAGATCAGGGGACAAGATCAGAGGAATGGACAAGATCAGGGGACAAGATCAGGGGAATGGACAAGATCAGAGGACAAGATCAGGGGACAAGATCAGGGGAATGGACAAGATCAGAGGACAAGATCAGGGGAATGGACAAGATCAGAGGACAAGATCAGGGGACAAGATCAGGGGAATGGACAAGATCAGGGGACAAGATCAGGGGAATGGACAAGATCAGGGGACAAGATCAGAGGAATGGACGAGATCAGGGGACAAGATCAGGGGAATGGATAAGATCAAGGGACAAGATCAGAGGAATGGACAAGATCAGGGGACAAGATCAGGGGACAAGATCAGGGGAATGGACAAGATCAGAGGACAAGATCAGGGGACAAGATCAGGGGAATGGACAAGATCAGAGGACAAGATCAGGGGACAAGATCAGGGGAATGGACAAGATCAGGGGAATGGACAAGATCAGGGGAATGGATAAGATCAAGGGACAAGATCAGGGGACAAGATCAGGGGAATGGATAAGATCAAGGGACAAGATCAGGGGACAAGATCAGGGGAATGGATAAGATCAAGGGACAAGATCAGAGGAATGGACAAGATCAGAGGACAAGATCAGGGGAATGGACAAGATCAGGGGACAAGATCAGGGGACAAGATCAGGGGAATGGATAAGATCAAGGGACAAGATCAGAGGAATGGACAAGATCAGAGGACAAGATCAGGGGACAAGATCAGGGGAATGGACAAGATCAGGGGACAAGATCAGGGGAATGGACAAGATCAGGGGACAAGATCAGGGGAATGGACAAGATCAGGGGACAAGATCAGAGGAATGGACAAGATCAGAGGACAAGATCAGGGGACAAGATCAGGGGAATGGACAAGATCGGGGGAATGGAGAAGATCAGGGGACAAGATCAGGGGAATGGACAAGATCAGGGGAATGGACAAGATCAGGGGACAAGATCTGGGGACAAGATCATGGGAATGGAAAAGATCAGGGGAATGGACAAGATCAGGGGATAAGATCTGGGGACAAGATCATGGTAATGGAAAAGATCAGGGGAATGGATAAGATCAGAGGAATGGACAAGATCATGGGAATGGACAAGATCAGAGGAATGGACAAGATCAGGGGAATGGACAAGATCAGGGGAATGGACAAGATCAGGGGAATGGACAAGATCAGAGGACAAGATCAGAGGAATGGACAAGATCAGGGGACAAGATCAGGGGAATGGACAAGATCAGGGGACAAGATCAGGGGAATGGACAAGATCAGGGGACAAGATCAGGGGAATGGACAAGATCAGGGGACAAGATCAGGGGAATGGACAAGATCAGGGGAATGGACAAGATCAGGGGACAAGATCAGAGGAATGGACAAGATCAGGGGAATGGACAAGATCAGGGGAATGGACAAGATCAGGGGAACGGACAAGATCAGGGGAACGGACAAGATCAGGGGAATGGACAAGATCAGAGGAATGGACAAGATCAGGGGAATGGACAAGATCAGGGGACAAGATCAGGGGAATGGACAAGATCAGAGGAATGGACAAGATCAGGGGAACGGACAAGATCAGGGGACAAGATCAGGGGACAAGATCAGGGGAATGGAAAAGATCAGAGGAATGGACAAGATCAGGGGAATGGACAAGATCAGAGGAATGGACAAGATCAGGGGACAAGATCAGGGGAATGGACAAGATCAGGGGACAAGATCAGGGGAATGGACAAGATCAGAGGAATGGACAAGATCAGGGGAATGGACAAGATCAGAGGAATGGACAAGATCAGGGGACAAGATCAGGGGAATGGACAAGATCAGGGGAATGGACAAGATCAGGGGAATGGACAAGATCAGAGGAATGGACAAGATCAGGGGACAAGATCAGAGGAATGGACAAGATCAGAGGACAAGATCAGGGGAATGGACAAGATCAGAGGAATGGACAAGATCAGGGGAATGGACAAGATCAGAGGAATGGACAAGATCAGGGGACAAGATCAGGGGAATGGACAAGATCAGGGGAATGGACAAGATCAGGGGAATGGACAAGATCAGGGGACAAGATCAGGGGAATGGACAAGATCAGGGGAATGGACAAGATCAGGGGAATGGACAAGATCAGGAATGGACAAGATCAGGGGACAAGATCAGAGGAATGGACAAGATCAGAGGACAAGATCAGGGGAATGGACAAGATCAGAGGAATGGACAAGATCAGGGGAATGGGCAAGATCAGAGGAATGGACAAGATCAGTGGAATGGACAAGATCAGAGGAATGGACAAGATCAGGGGAATGGACAAGATCAGGGGACAAGATCAGGGGAATGGACAAGATCAGGGGAATGGACAAGATCAGGGGAATGGACAAGATCAGGGGACAAGATCAGGGGAATGGACAAGATCAGAGGAATGGACAAGATCAGAGGAATGGACAAGATCAGGGGAATGGACAAGATCAGGGGAATGGACAAGATCAGGGGACAAGATCAGGGGAATGGACAAGATCAGGGGAATGGACAAGATCAGGGGAATGGACAAGATCAGGGGACAAGATCAGAGGAATGGACAAGATCAGGGGAATGGACAAGATCAGGGGACAAGATCAGAGGAATGGACAAGATCAGGGGAATGGACAAGATCAGGGGAATGGACAAGATCAGGGGAATGGACAAGATCAGGGGACAAGATCAGGGGAATGGACAAGATCAGGAAAATGGACAAGATCAGGGGAATGGACAAGATCAGGGGACAAGATCAGGGGAATGGACAAGATCAGGGGACAAGATCAGGGGAATGGACAAGATCAGGGGAATGGACAAGATCAGGGGACAAGATCAGGGGAATGGACAAGATCAGGGGAATGGACAAGATCAGGGGACAAGATCAGGGGAATGGACAAGATCAGGGGAATGGACAAGATCAGGGGACAAGATCAGGGGAATGGACAAGATCAGAGGAATGGACAAGATCAGGGGACAAGATCAGGGGAATGGACAAGATCAGGGGACAAGATCAGAGGAATGGACAAGATCAGGGGAATGGACAAGATCAGGGGAATGGACAAGATCAGGGGACAAGATCAGGGGAATGGACAAGATCAGGGGAATGGACAAGATCAGGGGACAAGATCAGGGGAATGGACAAGATCAGGGGAATGGACAAGATCAGGGGAATGGACAAGATCAGGGGAATGGACAAGATCAGGGGAATGGACAAGATCAGGGGACAAGATCAGGGGAATGGACAAGATCAGGGGAATGGACAAGATCAGGGGAATGGACAAGATCTGGGGACAAGATCAGGGGAATGGACAAGATCAGAGGACAAGATCAGGGGAATGGACAAGATCAGAGGAATGGAAAAGATCAGAGGAATGGACAAGATCAGGGGAATGGACAAGATCAGAGGACAAGATCAGGGGAATGGAAAAGATCTGGGGAATGGACAAGATCTGGGGACAAGATCAGGGGAATGGACAAGATCAGGGGAATGGACAAGATCAGGGGAATGGAAAAGATCAGGGGAATGGATAAGATCAGGGGACAAGATCAGGGGAATGGACAAGATCAGTGGAATGGACAAGATCAGGGGAATGGACAAGATCAGGGGAATGGACAAGATCGAGGGAATGGATCAACTGTAAAGGAGACAGAATCACAGAAGTATGGAGTGATAGTTTTATTTTTCCTTTACATCAAATCTATTTAAATGATTACATATTCTAATACCAAGTGAACAAGAAATGGTATCAAGGTAACATACTGCAAACTGTTAATAGTTTCCAACTTCTCACCTAAACTAAAATACCAAATATGGACGAAGATCATGATAGAGTGGAGGTATGATGCCATTCTTAGGATGTGTCAGTCCCATATCCTACACTCACACATAAAATGTGGGACTGGATTTGCCTGATCTAAAATATCTGAGATTAAATGACACACTAACTACCAACAAATCAGCAGTTCTCTCTGGACATACTCTGAGGAGATCTAAAACGACTAAATGACCTTAACTGGACCATCATATTTATCTTCAGAATCAATGTTACGGATGAAGAAACTTACCGGCCACTTTGTGATAGAGTTTTTGTCCCACACAAACGGTTCAACTGAAGCAGGTTTGGTACAGTAGCTAGAAAACAGAAAATTTCAGTAACACACTTCTCTGTAACAATCTGACTACATGTCCCCCATCCCTACCCAGAGATACTCTGACATCCCTACCCAGAGATACTCTGACATCCCTACCCAGAGATACTCTGACAGCCCTACCCAGAGATACTCTGACATCCTTACCCAGAGATACAGAATCCTCACATTGTATAATGTCAGTCCTCTCACCACATCTGTGATATTATAAAATTTATTTGTGTCCCATCTTCACACAACATCTGTGATATTATAGAACTTATTTGTGTCCCATCTACACACCACATCTGTGATATTATAAAACTTATTTGTGTCCCATCTTCACACAACATCTGTGATATAAAATTTATTTGTGTCCCATCTACACACATCTGTGATATTATAAAACTTATTTGTGTCCCATCTACACACAACATTTGTGATATTATAATACTTATTTGTGTCCCATCCACACATACTTAAGACCAACACCCACACATACTTAAGTCAAATTGAAATTTGAAATCAATTTTATACAAAGGGACGAATGAAAAGTTAATATGTAAGATTCAAAATTATGCTAGACATAAGTCAGATGTTTCACCATAATGTATCTGCCTATGTTAATTTAGTACTGACATCTACTGGGAACATTTATGTATTGACCAGTGGCCAGAGGTATTCTGTCGTTACTGATCTACTACACATGTTCATGTATTAGTTTGTTCCCTGATTATTTAAGTCAGTTACCTAAAGCCTATCTAAGCAGTTTGTATGATAATCAGTGTAACATTATCTTGTTGTAAACAGCCGAATCTATCGCCATTTATGTGTGCAAGACCTTGTTGACAACTCATGTATACTTCAATCCATGTTTACCTGTTAGCTAACGTGTATTAGTCCTTCATCAGTTAATTAACATGGCTAGTATAAATACAACCACCTTTCTAGCCAGTATGTATCGCTTCCTGAAGGCATGTGAGTGTTCCATCTCTCCATAGCCTACATCACAATAAATCTTCAACACTCGAACAGCGTTTGGACTTCTTCATCTCCACTCATCACCACACAAGAACAAAGTATCATTTTACACACCCAGAACATTGTAACGGTTACTTAGGACCCCCTCCACACACCACATCCAGAAAATAGTAGTGCTTATTTAGAGTCCAACCCACACATACTTAAGAATCCCACCCACACATACTTCAGACTCACACCCACACATACTTCAGACTCACACCCACACATACTTAAGAATCCCACCCTCACATACTTCAGACTCACACCCACACATACTTCAGACTCACACCCACACATACTTCAGACTCACACCCACACATACTTCAGACTCACACCCACACATACTTCAGACTCACACCCACACATACTTCAGACTCACACCCACACATACTTAAGAATCCCACCCACACATACTTCAGACTCACACCCACACATACTTAAGAATCCCACCCACACATACTTCAGACTCACACCCACACATACTTCAGACTCACACCCACACATACTTCAGACTCACATCCACACATACTTCAGACTCACACCCACACATACTTAAGAATCCCACCCACACATACTTCAGACTCACACCCACACATACTTAAGAATCCTACCCACACATACTTAAGAATCCCACCCTCACATACTTCAGACTCACACCCACACATACTTAAGAGTCCCACTCACACACCACACCTGGACATTGCTGTACTTATAATGTGCCCCGCCCACTCACCACACCCAGGACATTGCAATGGTCACTTTGGGTCCCTTCCACACACCACATCTAGACAATAGCAGTGCTTACTGTCCAACCCACACATACTTAAGAGTCCAACATATCACATCTGGGACATTGCTGTACTTACTTTGCCTCCCTCCCCCAACACACACAACACACCATGGACATTGCTGTACTTACTTTGCCTCCCTCCCCCAACACACACAACACACCATGGACATTGTGATACTTACTTTGCCTCCCTCCCCCAACACACACAACACACCATGGACATTGCTGTACTTACTTTGCCTCCCTCCCCAACACACACAACACATCTGGAACATTGCTGTACTTACTTTGCCTCCCTCCCCCAACACACACAACACACCATGGACATTGTGATACTTACTTTGCCTCCCTCCCCCAACACACACAACACACCATGGACATTGCTGTACTTACTTTGCCTCCCTCCCCCAACACACACAACACACCATGGACATTGCTGTACTTACTTTGCCTCCCTCCCCCAACACAACACACACAACACATCTGGAACATTGCTGTACTTACTTTGCCTCCCTCCCCCAACACACACAACACACCATGGACATTGTAATACTTACTTAGGATCCTGTCCACACACTGCACCTGCTACAAAGCCTCCCTTTCCAGGATGCGTTGAATTCCATTTCATGAAAGTGTTTAAAGTTGGCTGAAAGAAATTATGACACCAACTTAAATTATAATATTGTCTTGGTGCATAACTTTTGCTTGTTTTCATCTGCTTCATTGTATGAAAGGAAACAACAGTTGATAGCAAAAGCAATGCCTCAGTTCTTATCACAAGTTTACATTATTTTCTGTTTTTGGAAAATCTGACTTTTAAAAAGAATTTCATTTATACTATACAATGTAATGAAGGCAATCTAAAAGCAAAAGGTAAAATAATCAGTAATGAATAAGCTGACTTACATTACCAAGAATTAAATGTTGAAGGAGTGCAGGAGTAGGGGATGACTTACATTACCAAGAATTAAATGTTGAAGGTCAGTGCAGGAGTAGGGGATGACTTACATTACCAAGAATTAAATGTTGAAGGTCAGTGCAGGAGTAGGGGATGACTTACATTACCAAGAATTAAATGTTGAAGGTCAGTGCAGGAGTAGGGGATGACTTACATTACCAAGAATTAAATGTTGAAGGTCAGTGCAGGAGTAGGGGATGACTTACATTACCAAGAATTAAATGTTGAAGGTCAGTGCAGGAGTAGGGGGACTTACATTACCAAGAATTAAATGTTGAAGGTCAGTGCAGGAGTAGGGGCTGACTTACATTACCAAGAATTAAATGTTGAAGGTCAGTGCAGGAGTAGGGGATGACTTACATTACCAAGAATTAAATGTTGAAGGTCAGTGCAGGAGTAGGGGATGACTTACATTACCAAGAATTAAATGTTGAAGGTCAGTGCAGGAGTAGGGGATGACTTACATTACCAAGAATTAAATGTTGAAGGTCAGTGCAGGAGTAGGGGCTGACTTACATTACCAAGAATTAAATGTTGAAGGTCAGTGCAGGAGTAGGGGATGACTTACATTACCAAGAATTAAATGTTGAAGGTCAGTGCAGGAGTAGGGGATGACTTGGATTACCAAGAGTTACAGCACAGGACTGGGAGAATGGAGGTGGCCTACAAGAGTTACAGTACAGGACTGGGAGGAGGGAAGTTGGTCTACAAGAGTTACAGTACAGGACTGGGAGGAGGGAGGTGGTCTACAAGAGTTACAGTACAGGACTGGGAGGATGGAGGAGGTACAGCATTGCAAACTTCAATCCTACTATATACCTCATACCTCACACAAGTCCTTAACTGTCTGTGTACAGCCAGAGCCATCATCTCTCACACAACAACCAGAAGTATTTTCCTCTACTCTGTCCTTCCTGATGCCTTCCCAAATATTTTCATCACGTCTCATACAAGGGGAGTACTTGGCTCCAAGATGGATCAGATCAGCCTATCAATATTTGGAATCATTTCAATAAGACCAAAGTTGTTGGTACCCCAACATGTAATAAAAAAGTGACTTTTATTCCTATTTACAAATCAACTCAATCTCTTTACATCTTCTCTTTTATGGTTTTTTAAGAAAGTTTTATGATTTGCTGCAATGAAGTAAAGCTGAATGAAATGATTCTCATTCATCGGATTCCTGTTCCAAGGTCATTATGACATAAACCAGACAATGTATCAAATGTTAAGCTGTTATTCTACAATAATCTCCTGGTCTTGGATCACGACATTCACTCGATATTTCAAAATTTGAACTGAAGTAAAAAATACAATATCAAGAGTAACGGGTATATATCATAATGGCTCCTGATTCAGATTCCTGTAATATCAAGCTGATTTGTGAAGTTAACCATCTTCTCACAAATTTGTTTTCATTGCTTTAGTTTATGAAAAGTTTATCATTGAAGTTAAAAGGAGATGTACATGAAGCCTTGATATACAAATATAACTTACCTGGCGAGGTCCAATCCACAAATTGTCATTCTCCACAAAACGAATGTTCTCTATAGCCAAGTTAGGCATCATCACCTAAAAATAACAAGGCAACTGGAAAATAAATGATGCTGGTAGAACTAGGATACAATCAGGTTATATACCTTGTCGGTAATAACTTTTTAACTGATGACATCACAACAAAGGGATGATAATCATATTCACAGGCTACAATAATTATATTGTGGTTTCATGTAATCAATGATAAAGTTTTCTCCCATAATTCACAGATTTGCCTCCTGTTTTACCTGTACAAGATTTCTCTGATATCATTGTCATCTTCTAGGGAGTGGTTTCTGTCACTCCATGGGGAGTGGTTTCTGTCACACCATAGGGGGTGATTTCTGTCACTCCATAGGGGGTGGTTTCTGTCACTCCATAGGGGGTGGTGGTGATTTCTGTCACACCCTAGGAGGTGATTTCTGTCACTCCATAGGGGGTGATTTCTATCACACCTTAGGAGGTGATTTCTGTCACTCCATAGGGGGTGATTTCTGTCACAACCTAGGGGGTGATTTCTGTTACTCCCTAAGGGATGATTTCTGTCACACCCTAGGAGGTGATTTCTGTCACTCCATAATAGGTGATTTCTATCACTCCATAGGAGGTGAGTTCTGTCACTCCCTAGGGGATGATTTCTGTCACAACCTAGGGGGTGATTTCTGTCACTCTATAGGGGGTGATTTCTGTCACTCCATAGGGGGTGATTTCTATCACACCTTAGGAGGTGATTTCTGTCACTCCATAGGGGGTGATTTCTGTCACAACCTAGGGGGTGATTTCTGTCACTCCATAGGGGGTGATTTCTATCACACCTTAGGAGGTGATGTCTGTCACTCCATCGGGGGGTGATTTCTGTCACTCCATAGGGGGTGATTTCTATCACACCTTAGGAGGTGATTTCTGTCACACCTAAGAGGTGATTTCTGTCACTCCCTAGGAGGTGATTTCTGTCACTCCATAATAGGTGATTTCTATCACTCCATAGGAGGTGAGTTCTGTCACTCCCTAGGGGATGATTTCTGTCACACCCTAGGGGGTGATTTCTGTCACTCTATAGGGGGTGATTTCTGTCACTCCATAGGGGTGATTTCTATCACACCTTAGGAGGTGATTTCTGTCACTCCATAGGGGGTGATTTCTGTCACAACCTAGGGGGTGATTTCTGTGACTCCATAGGGGGTGATTTCTATCACACCTTAGGAGGTGATTTCTGCCACTCCATAGGGGGTGATATCTGTCACTCCCTAGGGGATGATTTCTGTCGCACCCTAGGGGGTGATTTCTGTCACTCCATAGGGGGTGATTTCTGTCACTCCCTAGGAGGTGATTTCTGTCACACCCTAGGAGGTGATTTCTGTTGCTCTATAGGGGGTGATTTCTGTCACTCCATAGGGGGTGATTTCTGTCACTCCATAGGGGGTGATTTCTGTCACAACCTAGGGGGTGATTTCTGTGACTCCATAGGGGGTGATTTCTATCACACCTTAGGAGGTGATTTCTGCCACTCCATAGGGGGTGATTTCTGTCACTCCCTAGGGGATGATTTCTGTCGCACCCTAGGGGGTGATTTCTATCACTCCATAGGGGGTGATTTCTGTCACTCCATACGAGGTGACTTCTGTCACACCCTAGAAGTGATTTCTTTATCACCACATAGCATGTGCTGGCATTCTAAACCAGAAGTTAACCAGAGCTACTTCTACACATGCCATTATTAGAACATTTGGACCCTGAGCAAATAAAATATGACGATAGCAAACTAATCTTCCCCTACATTGAGGTTGGGACATTGAAATCTCCAACCCTTGTTTTAGTCGCTTCACCCTCAGCACAGCCTCGGGTTAGACAACCAGAAATATCAATTCTCAAGATGGAGAATTTTCTGTAACACCATCAAGGTTGGAGAAGATTCTATTACTCCACTGCTATCCTTCATTACAGATGATAAATCACAATGAAAGTTTGTCTTCCATTTGTTTTACCATTAGACAATGCAACACTTGTCCTAATGTCTCTGCTATTAAGCATTAAGCTGTATTTATGTAATAGCTTTCCAGAATTTCCCTATCAAACATATCAATACATTCCCATACAGTTTATAACATGATCTGTACTTCCACTACCATTCACTACAGGTTTATATAAACACACTGACATGTTTACAATTTTTATTGATTTATATAAACTTACGTATTCAGTTTTCACTGTTTCCCCAGTTCCTATTGGTGCGATACCATACACTGCCACGGATACAATGAAGCACAGGATCTGGACTATGGTCACCCAGTAAGTGAAGTAAGGCCTGTAAAAAAGTTGTATATCAAGTATCTATATCAGGTTAGTGTAGATGTATATCATGTATCTACATCAGGTTACTGTAGATGTATATCATGTATCTACATCAGGTTAGTGTATATCATGTATCTACATCAGGTTACTGTAGTTGTATATCATGTATCTACATCAGGTTACTGTAGTTGTAGATCATGTATCTACATCAGGTTACTGTAGTTGTATATCATGTATCTACATCAGGTTAGTGTAGTTGTATATCTTGTATCTACATCAGGTTAGTGTAGATGTATATCATGTATCTACATCAGGTTAGTGTAGATGTATATCATGTATCTACATCAGGTTACTGTAGTCGTATATCATGTATCTACATCAGGTTACTGTAGATGTATATCTTGTATCTACATCAGGTTACTGTAGTTGTATATCTTGTATCTACATCAGGTTAGTGTAGTCGTATATCATGTATCTACATCAGGTTAGTGTAGTCGTATATCATGTATCTACATCAGGTTACTGTAGATGTATATCATGTATCTACATCAGGTTACTGTAGATGTATATCATGTATCTACATCAGGTTACTGTAGATGTATATCATGTATCTACATCAGGTTGCTGTAGATGTATATCATGTATCTACATCAGGTTACTGTAGATGTATATCATGTATCTACATCAGGTTAGTGTATATCTTGTATCTACATCAGGTTAGTGTAGATGTACATCATGTATCTACATCAGGTTACTGTAGTTGTATATCATGTATCTACATCAGGTTACTGTAGTTGTATATCATGTATCTACATCAGGTTACTGTAGATGTATATCATGTATCTACATCAGGTTAGTGTAAATGTGTATATATCTAAATGATTGATGGTTTTTGCTGTATTGAAGATTTGTTACCTGTGATCATCAAAATCATCAATCTGTGACTTGACGTAGGAGTTAAGTCGATCACTTCTGTAACTACGGTTAAAAAGTCGGCCAACAAAACCCATTCCAATCTGTCTCTTGTCATGGTCTTCCAGGTCTTCTCGAACCACATTGTCAATTCTTTTCATGCCAAAGTGAGGCATACCTTCATCCAGCTGATGACTTTTGGACATTCCATACCGGTGTGCTGGCCGCCATCCCTTACTATGTCTGTAGAAGAACATCAGGACTTTGCATCTCAATTTTAGTACTTTTTTCAACCTGATTTTCACAATACCTTACATTTCAACTTAATTGCTGATTATTTTTTTCTCTATTTATTACTTATCACCTTTAACACAACCATTTAAATCGACACCATATAACGTTTTTTCCTTTCTCTTTTTGCCAAATTTCAATTATCTTAAGTTGACAAAGAAAAGTGAATGTTAAAGTAAACTGTTTGAATAATTATTTAGTGTGTATGGGTTGTCATACAGAAACTTACATTTCCATCTCAGCATCTTCACCTATCTTTTCCATCCTCATCTCTGGGCTGAAGGCAGGCTCATCATAGAAAACATCATCAACTAGACTGAAGGCATCATCATAGGACTGAAACAGACCACAATTACTGGTACAGAACTCAAACAATATCATTGCAGTGAAACAGACCAGGAATCCTTATACAGAACTCAAAAAAATATTGATTCAACTACCAGTTTTTCAAAACCTGGTCACAGAGGGGACATATTGACTCTTGCACAGAACTGACCAGAATTTAACAAAGCATAGCTTTGAGTAATATCTTTGACCAAATACTTACATGATAAATCATGCTTGCTGAAAGGTCATCTGGGTACTCTCCTGCTAGACTAGCAGGAGCAAAACTCCTCTGACGCTGTACACTAGGCTTGCCACGTAACTTCTTTCTAGCTCCCTATAATTATAAAGAAAATATTACAATCTATGTGTGCATTTTCATACCAAACATCTTTAAACATTCAATTTATTAAATCAACATTTATTAACCAGTATATCTTCTGCATTTCCTTACCATTAACCCCCAAGGTGGAAATAGAGGTGAAGAGGTAACATCTTACTTCTGACTTTAAGTCACAGGGGGACTTGTAACAGGACAATGTCAATTGTTGATACCATTCTACTTGGCAAAACATAAACATGGTTCCATGTTTTGTTATGGATTGGCTTAATGCCAAATTTTCGTATACCCAGGTAATTATTTTCCCAGGACAATATGTAATCCTTACATTGTGCTTAAGTTATTAGCATATTTGAATAAAAAGATATGTTTCAATTTTACAGGTCACATGTGGCAATTTCGAAAAACAAATGAGAAAGATATCACTCACAGCAATAGTTTTATAAGTCATCTTGACAACTGAGTCTTTTCTTGGTCTTTTGGGAGGACCTCTTGATCTGGCATATGTGCTTGTGCTTGAGAGGGGAGTTGTTCTTCTGGATGAATACTCGCTGTGTCGAGTAGGATTACGAAGAGGATCATAAACATGTGGCACAGTAGGCATGTCCCCCAGAACATCATCATCTGCCTGGTCCTTTCCAGGCATCTTGTCATCACGAAACTTGCCACGATAAAACCGCATTCGTCTGTTATTCCATCGCTGGGACCTGGTAGCATCCTCCTCTCCAACACCAAAGAAGTCTGCAATGCTAGTCTTGATCTTTCTGTGGAAAAAAAAGAGAATGGTTGCTGTTACAATTATACTGGATTCTCAAGCAACAAAGGCAAAAAATATCTTCAGTGATAAGTAGATTGCAAAATATCTAGTATATCTCATATATAGATTCCATTGTGCTAAGCCGCTCAAGAGTGGTAAATACTTACTGACAGTACAATATCAAATTTGATGTATGAAAAGTTATGTTCAGATAGAGTGGTAAAGAAATAATGCTCCAAACAATCAAAATGTCTTCAAACTGTGACTTGAAAGTGGAAAGCTCTTAGGAATCACAGGACTACTGCACTGATACACAATGTTTTGTATATTTCCATTGCTGAAGATCTCCAGGCAGTAATAAATTAACTACATACAATGCACATTGTACTTCCTACCAAACAGTATTCTCAACTTGTATTATTTGTGACAATGTTAAGGCCAGGTAAGGCGAGTGTCTTACCTGCCAACTTTAGACATGGTGCTGGGCTTCTCCTCCTCATCATCAGCAACCCCTCGAGCTGGAGCACTGGCTGTGGTCATTCTGGATATCTGACGGTCATATGTCATACCCGTAGTATGGTCATAAGTATTCTGGCGACGATAGTTTCCAGGCATCTTGCTAATCTGAAATAATCATCTGTGAATTTTAACTTTCAGTTTGTACACATTCTAAAGTGAAAACTGAAGATAATGCAGAGCATTAAGACATCATGAGAGGATATATACTACTGTCTGCATTCGTGTTGTGCAGTAGATAAAAAGTGTCTTTGGTCTTCAGACTTTCAAGAGCTTTAGATTTGGCAGTGATGAACTCAGATAATTGTGTAAAATAAGGTGGCGTGGATGGGCAGACATTTATTGTTATATCTGAAGGCATTGGATTTGCATCAATGTTTATAACTAGAATAATAAGTCCACTTATGTCGATGGGAGTATTTTATAGGTATACATAACTTGCAAGTACCTGACATGGTATTCAAGTTCAGAATTAAATTTTTGGACCATGAACGAAGTCAAGAAAATTAACTGAAAAAGGGTTAAGTACAAAGAATATAAAGTAAAATAAGAAAAATGTGAAAGACAGGCACGTCACTGTAGATATCAAGATATTGTGCAGGTTATGAACTGATTAATTCAGGTCGTTCAAGTGACAATTCAGCACAGCTCAGAGCAGAAATCGAGAGACAGAAAGTCTCCAACGCAAACTTAGTCTACAGACGAAACTGAAATTAGTATTAGGCATACTCTACATTACAGATAACACTCACATAGCTTGTCTATAAACACGGAAGAAGGATTTTCTATCACTTACATGCAAATTCTGTTTACTTCCGACGGCTCGTTGATAAGAGGAAGTAAAATGTGAGCATGCGCAACAGTAGATCTTCCGGAGATAGCAAGAGAGGATCTATCGCATTGACAACTTTATTATTGAGTTTAAATGCATAATGTTCGATTCACGATATCATTGATTTCCGAAATTAACACGATGGATAATAATAATAACTAATCTTACCTGTTAGGAATACGGTTTGTCCTGGACCGTACACCGGAAATAGGTATTACAGAAAAAAATAAACGAAGGAATAATTCGAACTTTGAAACTTAACACTACTAGTAACGTGTTATTGGCGAGATTCATAACATATGGGACATGAGTGTGGACTTCCTGTGGAGAACATGCCAGTATTTGTGTATATAAACATCTATTAGTTAAACGTAACAGTTTACATGTACGTCATACGGAAGATTAAGCTCGCTCACTTAATTTGCATATCCGCCTTCTTGGTTTTTTAATATACTAATATAAACGTAAAGTAGGAGACCAAAGAACCGGCGCATTCTTAAATTAATGGGGCCAAGCACATTTTCACCTGTTACTTGTTACACCTGACACCGTATCGTATGCATTGATATAAACAAAATAACCATTATGTTTATTTCACAAAACTGCGTTATATAATCTTTTTCGCCATGTTACAAAATGGCACGATATAACCGACGACTTTGGATGACATTACTGGGTTGTAATCTTCGACAACGACAAGTTTCACCGTATGTAATATACAGAACCGACTCGATATTTTCAGGTTTCAATACCGAAGAAGAACCAGATTTAAAGGTTTTTGAAACATTTGAAATGGTTAATAATGCATGTTTGCTCAAAAGTTGAAGGGTAACTAGGCTTATAACCTTCCTGAACGGTATGATGAAAACAATCATCATCAGGTATTCCGAACCCATTGTCACCGTTGTATCGGTCTTCCATAGTTCAAATGTAAATGTGACTGACGAATTTGTTTTGAATACTACTGAACTGCCATTGTCGATTAAATATTTTGAAAATACATGTTCATGCATTAAACTACACTGACTTTTTGTTCACAAATGAAAATAATTTAAGTTTTTTGTCTTTACGTCTAAAAATTGGATACAGAGTCAAACAATAAGAAAAATATGTTTGTAACCCCCCCCCCCCCCCCCCACCCCCAGTTTTCATATTTGCCGCCTCTCAAGATTTGATGACGTCAAAGATAGTTTGACGTCATCATCTCATGAATATTAATGAGTTGAGCGAGCATATTTCTCCACATGTGTACCCCAAGTGTACAAGCACAGTTAAAAATAGTATCACGGACGTGTGGATGTAGATCCGAAGTCCTATGTAGTACACGTGTCCTGAGATCTAAAGTGAAGATGTCATCTCTGGAATGTACTGAAGTTGGTGTTGATATTGACGGAGTTCAATCCAACAACATCAAAACACAGAGCGAAGCTCATTTGCCACAATGACATACTGTTCATCAAGTATAATGAAAAATAAAGTACACGAAATGTTGGCTCATTCGTTAATTAGCACATATAGGAAACTCAGACAATTTCTAAAGTTCAACTTTTGTTCTGGTTATAATGTTTTAAAAGATGATACGACAAAAATCATCTGACTACACCATTCTATACATATTGTTACCGTCCATCTCCTGACTACACCACTCTATACATATTGTTACCGTCCATAACCTGACTACACCACTCTATACATATTGTTACCGTCCATCCCCTGTCTACACCACTCTATACATATTGTTACCGTCCATCCCCTGTCTACACCACTCTATACATATTTTTACTGTCCATTCCCTGACTACACCACTCTATACTTGTTGTTACCGTCCATCCCCTGACTACATCACTCTATACTTGTTGTTACCGTCCATCCCCTGACTACACCACTCTATACATATTGTTACCGTCCATCCCCTGACTACACCACATTATATATATTGTTGTCGTTAATCCCCTGACTACACCACTCTATACATATTGTTACCGTCCATCCCCTGACTACACCATTCTATACATATGATTATCGTCCATCCCCTGACTACATCACTCTATACATATTGTTACCGTCCATCCCCTGTCTACACCACTCTATACATGTTACCGTCCATCCTCTGACTACACCACTCTATACATATTGTTACCGTCCATCCCCTGACTACACCACTCTATACATATTGTTACCGTCCATCCCCTGTCTACACCACTCTATACATGTTACCGTCCATCCCCTGACTACACCACTCTATACATATTGTTACCGTCCATCCCCTGACTACACCGCTCTATACATATTGTTACCGTCCATCCCCTGACTACACCACTCTATACATATTGTTACCGTCCATCCCCTGTCTACACCACTCTATACATGTTACCGTCCATCCTCTGTCTACACCACTCTATACATGTTACCGTCCATCCTCTGACTACACCATTCTATACATATTGTTACCGTCCATCCCCAGACTACACCACTCTATACATATTGTTACCGTCCATCCCCTGACTACACCGCTCTATACATATTGTTACCGTCCATCCCCTGACTACATCACTCTATACATATTGTTACCGTCCATCCCCTGTCTACACCACTCTATACATGTTACCGTCCATCCTCTGACTACACCACTCTAAACATATTGGTACCGTCCATCCCCTGACTACACCACTCTATACATATTGTTACCGTCCATCCCCTGACTACACCGCTCTATACATATTGTTACCGTCCATCCCCTGACTACATCACTCTATACATATTGTTACCGTCCATCCCCTGACTACACCACTCTATACATATTGTTACCGTCCATCCCCTGACTACACCACTCTATACATTTTGTTACCGTCCATCTCCTGACTACACCACTCTATACATATTGTTACCGTCCATCCCCTAACTACACCACTCTATGCATATTGTTACCGTCCATCCCCTGACTACATCACTCTATATACATTCTTACTTTCCATATTATTAATGTATAAATTACACGTTGTCATTTAACGCTTCAAGTAAAACAAACAACGAAATATGAACCAGAGACATATAAGACAGGGACTGGAAACGTTTCTTTGTGAAAGTCAATCTGGTGTAATCTGATGTGTTTGTCCAACTAGCATGTATGTAAATCCAATCACCTCAAAACGAGTCAATTTTAGAAACCTGTTCAACCGTTCGGCATATTTCGCTGGGCGTGGTATGAATTGGCAGCGTAGTCATTTTGCTTTGATATGGTATGTGATTCACTATAGGACAAGCCCTAAAACCGTCGCCAGGCTTCAAATATCGTTAAATTGTCAAATCTTATTTAGTCGGATCTGTCAGCGAAACCTTGCTGAATCCCTATGAATTAGCTTCAAAAAAGAGTTTGAAATATGTTTTCAAAGCGGCGACCATACTGAATATTGGCCCGACCTGACAAATATCAACACTTGGTGCAGATTCTTTAGGGATTATTTCTGTACGTTTAAACTGAATCCTTCTGTTAAAATTTGAAATGATGTTTGAAGAAGGTATTGTTCAGAAAAGTCATGATTGATGTGTTCGTCGTCAAAACATACGTAGTGACAAAGAAATACGACTGTCGACAATGTGTTCCTCGTCAATACATACGTAGTGACACAGAAATACGACTGTCGACAATGTGTTCCTCGCCAATACATACGCAGTGAAACAGACATACGATTGTCGACAATGTGTTCCTCGTCAATACATACGTAGTGAAACAGACATACGACTGTCGACAATGTGTTCCTCGTCAATACATACGTAGTGACACAGAAATACGACTGTCGATAATGTGTTCCTCGCCAATACATACATAGGGACACAGAAATACGCCTGTCGACAATGTGTTCCTCGTCAATACATACATAGGGACACAGAAATACGCCTGTCGACAATGTGTTCCTCGTCAATACATACGTAGTGACACAGAAATACAACTGTCGACAATGTGTTCCTCGTCAATACGTACGTAGTGACACAGAAATACGCCTGTCGACAATGTGTTCCTCGCCAATACATACATAGGGACACAGAAATACGCCTGTCGACAATGTGTTCCTCGTCAATACATACGTAGTGACACAGAAATACAACTGTCGACAATGTGTTCCTCGCCAATACATACGCAGTGAAACAGACATACGATTGTCGACAATGTGTTCCTCGTCAATACATACGTAGTGAAACAGACATACGACTGTCGACAATGTGTTCCTCGTCAATACATACGTAGTGAATCAGACATACGACTGTCGACAATGTGTTCCTCGTCAATACATACGTAGTGACACAGAAATACGACTGTCGAAAATGTGTTCCTCGTCAATACATACGTAGTGACACAGAAATACAACTGTCGACAATGTGTTCCTCGCCAATACATACGCAGTGAAACAGACATACGATTGTCGACAATGTGTTCCTCGTCAATACATACGTAGTGAAACAGACATACGACTGTCGACAATGTGTTCCTCGTCAATACATACGTAGTGAAACAGACATACGACTGTCGACAATGTGTTCCTCGTCAATACATACGTAGTGACACAGAAATACGCCTGTCGACAATGTGTTCCTCGTCAATACATACGTAGTGACACAAAAATACGCCTGTCGACAATGTGTTCCTCGCCAATACATACGCAGTGAAACAGACATACGACTGTCGACAATGTGTTCCTCGTCAATACATACGTAGTGACACAGAAATACGACTGTTGATAATGTGTTCCTCGCCAATACATACATAGGGACACAGAAATACGCCTGTCGACAATGTGTTCCTCGTCAATACATACATAGGGACACAGAAATACGCCTGTCGACAATGTGTTCCTCGTCAATACATACGTAGTGACACAGAAATACAACTGTCGACAATGTGTTCCTCGTCAATACGTACGTAGTGACACAGAAATACGCCTGTCGACAATGTGTTCCTCGCCAATACATACATAGGGACACAGAAATACGCCTGTCGACAATGTGTTCCTCGTCAATACATACGTAGTGACACAGAAGTACAACTGTCGACAATGTGTTCCTCGCCAATACATACGCAGTGAAACAGACATACGATTGTCGACAATGTGTTCCTCGTCAATACATACGTAGTGAAACAGACATACGACTGTCGACAATGTGTTCCTCGTCAATACATACGTAGTGACACAGAAATACGACTGTTGATAATGTGTTCCTCGCCAATACATACATAGGGACACAGAAATACGCCTGTCGACAATGTGTTCCTCGTCAATACATACATAGGGACACAGAAATACGCCTGTCGACAATGTGTTCCTCGTCAATACATACGTTGTGACACAGAAATACAACTGTCGACAATGTGTTCCTCGTCAATACGTACGTAGTGACACAGAAATACGCCTGTCGACAATGTGTTCCTCGCCAATACATACATAGGGACACAGAAATACGCCTGTCGACAATGTGTTCCTCGTCAATACATACGTAGTGACACAGAAATACAACTGTCGACAATGTGTTCCTCGCCAATACATACGCAGTGAAACAGACATACGATTGTCGACAATGTGTTCCTCGTCAATACATACGTAGTGAAACAGACATACGACTGTCGACAATGTGTTCCTCGTCAATACATACGTAGTGACACAGAAATACAACTGTCGACAATGTGTTCCTCGTCAATACATACGTAGTGACACAAAAATACGCCTGTCGACAATGTGTTCCTCGCCAATACATACGCAGTGAAACAGACATACGACTGTCGACAATGTGTTCCTCGTCAATACATACGTAGTGACACAGAAATACGACTGTCGATAATGTGTTCCTCGCCAATACATACATAGGGACACAGAAATACGCCTGTCGTCAATGTGTTCCTCGTCAATACATACATAGGGACACAGAAATACGCCTGTCGACAATGTGTTCCTCGTCAATACATACGTAGTGACACAGAAATACAACTGTCGACAATGTGTTCCTCGTCAATACGTACGTAGTGACACAGAAATACGCCTGTCGACAATGTGTTCCTCGCCAATACATACATAGGGACACAGAAATACGCCTGTCGACAATGTGTTCCTCGTCAATACATACGTAGTGACACAGAAATACAACTGTCGACAATGTGTTCCTCGCCAATACATACGCAGTGAAACAGACATACGATTGTCGACAATGTGTTCCTCGTCAATACATACGTAGTGAAACAGACATACGACTGTCGACAATGTGTTCCTCGTCAATACATACGTAGTGAAACAGAAATACGACTGTCGAAAATGTGTTCCTCGTCAATACACACACAGTGAAACAGACATACAACCGTCGATATAAGCCAGAGGTTATAATTACCTGCAGACAAAAACACAACTCAACATACTCAGTGATTTTCCATCAATTTATTGAAATGTATATTAACTTATGAATTATTCAACAAGGAAGTTATTTTGAATAGAATTGTGCTCATGCTCTCTTCTATATATAATCAAAATTAAAACATATTTCCATAAACACAGGCATTCGAACTGAACACTTGTCAGATCATTTGTCTTTGTACCTGTTAGTACTGGCTCAATGGCAAGAAATCAGTCAGTGGTTTTCTAATTAAAATCAAGGCCAGCGTTAACATTGTGGAGAGTAATCCTTGTGGCTACAAACTCTTTAATGGCAAGTTATACAATTCCAAATTCCCTTTGATACCTAGTTCCAAGACCGATCTTTGTCCCTGTCGCCGCACGATAAGTTTTTTGTCTTCAATTTTCTGCCTTTCTCATATAGTGTATCACGTAGTTACATTGTACAACAATTAAAGCCTATACAACACGGACGACGGACAGATCGAGGAAGAACGTTTTGAAAAGTTTACTGTCAAATAATTTATCATTGTTACTGTCTCACCTTGAGTCTCATGATTGTTCAACATCAACGTCAACAGTGTTGTAAGATATCCAACCTTATTCGTGCCGTTGTCAGAAAAAAGTAACTGAGGACAGAAAAACTCCTTTGAAAGAGTTAAAAGCCGTACGGACGAGTTTAAAATCAAACGAAGAAGATAAAATGTCGTTCATGTAAGATCAAAGTACTAAAAATAGAAAGCCGTACTAAAGGGTAAAAAGTCATACAAAAGGGTAAAAAGTCATTCAAACGGAAAAAGTCTTACAAACAAGATAATGAGATGCGCTGGAACAATGGTGGATGATATCTCACTATTACGTCACTTTCGTACTCCTGAATGTATCCAACCACTCTTATACAGTTTACACAACTATCACACAAATTATACGGACATTGATTCGACGAGTTATCTATACAGACATTAATCAACACTTACTGCTTCCTGTACTGATTTGATCAGATGAGCAAGCCTTATACTTGTGGAGACATGATAAGCCATATTATGCTCCTGTCGTGAAACAGGAGACACCATGTTGGTAATACGTTACAGAAAATAGCAGATTACAGTAAACACCACATCAAAGTAATGTCTTAGGAATGTCATAGTAGCAGTCAACGTCATAGTAACAGTCAATGTCATAGTAACAATCAACGTCATTGTAACAATGTTAAAATCGACATTAAACAATATGTCACAGTAAACGTCATAGTAACAGTCAACGTCATAGTTACAATGTTAAAATCGACATCGAACAATATGTCACAGTAAACGTCATAGTAACAGTCAACGTCATAGTAACAGTCAACGTCAGAGTCACAATGTTACAATCGACATCAAATGGTATGTCACAGTAAACGTCATAGTAACAGTCAACGCCATAGTTACAGTCAACGTCATAGTTACAGTCAACGTCAGAGTCACAATGTTACAATCGACGTCAAACAGTACGTCACAGTTAACGTCATAGTAACAGTCAACGCCATAGTAACAATCAACGCCATAGTTACAATCAACGTCATAGTAACAATGTTACAATCGACATCAAACAATATGTAACATTAAACGCCATAGTAACATTCAACGTCATAATAATAGTCAACGTCATAGTTACAGTATGCCAAGGTAAACATCGATACAATAATAATATAATAAAGTACTTCACAATCAACGTCATCATTATAGTTTGTAACGATAAATATCATAGAAACGGTCACGCCATAGTACCAGTTACGTCATAGTAACAGTCAAGTCATAGTAACGGACACGTCATAGTAACAGTTACGTCATAGTAACAGTCACGGCTTGGTAACAGTTACATCATAGTAACAGCACGGGAAACGTAAAAACACATTTAGCTGGAAACTTTGATGTATAAAAATACTGTCATAGAAAACTGATTAAATGTCATCAGAAATGATATATCAACAACAGGTTACAACAAGTGTCAGTTATAATCAGATCTTATCACAATTAATGACTGATTCATGTACACAGGTGAATCCAAATGAAACATGAGGCATGACGTCACGTCTGATAAAATATGTTGTACTGTATACATGTACGATATAAAAATTTGTGAATCTATCAATTCATCTCACACCTAGTTCACTGTTTGTCTATTGGTAAAAAGTAATTCGCATTTTTATCTATCCGATGGAGTCCGAAGGGTCGGAGGTGGTATACTAGATAGTCCATCAGGTACATGTCAGCCGGACTCATGTAGTGGAACGACACGCTGTAGTCACTGCAGCAACCCAGACCCTGTAATGTAAAAACCAGGACGGAGATTAGTAACTCCTAACCAGACCCTGTAATGTAAAAAACAGGGCTGAGATAGTAAGTATCAACCCAGACCCTGTAATGTAAAACACAGGACGGAGATAGTAACTCCTAACCAGACCCTGTAATGTAAAAACCAGGACGGAGATTAGTAACTCCTAACCAGACCCTGTAATGTAAAAACCAGGGCTGAGATAGTAACTCCTAACCAGACCCTGTAATGTAAAAAACAGGGCTGAGATAGTAAGTATCAACCCAGACCCTGTAATGTAAAACACAGGACGGAGATAGTAACTCCTAACCAGACCCTGTAATGTAAAAACCAGGACGGAGATTAGTAACTCCTAACCAGACCCTGTAATGTAAAAAACAGGGCTGAGATAGTAAGTCTCAACCCAGACCCTGTAATGTAAAACAACAGGATAGTATCTCCTAACCAGACCCTGTAATGTAAAAACTAGGACGGAGATAGTAACTCCTAACCAGACCCTGTAATGTAAAAAACAGGGCTGAGATAGTAACTCCTAACCAGACCCTGTAATGTAAAAAACAGGGCTGAGATAGTAACTCCTAACCAGACCCTGTAATGTAAAAACCAGGTAACTCCTAACCAGACCCTGTAATGTAAAAACCAGGGCTGAGATAGTAACTCCTAACCAGACCCTGTAATGTAAAAAACAGGGCTGAGATAGTAACTCCTAACCAGACCCTGTAATGTAAAAACCAGGGCTGAGATAGTAACTCCTAACCAGACCCTGTAATGTAAAAACCAGGGCTGAGATAGTAACTCCTAACCAGACCCTGTAATGTAAAAACCAGGGCTGAGATAGTAACTCCTAACGAGACCCTGTAATGTAAAAACCAGGGCTGAGATAGTAACTCCTAACCAGACCCTGTAATGTAAAAAACAGGGCTGAGATAGTAAGTATCAACCCAGACCCTGTAATGTAAAACACAGGACGGAGATAGTAAATCCTAACCAGACCCTGTAATGTAAAAACCAGGACGGAGATCAGTAACTCCTAACCAGACCCTGTAATGTAAAAAACAGGGCTGAGATAGTAAGTCTCAACCCAGACCCTGTAATGTAAAACACAGGACGGAGATAGTATCTCCTAACCAGACCCTGTAATGTAAAAACTAGGACGGAGATAGTAACTCCTAACCAGACCCTGTAATGTAAAAAACAGGGCTGAGATAGTAACTCCTAACCAGACCCTGTAATGTAAAAAACAGGGCTGAGATAGTAACTCCTAACCAGACCCTGTAATGTAAAAACCAGGGCTGAGATAGTAACTCCTAACCAGACCCTGTAATGTAAAAACCAGGGCTGAGATAGTAACTCCTAACCAGACCCTGTAATGTAAAAAACAGGGCTGAGATAGTAACTCCTAACCAGACCCTGTAATGTAAAAACCAGGGCTGAGATAGTAACTCCTAACCAGACCCCGTAATGTAAAAAAGAGGGCTGAGATAGTAACTCCTAACCAGACCCTGTAATGTAAAAACCAGGGCTGAGATAGTAACTCCTAACCAGACCCTGTAATGCAAAAACCAGGGCTGAGATAGTAACTCCTAACGAGACCCTGTAATGTAAAAACCAGGACTGAGATAGTAACTCCTAACCAGACCCTGTAATATAATACACAGGACGGAGACAGTAACTCCTAACCAGACCCTGTAATATAATACACAGGACGGAGATAGTAAGTCTCAATACACACCCTGTAATATAATACACAGGACGGAGATAGTAACTCCTAACCAGACCCTGTAATATAATACACAGGACGGAGATAGTAAGTCTCAATACACACCCTGTAATAAAATACACAGGACGGAGATAGTAAGTCTCAACACAGACCCTGTAATATAATACACAGGACGGAGATAGTAAGTCTCAACACACACCCTGTAATATAATACACAGGACGGAGACAGTAACTCCTAACCAGATCATGTAATATAATACACAGGACGGAGATAGTAACTCCTAACCAGACCCAGTAATATAATACACAGGACGGAGACAGTAACCCCTAACCAGACCCAGTAATATAATACACAGGACGGAAATAGTAACTCCTAACCAGACCCTGTAATATAATACACAGGACGGAGACAGTAACTCCTAACCAGACCCTGTAATATAATACACAGGACGGAGATAGTAAGTCTCAATACACACCCTGTAATATAATACACAGGACGGAGATAGTAACTCCTAACCAGACCCTGTAATATAATACACAGGACGGAGATAGTAAGTCTCAATACACACCCTGTAATAAAATACACAGGACGGAGATAGTAAGTCTCAACACAGACCCTGTAATATAATACACAGGACGGAGATAGTAAGTCTCAACACACACCCTGTAATATAATACACAGGACGGAGACAGTAACTCCTAACCAGACCATGTAATATAATACACAGGACGGAGATAGTAACTCCTAACCAGACCCAGTAATATAATACACAGGACGGAGACAGTAACCCCTAACCAGACCCAGTAATATAATACACAGGACGGAGACAGTAAGTCTCAACACAGACCCTGTAATATAATACACAGGACGGAGATAGTAACTCCTAACCAGACCCAGTAATATAATACACAGGACGGAGACAGTAACCCCTAACCAGACCCAGTAATATAATACACAGGACGGAGATAGTAAGTCTCAACACACACCCTGTAATATAATACACAGGACGGAGATAGTAACTCCTAACCAGACCCAGTAATATAATACACAGGACGGAGACAGTAAGTCTCAATACACACCCTGTAATATAATACACAGGACGGAGACAGTAACTCTCAACACAGACCCTGTAATATAATACACAGGACGGAGACAGTAACTCTCAACACAGACCCTGTAATATAATACACAGGACGGAGATAGTAAGTCTCAACACAGACCCTGTAATATAATACACAGGACGGAGATAGTAAGTCTCAACACAGACCAGACCATGTAACAATTTTGCTTCTACTATACATACTCATACCTTTTGGACTTTGTGGAAGGTATGGTTGTAGAACCAGCCGGGGTAGTTTCCTTGCAGGTGGGCGATTGGCGTGAATGGATGAAACGACTCGCGTCCATTGACATCCAGGGAGTCCCCCACTTTGATTTCCAGTCTTTGCATACACTTGCCTATCTCTGCGTCCTCTGCTCCACCATCACGTCGACACAACAGCGGGTTACGAAGACCAACTTGCACAAATTTCTTTAAAGCTTGCTGACTGAGGACGTAACCAGCACCCCCACTGAAATATCCTTGTTTTACTATGGCCTTGAACCTGTGACCAAAATACACCAAGTCCTTAGGATTGTGATGTGACAAAAAGAAACGTAAATTTTCTACGATGACGTAGGTGTCGTCATCAGCCTTGAGAAACCAATCGAAGGAATTGCCGTAGTTTTCGTAGCAGTAAGTAAACGCCTGTACCGTTTTACCAGTGAGATGTTGCCGACCCTCTGACACATTAAGTCCGATCGTGGGGAAACTGTCGTTTGTCACACTACTGAAGAAGATGTATTTATTGCAGCGTTTTGCCCAAGTCGTCCTGACGGCCAAGCCCTTCCTGTCGAGATTGGACGGTGACGTCATTACCCAGCACAGCACGCGCACTCTGTTGTAGAGTTCATCGGCCTTGGTGCTATCATCGTCTACAACAATACATTTTATTGTTATTATTTACTGGTCAAAACAATACAACAAAATTTACAACACAGGTAATTATTCCTATCACCACGCCGTCCAAGATTCCCCAACTGGACTGGAACTACCATTTACATACCAAGTTGTGACTATTTAATTTGCTCTTATCTTGAAAATGACCATAGAGCCCAAATGTCTCATTCATATGTATTTCTTGTCCAGTAGATGAGGTGTCCAACACTTATTAGTATATAAGGTTCGGCAATCTGTCTTCCAAGAATGCACATGATTACGGTCACACAGTACAGTCAGATTCTTCTTCAAATCTGTCGACATATTACCTAGGTTTTCAGTGTATGGACAATGTCTAGCTTCTGGCTCCAAATGGTATATGGACGTTGAACAACTCGATGGGAGATTCCTATATTGTGCCAGGCTGCCCAAAGCTGTGCCTCAGCAATCCTGAGAGAGCGGCTCGGAAGCCCCATGTTAATGAAATTCCAGCACCTTTCAGTTACATGCATTGAATTGTTTCTCTATAGAGTGTTTCGAAGCCGCTTTAGACACCGCCTCAAGTGAAATGGTTTCTTAGCCCTTTTCCATCGTAATTTTTCATATTTGTAGAAACTTGGAAGGGGTCACTATTACTCGCTTTCATGGTTATTGAAATAAAAAGGTCTTCAGGTGCTCTATATTGTGTTCTTCTGAAGTCTGAGGTGGCCTTATGTTACCTCGATAGTCTAAAACGTCCATGACGACTGGTAAAATTATGATTATTCAACCTCAACCTTACAGACAGACAAGGCTGGTTATTTACCTTAACAGCAAAATCAGAAAGCCTAGTGCCCACCCAAAGTCACTTACCAGTATGACCTTCTAACATAGGTACCTGTCCCAAAGTCAGTTACCTGTATGACCTTGAAAAATAGATACCTATCACAAAGCCACTTACCTGCATGACCTTGAAACATAGATACCTATCCCAAAGTCACTTACCTGTATGACCTTGAAACATAGATACTTATCCCAAAGTCACTTACCTGTATGACCTTGAAACATAGATACCTATCCCAAAGTCACTTACCTGCATGACTGTGCGAGTCCATGTTGACAGGCCGGTCCTTATCCCGGAAGTTCCTATTTTGAATGTCTTGATACAAATCTTCTTCATCTTCGTCGATTTCTACTATTCCCTCTGTAATAATAACATGGATTTGTAACAACAATAACCAGAATCAAGGTAATGGTTAACCTGGGGATTTGTCTTGTATTGATCTACAACCCGCGGGCATCAGAAAATCGGTGAGACACGGAACTTTAAGACTTACCATCAATAAAGAAAGTGTTATACGTCATAAGTAGCGTGGTCAGGCAGAAGCAGAGACAAACCAGCATAAACAGCTTCGAAACTCTGTCCTCAGCCATGGTGCGCATGTTCGACAAGTTTTCATCACGCAAGACATTACATGATATCACTTCATATCATCAAGTGCAGCTGCTGCTGAAAGCATAACACGATAACTTTACAGAAAATATCATACAGTACCGTAAGTCTACCGCATCAACACACAGTAATTACCACACAAAACCGCAAGTCTACCGCATCAACACACAGTAATTACCACACAAAACCGCAAGTCTACCGCATCTACACACAGTAATTACCACACAAAACCGCAAGTCTATCGCATCTACACACAGTAATTACTACACAAAACCGCAAGTCTACCGCATCAACACACAGTAATTACCACACAAAACCGCAAGTCTACCGCATCAACACACAGTAATTACCACACAAAACCGCAAGTCTACCGCATCTACACAGTAATTACCACACAAAACCGCAAGTCTACCGCATCTACACACAGTAATTACCACACAAAACCGCAAGTCTACCGCATCAACACACAGTAATTACCACACAGTACCGGAAGGTTTGGACATCAACACACAGTAATTACCACACAAAACCGCAAGTCTACCGCATCAACACAGTAATTACCACACAAAACCGCAAGTCTACCGCATCTACACACAGTAATTACCACACAAAACCGCAAGTCTACCGCATCAACACACAGTAATTACCACACAGTACCGGAAGGTTTGGACATCAACACACAGTAATTACCACACAAAACCGCAAGTCTACCGCATCAACACAGTAATTACCACACAAAACCGCAAGTCTACCGCATCAAGACACAGTAATTACCACACAAAACCGCAAGTCTACCGCATCAACACACAGTAATTACCACACAAAACCGCAAGTCTACCGCATCAACACACAGTAATTACCACACAGTACCGGAAGGTTTGGACATCAACACACAGTAATTACCACACAAAACCGCAAGTCTACCGCATCAACACACAGTAATTACCACACAAAACCGCAAGTCTACCGCATCAACACAGTAATTACCACAAAAAACCGCAAGTCTACCGCATCAACACACAGTAATTACCACACAGTACCGGAAGGTTAGGACATCAACACACAGTAACACAGTACCGGAAGGTTAGGACATCAACACACAGTAACTATCATACAGTACCGAAAGGTAAGGACATCAACACACAGTAACTTTCATACAGTACCGCAAGGTAAGAACATCAACACACAGTAAATATCATACAGTACCGAAAGGTCAAGGACATCAACACACAGTAACTTTTATACAGTACCGGAAGGTTAGGACATCAACACACAGTAATTACCACACAGTACCGGAAGGTTTGGACATCAACACACAGTAATTACCACACAAAACCGCAAGTCTACCGCATCAACACACAGTAATTACCACACAAAACCGCAAGTCTACCGCATCAACACAGTAATTACCACAAAAAACCGCAAGTCTACCGCATCAACACACAGTAATTGCCACACAGTACCGGAAGGTTAGGACATCAACACACAGTAACTTTCATACAGTACCGGAAGGTTAGGACATCAACACACAGTAACTATCATACAGTACCGAAAGGTAAGGACATCAACACACAGTAACTTTCATACAGTACCGCAAGGTAAGAACATCAACACACAGTAACTATCATACAGTACCGAAAGGTCAAGGACATCAACACATAGTAACTATCATACAGTACCGGAAGGTCAAGGACATCAACACACAGTAACTATCATACAGTACCGAAAGGTCAAGGACATCAACACATAGTAACTATCATACAGTACCGGAAGGTCAAGGACATCAACACACAGTAACTTTCATACAGTACCGGAAGGTAAGGACATCAACACATAGTAACTATCATATAGTACCGGAAGGTAAGGACATCAACACACAGTAACTATTATACAGTACCGGAAGGTAAGGACATCAACACACAGTAACTTTCATACAGTACCGCAAGGTAAGGACATCAACACACAGTAACTATCACATAGTACCGGAAGGTCAAGGACACATTAACTATGATCACCTAGGTACTTTGCGGAGACATGAGGCCATCAGACGTTGTTACAAATGTTTCAGTTTGGAAGAATTCACTGCTGGTAAGACTCTACACATTCATTCCTAATTGTTCTGGAACTGATCCATATTTATTGATTAACTCAAAGATAAATTACGTGATAAGCAGTTAAATGTGAACATGAATGTTTGGTCTATGTAACAACATCATACAATACATTTAGTACGGGGTGTAGATCTGCATCCGACATCAATATGGCGTAATATAGATAACGATATTTAAATGAGGTGTTTAAACACAAATCTGATTGGTTAACATTAGTGTGTTAATGTCCTTCACAATCAGCCAGATCGTGATGCTATATACACATACGACACAGGTGTAGGAAATAGCACACGTCACTGTATATAAAACACGTTTGATTGTCTAAATTTGTACATACAGCACCGACACTCTACATTTGTACAAACCTATCGATTCTCGTATATTAATTAACTTTCTTTACAGAAATCGACAAAATCCTCATTGATTCTACAGGTGACTTACAAACTTACCGTCCTGTTCCGTACTCAGTCTAACACATTGATATGTTCGTCGTGGCAGCCATTTTCCCCATTCACAGTGAAATGACAGGTAGATAAGAATTGATCTCGAAAAGTATGCGTGTATTGTCAACAGGTGTACAGAACACGTGTGTACACTACCCACACCCAAACACACAGTACAGGAATGCTGTATAGCAATAGATGTTACCCACTGCACCAAACGTCGTCTGCTGAGAGAGGATAACATTTACCTGTCCTACTTCCTGTTTCTGTCTTAGAAGTCCGACAATGTGATTTGACGTGAACCAAAAGTTCACGCTTCAGTACATGCTGGTCTATTCAAATTTTGGTGGTGTGTGTTTACTATTCTTATCGCTCAGTGAGCAGCTGAAGAGTAGTTTTGAGAAGTGGTTTCCCGGTATAATAAGCTGGTTACCGACATTAACTTATTAAAAGGTTGTCCGGAAATGTTTCCTTTATCATAGAGATAGGGAAATCGTGTTTGTTTCGAAATATCCTACTTCACTTGTAACTAAGGAAATTGAAGAGTTGTACTTTAAGCCCGAGGGAACAAGTTCTTATATATAAAATTCAAGCTACCAATCCCAGTAAACACTAATGATATGGACACAGGTAGCCTTATCACCTTCTAAAACGTCACAAAAGATCATACTGCCTACGGCCTCTGGAAACAATGTCGATAACTGAAATGACCATTTAAATGCTGTTCAATATGTCATAGTTTGTTTTATGTGTTCTATGTATTTATTGCGTTTCATGGTTTGCACGCGAGTAGTTACGATGCGTTATGGTTTGTACGTAAGTATTTACAGCGTGTGTTGGATTGTATTATCATTCTCTTTATTTCCTCCTTTAAGAAGATTTCACAAAAAGAACAACATTAATTTAGTGAAAGAGAACGTTGAATTGGCATGCAAATCAAAATTATTACCAAGATATTATAACATTAGGATAATTATGGTAATTAAGTCATTCCAAAATCACATCGGAACATTGAGGTACATCATTTTTGCAATACAGTGATCATTATAACATAAGTATAATAATGATTAAATAGTTACAAAATACAAAAGTAACATATAAGATGCATCATAATTACATTACTCACACATATATATATTGTACTTAATGATAATTCTTTAGATGTAATTTGTATCATATACATTTTAGCAATAATATGATTTACGCATTTTTGAAACATAATGGACTGAATTAAGGTAAAACTGTGATATTTCTTTTAAATTCAATTCATACATTACTTCTCCACCAATCAAGATATGGAATAGGTCAAAATCTGAGTGATTATGTAAATATACGCTAAACTCGTGATCACTGATACTGATCATTTGACACCATAATTGATCTCGAATTTCTTCAGTAAAATTGCATTGTAAGACTATATGAGTATACACATCTTCATACGTTTGGCCACATCTGTGACATAATTCAACTGTGTTTACATTTCTGATGGACACAATAAGTTTCATGATACTAACTATGGATTCCTTATTCTGAGGAAACTTAATTAATAGCTTCCACAATATGTGGGGAGCTAGTTTATTATGAATTAATTTAAAACTATAGAACTCGCGGTCATCATCCATTCTTTCTTTCCACGAGTTTTCTTCGTATGAATGAACAGTACATTTTACTTTGTTCTTCCATTTACTTTTTGAAGGGAATCATCCGCGTGCTTAACATTCTTTTACCATTTCATACAGATCATATTTTCTCAAAACTCGAACAACATCATTCATGAATCCGCGATCATTCAAATTACTTTCATGCATATTAGTGCTTACATCCGCCATAAAAAGGCGAGTAAAACATACAGTACAAGACACACTCTCTTTCCCTAAATTACACAATCTTCCAAAAAATGTTAGCTTCCTAATATCTATATATGACTCTAAGCTAAGCCAACCAAGCAAGCTGCTACACATATCCGTTCGAGTCCTTATATGGAACCCCCTGAATCGATTTGAGAATAAAACGTTGAGTTCTTTCTAACATTAAAACTTCTGCTTTTGCAAGACACCATAATTCACAGCCATATAGGGCTGTTGGATAAATTCTTGTTTTAATTATTTTACTTCTAGTAAATCATTAATGAAGACGAGATACATTTTTGCAGATAATGCGCTCCCCTGTAAGATCCCCCTTTCCATCTTTATCCATCTTGATCTTAAACCATTAGATAAGACTACTTCTTATGTCTGTATATATTGCTTTCAAAATGTGCCATGACTTAGCAGTTATTCCCAATTGATATAACTTATAAAGTAAACCGTCATGCCAGACAGTGTCAAAAGCTTTGTTACTGTCTAAAAAGGCTACAAAAACGTTTTCTTCCCTTTCTACATTATAATGTATACATTCCAGCAGGTTAAAAGAGGTTAACAAACTACAGAGCCCTTT